ATTAGGTCTGGGCTTTGGCTTAGGCTTAGGCTTGACCTTGGATTTCGCTTTGATATGCCCATTTTCCGCTTCAGATCCCGCCCAACTCCTCGCCAGCCAAGGAGGAGATCTCGCCGGAAGAGAAAATGATCGAGCTGCTCGAGATGAAGCAGCTCAAGATCGAGGTGGCCGAGCAGACGCCGGAAGAGAAGAAGAGGGCGGAAGAGGTGAGAAAGTCGTGAAAGCGTGAAAAATAGTGAAAAAGTCGGTTCTGGACTGTTATCGGGGGTTATGTTATAGTTTAGTATTTTTGGATTGCTAGAAAGTCATAGCACAAATTTTGAAAAATTTTGAAAATTCGAGAATTTGACCTTTTTTTGGTCATTTTTCATACATTTTTCACCAAAAATACAACAATTTTCGCAAGTATTTATTATTTTTTGTTGCTGTTTTATCTAAAAACGCTATCAAAATGTCTTTATGTTGTGATAGGGCCTTAGGGAAACACAGGGAAAAATTTGGTTCCCCCCCCCCCCGCTAACAGTCCAGCACCAAAAAAGGCTAGAAAGAACTTGTTGATATTTAGAAGTGCGCTACCGTTTAAAGCAATCGTTTTAGCAGGCGTCATGGGACGCCTTGTCGCCGAGGTCTCAGGAAGAGATCCTGAGCGTCATTCGTCACCACAGCCGACCGAGTTCTGAGCCCGAGCCCGAGCCGGTCAACCCGACGAAGCGCACGGCCTACTCACTGGCCGAATACGCTATCGCGCCCCATCGTTTCGTTCACAACCGCCGTAGGCCGCAGGTCGTCACCACGACCACCGTCGTCCCCATGCCGGCCCCCATCGTCAAGCCGGAAGCCAAACCGGAAGCTGCCAAAGTTGAAGCGGTCAAGCCTGCTGCAGTTGTTGTCAAGCCAGTAGAGCCCGTTGACGAGGAGGTCAACGCCATCATTGACCGCGCCATCAACGAGGTGAGATTTTGACTTCGTGCTTAGGCCTAAGTTATGCTTAGGATTAAGGCTTCGGCTGAGCTTAGGCATACATAGCAGAGACCCTTCAAGAGTAACTCATGTTTTTTCAGCACATGCTCATTGACAACAGCCTCGAGGGCGATGAAGAGGAGCGCAACGCGCGCGACGCGCGCGACGCCCTCGCCGCCATGGAGGCCATCCTGGCGCAGTTCCGCATCCAGGACCAGGCACAGATCGAGATTCAGAGGGGCATCAACGACTCGAAGGCCACCGGCGTGCAGTCGCTGGTCAGCATCGCCCAAAACGTCGCCAAGAAGGTGCATCCGGTTGAGGTGAGAGGGAGAGGGGGGAGAGAGAGAGAGGGAGGGCGAGAGCGAGACAATCACCAAAAACATTTTTTACCTTTATTTTTCAGGTCATCGAAAGCCTCGAATACCGTCACTACGAGCCGCAGCAGGAGAAGGCCAGCGAGGAGCAGCAGAACACAGCTGATAACGAGACCACCGAGGACGACGAGACCGAGGAGGACGACTATACCTACGAATCTGAAGCCGAGGATGAAGCCGAGGAGCCGGCCGTCGAAACCAGCTTCGAAAGCGTCCCCCCGCAAGCCGCCCAAATCATTGTGGAGGAGGTGGCCGACGATGTCGAGGAGGACGAGGAGGAGGATGTTTTGGTGAGTCGCTCTCTCTCTCTCGCCCTCTCTCCCGCTATCTCGCAATCATTAACTGTATTATTTTTCCAGGACCGCCAATCTGAGGTTTTCCGCGCCCCCGTGCTCACCGAGTCCGAGTTCGAGCTGTACAGCACTGATGTGGTAAGGTTTTTGACGATTTTTAGAGCAGTTCAGCAGAGGTTCTTTGGGAGCTCATAAATTTGAGCAGAAGAGAGAGAGAGAGCTCCGTACCCTCCTGCCTTCACAACTCCTTTAAATTACCGATTTCAGACCCAAGGTGACCAATCGGATGTCGATTCTGAGACCGGGTCGCTGGACTCGTCCTACTCTATGCCGCGCAGCTCCGAGGGCGGCGTCGACTCGGACGACGACAGCGAGTTCGAGGTGGTCGGCCGCTGGTAGATGTGCACCAACGAGCCCGCGATTTTTTTTCTTTGTATCTTTGTTCTTGTAAAACCCACTGCTGTACCTCACCCGCCGCCGTCTCTCATTTGTCGCATCGCGTAGCGCGCCGGAATTCCGGGGAACAACCTTTACAGCTCCTGTACTTTGTAGTGCTCCGGAATCACCAGTTTCTGTAAACGTAGCGCCCCGGAATCGGTTTATCTTTTTTTTTTGGTGTCAGACACCACTTTTTGAATTTTATATTCACGTTTTTTACTTGGTAACCCGTCTAGTTGAATTCAGGAAGTCTAGTGTTCCATTTTCCGCTTTTTCTCGGCTTACGGTAGCCCCAGGGAGAGCGCACTTTTTAGGAAATTACTCAGGCCTGGCCTGGACAAGATTGCTCTAGAAGGCGCTCAAAATACCGTAATAACCCTGTTGGTGCGGTGTTGTTGGAAAACGAGCGCCAGCCCGTTTCCTAAAACCCGTCCCAGGCTACCGTAGCCCCCAAGCTGGGAGCTCCCTGTTGTCTTTCCCGCCCTAAATGACTCGATCCCTGCCCTCGAGCGTACATTAAACTCCAAAAACCACACTCTTCATCTCTAATTCTCTGCTATCTACTTCCAACCCCCCGTACCCTCCAAAAACCCAGGCTGTATATATACATTACAACTTTTTGTATGCTTGAATAAATCTGTACAGGAATGCCTCGAAATACAACAAAACACCTGGCTAATTGCCAAACAATTACTATAAAAATTTGCGGAATTTCACGTGTGGCTAAATGGTTGATTTCTCGCCTCTCGCGCATGGAGTCAGGGTTCGATCCAGCCTGGGGCAGAGGTTTTTGATGTGGTACAATAGATACGTAGAAAAACGTCAAAAATTCTAAAACGTAAATCCACAATATTACCCAATTCCGGCGCAATACCATGCCCAGCGGGGTGTCTAGTGGAGCGCCGCGTAGCCCGGAAATTTGGGCGTTAGATACGAACAATTCCGGGGCGGTCCACCTGATCGGCGGGCTGTAAAACCCGGGGAAAAGGCCTGCCGCGGCACTCACGACACGCAAAAAAGGCGGCCCCTTATCACGGGCCGGCATCGATCTTGCAACGACCCTGGCAATCGGGCGGAGAAGTACTTCCTTTCCTTTATTCCCCACCTGTTTCTGGGTTATTTCGAGCTAACAATAAGCTAGCTAAGCACACGAAGCTAAGCCAGTCAAACCAAGTCCGGGAGGTAAGCTTATAAAAATTGTAAGCCCGCGCGAAGCTTGAGCTAGAACTAGATGCCAATTAGCGCATAAAAATCTTAGAAAACGCCAGAAAACGCCTAATAAAATAGTAAATCATGAAAATTAAGCAAAAAGCGTTACTGTTCCCAAAAACAAAGCCAAACCAGTTAAGCCAATGAGGCCAACCCAACAAAGCTCATCACTAGCTTAAAAAACTAACACTAGCCAAGCCAAGGTGAAAAGTAAAGCTCCTTGTTATAAAAGAGCCGGAAAACCCCCTAAATTTAAGCCTAGAAATCAAGAGTCAAGCCTAATTCTACTTCCCGAAGCTCAAAAAGCCGGCCAAGCCAACAACACGTTTCCAGGACTCGTGGCTGACTCGGCGGAAGAAGCGTGGGCGTGGGGCGCCCTTCGGCTCAACACCAGTGATGAGATGGACATGATGAAGATGTGGCTCCACTTTGGCGAACGGGAGAAGATCCTCTTCTCGTGGTGGAAGACGGGCACCGCCGCTGGTACGTTTTTCAAAGTTTCTCTTTTCTCACCTTCTCCACCCCAATTATTCTACCTTTAGCTATTTTTGTGACTGAAATTTTATAGGTTCTTATTCTTCAGATTAGGACGAAAATTTTCCTCTACTTTACAGCGGTGTAGGACAAAGGAACAACGTGATACAAATAAAAGCCCGAGTCTTTTTAGGCCTCCTTCTCTCCGTCGTCATCATCTTCCTCCTCTGCATTTTCCACGAGGCGATCAAGGGCCTGCGCTACTTTATCGCAATTCAGCATGAAAACGAGAGAAGGTGGGCCTGGCTTTAGTTTAAAAATGGAACAAATGTTCTAACTTATGTTTTAAGTGATGTGAAGTTAAAATCTATAACTTAATATTGAAACTGACTTAAAAAGTACCTTTAGTAAAACAAAATGCAAAAAAAAATTTAGAAATGAACGCCAGGAACGCCTAAACCGACCGAGCCCACCAACCGGCACGCCGCCCGACAACGTTTCCGAGAGATCCGTTTTGTTTTCGCCGCTTCTTCGATTCAGCGGGTAAGTAAAAAACCTAAAGCAATTAAACACTGGAAAATCCAGAAATTTAGTAGGACCACTTCCAACAAGTAAAAAATGCCAAAAATTTAGATATACAATCGCAAATCTACTTTTTTGAATTAGGAATGTAATATTTGCAAAACTAAACTAAAATGCTAAACCATTACCAAAGCAAAGCCTCGAATTCGATCTCAGAACGACTCGCCGCCTCTTCACGCGCTACCGCATCGCCCAGGCTCTGCTCTACGGCGTCCAGATCGTGCTCTCCTACATGCTGATGCTCATCGTGATGACGTTCAACGTGTGGCTAATCCTAGCCGTGGTCATTGGTGAAGCCGTCGGCTATTTCCTGTTCACCGGCTCGCCAGTGATCGACGACGGCGTCGGCGACTGTTGTTGAAGCCCAAAAACTTCCATTTTTTCGCACTGTGATTCGAACGGGTACCCAGGAACTCAACGATTAGCGCTTGGATCAATCAGCATCTCAAACTCCACACACTTCCGGTCAGCAATAAACCTAAATAGTATAAATGGTCAAAATAAAAAATAACACTTGTGACCTCGACAATTCCAAGAGATTTATTCAAGCTTTCAGATTGTGCAAAATGGACAAAAAAATGAGTATCAATATGCGGGGACTTCGTATGTATAAAAGATGGGCAAATTCGGGGAGAAATTAGGAATGAAGCCGGGGAGTAAAAATTTAGGAAAAGGCGTTCTTAACATAATCCGGGGGCGGCGTTTCGTATTCCTCGCCGTTGTAGTACCGATCCTTGTTCTGGTCGAGCCAGTAGATGATGTCTTGCGTGTCCCTAAAATTAAAATATAATCCGAGATTTTCCAAAAACGCACCTAACAATAACGGCGACTGCTCGATCCTTCCACTGCACATTCTGGAGCAGCGTGCCGAACGTGACGAATATCCGAAGGAGATGGGTGAAGCCGTAGAACTCGGACGGCTTGAAGGCGTTGGTCGTCGCCGCGTCACCGCCTAGAAAAATGATAATGGAACGTAAAAGGCATCTCTTATTGTTTCCGTAAGCTAATTTTTTTTAATCCAAAAATATAGGTTCTCCGAAAAAAAGTTGCCTTGAGAAAATAAACGCACCGCGCATCTTCGGTCGTTTGGCGGGCGGGGCGGCTTTTGTTGCGTGCTCCTGGAGAAGTTGATTGTAGTGGTTGCGCTCAAATTTCGTGAGCAAATGGGCCCTGCAAAATTTATATAATGGCCAAAAAAAAGAATTTACCCCATCGACGCGTCGAAGAAGGCGAGCAGCCCGGCGGCCGTCTCGGCCAGATTCTGCCGCTTCGTGCTCAGCAGCGCGTCGCCGTTGTTGGCCGCGTAGGTGATCACGATCTGCTCGTCCTCGTTCAGCGTCCGGCCAAGTGTTTTTACAAACTAAAATATGAATTTAAGAGAAGAATTAAGAAGCTCACATCTCTCATCAGCTGACCGACCGGCGTCTTTGCAGGGAGGGTGGGCAATTTGTTTTGACGATCGATCTAAAAACAGATTACAAATTTCCAAAAAAGGCGATTACCCGATCGAAATCGTCGACCATTATTCTTCGAAGCCCGTCCGGTATGAGGAAGGTGATCTAAAAGATGGTTTTAAATAGAAGGATAATTCTTACATTCTGCCGGTCGTGTACGACGTCGGGCATCGGCTGATCTGCGAGGCTCTCGGATCGACGGGAAATGCCTAAACCCATTTTTTAAAGGCAACTCGTTAGCAAATACCGGTGCTTCTGCCCGCCTTCTCCGAATGCCGCCCGCTGCCGGCTTGTGAGGGAGTGGAGGCTCGACTGTTCGATCCCTCACTTTTCTTGGATGGCTAAAAAAATTACAATTAAAACTAAATGCAAAATTTGTAAAACGCACGTCTTTCTCCTTTTTCGTGACGTTTTTGGCCATCTTTTGTTGTTCGAGGGCTTCCCCGGCGGCCTCCTCGCTGTACTCCTTCCACTTGGTGGCCGTCTCCTTTTCGCTGACCAGCTCGTCGTAGCGGTTGCCCCACCCCTGAAAAATAGTTATGACCTTGAAAGTATTCCTACCTTGAAATGAATCTTGTAGTGCTTGACGCCGTCGATTTCCTCGATGCTGACGATCTTCGCCTCGTACCAGAGATCGCCGTTCCAGTGCGACATCAGCTTGTCGCCGACGGCCCAGTTTTTGGCCGGCATTGTGGTCTGGAAAAATGGGATTCGGGCAATCTATTAAAAAAAGGAAAGATGAGGATTTCAGGTATCTTGATTAATTAGTGGATTTTGAAGACGACCCGTAACTACCGCCTCTATCTTTTAGGACCTAGACAAGGAAGCAATGCCAAAACGAGCCTCCTAAAGTAAATAACTCCCTCTTTCCTTGCAGGATAAAGCTTTTGAGTGTGTTTTACAGGAGAGTTTTATTTACAATCAAATTAGTTGAGCTATGCGGGAAAGAGCGTCATTTGCAGGCTTCCCTAAGTGTAATAGATTAATTTTAAGTAAATTTTAGGTTTAATTAAAAAAGTAAACCAAAAAAATTTTCGAGAATAGAAAAGCATAAGCGAACGCTTGGTTTGAAAGGGCACAGCATCGAACCCGTTCGCAGTCGACGCACAGGAGCGATATCGCGCCCCGCGGAGTGTCGTGTAGTGGCTACGTTGCAGAAGCGCAGTGGTTTCACCGATTAGTACTCTTATAATTCTTCTAAATTTACCCCTTTAATACCTTAATTCATTTACATAATTAACTTTAGATGATCCCCCTCATCATCGCGATCATCGGCGTGCTGATCGTGCCCGCACAGGCCGAAATCCGCGGTCTCGCCCCTGATGGTTGGTTATGGATTTTGGAAATTTAAAACGAATTTTAGTCGCCACCTTCTACAAAGTCGGCAAAGAATTCGCGTGCCTGGACGGCAGCCTGAAGATCCCGTTCACTCAGGTCAACGACGACTACTGTGATTGCCCAGATGGGAGCGATGAGCCGGGTATGGTTTTTTCCGCCTGCTGTTGATGATATATGCCGTTTTTTATAGTTTTGATTGCTGGAAAGTTATCTATAATTTGAAAAATTGAAAAATTTAGAAAATTAACTTTTGGCTATTTTTCATACATTTTTGCCCTAAAAATGGCAAAAATTCTCGAAAAGTTTTACAATTTAAATTCATGGGCCTTTCGATCTGACTGTGTAAAAAGCTATAACTATTGTTTAAAATTTGTGGGTGGGGCCGTATAGGATTGCTGAAAGAATTTTGGTCTTCCTCTGAACAGTCCAGTATCTAAAATTTATAAAATGCCCTTTTTCAGGAACTTCCGCTTGCCCGAACGGCCGCTTCTACTGCCAGAACGGCGGGCACAAGCCGCTCCACATTTTCGCTTCACGTGTCAATGACGGAATTTGTGGTAAGTATCATTTTTCAAAGCTATTCATTTTCTTTCCGATTGCTGCGACGGTTCCGACGAATGGGGAAGCAACGTGAAGTGCTCGAACATCTGCAACGAACTCGGGCGTGCGGCCAGGGAGGAGGCGGAGCGAAGGGTGGGCTTTTCAATGCGAACCCTGGAAAAAAACAGATTTCAGGCCGAAATCGCGCGCAAGGGCTGGGCCGTCCGGTCGGAGATGGCTCGGCAAGGCCAGGATCTGAAGGTGCTGAGAGGAACCAGACAATTTTTCGATGTCCACGGGCATCGGGTGTCCCGGGATGAGATTGACCAAAATTGGGGGCTGTAGAAAGGGAATATTTTTGTAAATTTGTATTAGAGACAAGAGCTAAATTTTAGCTTTATTTCGAAAATAGGCCGTTTTTTCTTGACTAAAATAGGCCTTAAAACTATTTATTTTGTGTCTCTAAGGCTATCAATATGTGACTATTTTTTGTACATACCCAGATTGACGAAAATTTCTTTTAGCCTTCGAGGATAACGTCGAAAATTCGAAACAAATTTTTAGTTATTGGGTTCTTTTGCATTATCGGGGGGGCAACTTTTTCCTAGAAGTCTAGAAATGTTTAATAACGTACTAGTAAGTAATAGTAATTAGTAATTTTTTTGGGCTAAGATTTTGATCGAAAAACGTCATTTTTGGTAGAAGTCGATTTTTTTTGCTTGAGTTTTACGTTTAGGAATAATAAAAAAAGTTTAGAAAGACTTTCTCTAATTAAATTAGCAAAACTGGATATTTAGAAAAAGTTAGCCCCCCCCCCCGATAGTGCGAAAGAACCAATTCAAGCTTTATCGTCTGGTTTAAATTAATTTTTGGTATCTCCCCCAATTTGCTCACAATTTTGTTTGTCGATACACACTTCCGGGTCACCCACTTGTCAATGACTAGCATTACGGGCACGATAAACTTTTTTTCATTACGATTTCTGCAAGCACAATATACATTTCTTCTTTTAAGACGGAAAGCGAGGTGAAGGTGGAGCCGCTGCGTGCGGAGCGCGAGCAGCTGGTGCCCAGCCGCGACGAGCTCGAGAAAAAGTGCGGCTTTTCCTTCGCGTTCAACAAGTTTTGTTTAGGAAAAAGGAGGCCGAGGACCTGGAGCGCAGCGCCAAGGACGATTTCAGGAAGAAGTGGGAAGGTAATGGAATTTTTAAGGTTTAAAAAATATTTTTTAAGATGAGAAAAATGTGAAGAAGCGCGCACGCTCGGACCAGGTGTTCGACCAGTTGGACCTGAACCAGGATGGAAAGTAGGCGAATCATTTGAAACAAAACTTCGCGGAAATTTAGGCTCACTCGCGACGACATTGCCAAGAACGCGCTTTTCGACACGAATGGGGATGGTATTGTCGATGAGGAGGAGATCAAGGTGATTTTTTTAGTCGTTTTAATGTGAGGATTATATTTTTAGGTTTATCTGACAACCGAGGAAGTGGACAAGGAGCAATTCTTCACCCAGACCTACGATTTGGTCAAGATTCAGATGCGAAATCAGGTATTTTTGGCGTCTAAATAAAAAGAACGAGCGTTTTAGGCGGACCATCAAAAGGAGGAGAAGCAAGCTCCGGAAGAATTGGCGCACGAGGATGACCTCGACGACTTGGAGCCGGGTATTTAAAGATGTTTGTAGTTGTACTGTTTTTTAGAAGAGGAGAAGCACGACGACCATCACGACCACCACGACGAGGACGACCTGCCGATGCCCGAGTACACCGACGAGATCAAGGCGCTGATTGCTGGTAAATTTTCAGGAATTTAATGATAAAACCTGCCTTATAGCATACGAGAAAGCGCGCGACGACTGGCAAGAGGTCAACACGAAGGTGTCCGACTTGGATCGGCAAATAAAGTATGAAACTTTTTTAGCTTTCAATCGAAAGTGTTTTCAGTGATGCCGAGTCGTTCCTGCAACAGGATTTCGGGCCGGATCAAGCCTGGGCCTCGCTCAAAGGTGTGGATTTTGCGCATAATTTGATTTGGTTCTTTGGCATTATTGGGGGAGGAGTTTCTTAGAACCCAATTTTTCACATTTTTTAACCGAAGTGTTTCTAAACGGTTTTTATTATTCCTAAGCGCAAAAACTCTAAAAATTGTTATTAAAGAATGCAGAAAATAGTGTTTTTTGGCTAAAGTTGGACGTTTTTGGACCAAAAGCCGACTTTTTAAAAACTTTTAGACTCGTTTTAGATAGTTGTTCTAGTTGAAACTTAGTTTTGTTAATTAAAATCATTATCAATACTTTCTATTAAGTTACTAGGCATTTCTGGACTTATAAAAAATTGTCCTCCCCCGATAATGCGAGAGAACCTTTAATCCTCTTTTTGCTTGTAGGAAAGTGCTTCGACCTCGACGAGGGCCAGTACACCTACAAGATGTGCCCGTTCGACAAGACGGTGCAAAAGGATCGCCACGGGCACTCGGAGACGAGATTGGGGTATGAAAAATGCGGGAAATCGGCTAGAATCGAATGTTATAATAGGTGTTTTTGAAGCGTCCGGCTATAGTAGATATAAAGTGTTGAAGACGGAAATCAACTTTTTCGTTCAGCGAATTCACCGGCTGGACGGGCAAGGAGCCGCGCAAATACTCGGAACAAATGTACGAAAAGGGCCAACAGTGCTGGAATGGGCCGCAGCGAAGCACAAAGGTATACCAAATTTTTTTTTTGGATGAGAAAAGCGTGTTCATTTTTCGTACCAAGCATTTTTCCAAAGGGTGTTTTCCCGGTATCGGCCAGTTTCAGTGTTTTAATAGTGTTTTTAGTAAAATGTAATCACTTCTCAGGCGGAAAAAATACACAAAATCTAAACTGGTTGGTTTTGGTTGAAAACACTGTGAAATTTTTGGTTGAAAATTAACCATTTCTGGTCGAAAAATTGTTTTGCATTTTTTAACAAAAATTTGTAAAGTTTTACGCTTAGGAATAGTACAAATTTAGAAAAACTTGAGCCTAGGAAAAATTTTGTCCCTCCCCCCGATAATGCGAAAGGACCAATTTTTTTGGCGTTTCAGAACGATTTCGACTATTTATATTAGAATAGCGGGATCCTAGGAAAACTTGCCCCCCCCCGTACTGCAAAAGATCCCGTAATTATTTCAGGTAATCATCGAGTGCGGCGAGACCGAGCAGCTCGTTGAGGCGACCGAGCCGGCCAAGTGCGAGTACCAGTTCCGCTTCCTCACCCCGGCCGCCTGCAACAATCCCGACCAAAAGGACCCGCCGCATGAGGAGCTCTAACTCGGCCTCCCCGCCCCACTTTCATTCGCTTGTGATATTTCTTTCTTTTTTTTTTGTAGTTCCTATCTGGTTTCTGATACTGTGTGCCCTTGTGGGTTGTGAATTTGGATAAACGTGTAATAGCTGAGCGCCACCTTTGCTTGTTGCTCACCACCAAGCACGTCTCGCGCCTCAGGGTCAAGCTCCACGGAAATTTTGGGCAAATACGGGCCTCTGAAGCAGGCGTTGACCTTCCGGGGAGCTGGAATCCGGCGGGAATTTGCCCCAAGAGGCGTACTCGTCGCCGAGGAGGACGAGCAAATAGTGCGACTGGTTACTGGGGTATATAACGGGGAGTAGCAATGGGCATTTTTAGTGAGCTGTGAGTTTCATTTTCTATTCGACACTGTTAGGTTTTACAGTACATGATTTGTTAAGTCTTGTATCTTAAAACAGCAAGAAAAGCAGTGGCTCGAATTTAGCGTTTCTAGGTTTTTTTGCAGCTCTTTCTGTTTCTTTTTTGGCTGCTTTCGCACGATTCGGCGGTAATCTATACTTTAAGAAATGGCGCTTCGAGCCCTCAGCATCGTCGCCCTCGCCGTACTGCTCCAAGACGCCGGCGCCTGCTTTTCGGCAGGCGTCTGCGGCGGGGGCTGCTGTGGAGGCGGAGGCGGCGGCTGCGCACCTCCACCACCACCGCCGGTAAGTCGGGCTTAGTAGGCGTAGGCTTAGAGCTAGACTTGGCTTAGGCTTAGGCTTAGGGTTCGGCTTAGGCTTAGGCTTTGCTAAGTTTCGCTTAGGCTCAGGCTCAGGCTTTAACTTAGGCATAGGCTTGACTTGGCCTATAACTTCGCTTTCCAGGTATGCGGCGGCGGATGTGGGCGCGGCTACCAGTGCGGCCAGTACGGCTGCTACCGCATGCGCGCCAAGGTCAGCGGCGCGAAGACGCTCAACGTGCTGCAGGAGGGGAACAAGGTAAAAGAGCGATATTTAAGGCTTAGAATGTATTCTGAAGTAAAAAATCCAGCCATCGACTTTTCGGGTTTTTCAAGGATGGAAGCGCGAGAATCGACTTCCTTTTTCGACTAGGTCTAGACGGCCTCGCGCTACCCAAAAGTACCTTCTTAGCCCCTTTAAAATGCCATAATTTTGGAATTTTTCTTCAGGACCAGCTCGCCCAGTTGACGCCCGACCAGAAGTTTAAGTCTTGTTGCGAGGAACGGTAAGTGGCGTAGTGTGTTTTTTTATGAAAAAGAGCTTTAGAGAGCTGCCAGACGGCTGCCTGTCCAAATGCACGTACCGTACTTTCACGCGCAGCGCGCTACAGGTTTCGCTTGTTGGTTTTCTTTGCTAAACGGCGCCCCCACCCTCAGGCGATGTACTTCAAGAGCGACGCGTGCCCAATTCAGGCTGCCGCGGATATCCAGTTCTGCGCCGCACAGGTGAGTAGATGAACAATGAGGGGGCTAGCAGAGATTCTTTAGGTAAGGGCAGGTTAGCAGAGATTCTTTAGGAACGGACAGGCTAGCAGAGATTCTTTAGGAAAGGGCAGGCTAGCAGAGATTCTTTAGGAAAGGGCAGGCTAGCAGAGATTCTTTAGAATCCATTGAAACCAATTTCCAGGGCCGTGACCACAGAGATTGCTGCCAGCGCAATGGTGTAACTACAACCCTGGCAGGCGAGAAGTGCCTGGTCTTCTGCGATCAGGTAGGGCAAGCTAGCAGGGATTATTTGGGAATCGAGGCTAATTCATGAAGTAATACTGTAAATTATCCAGTTTTTAGCGACCCGGAAACGTCACCCAGCTCGACCTCACCTATCTGCCTTGCCTCGAGCATTTCGATAATATGAAGAGCTGCTTTTGGTTCGATATGACGCATGGTAAGTGCAGGCATGCTAGCAGAGATCCTTTAGGACAGGGCAGGCCAGCAGAGATTCTTTAGGATAGGGCAGACTAGCAGAGATTCTTTAGGACCTGGCGCCTCACTTCCGCCTGCTGCCCTCCCAAGCCGCCTGGCGCACCAACCTCGAAAAATCGCCTACTACCGTACCTCCGAGGAGAAATTCGCCTTCTGAAGCGGATTCTGGGGTTTCTTATTGATATTTATTGGATTGTGGTAGATGTGTTGATAAATTTAATTAAAATTAATTTACAGTAAGAACGCAAGAATTTATGGCATTAAATTAACATACAGGGCAGGTTCAAAAACGCGCATCCGCGGAATTTTTCGAATTGCTGACATCCTATCCTATAAGCGAGAAAAGTATGTGTGTTTTCTGTACAGCCGATTTCTCGGCCGTTAGGCCGAATTTCCGGCTGATTTTTGGCATGGAGGTGGAGAAACACATTTGTCAGTAACGCATTTTTTTTATTTTTCGAAATTCCTTCATTTAACGATTTTACAAGCAAAATAGTGCAAAATCCTTAACAACTTGGCCGAAAAAAGGTTTGTTCAGAGGATATCTCTCGAGCCAAATGGAATTAGGCGCTAATTTTTGGAGGGCAGATTGAAAATTACATTCTCCTGTGATATAATTCTGGGTTTTGGCAGATTTTGTAATCTAAAATTTTTATGAGCATTTTTCCAAAAGGTCCTTAACAAAATGGGCCAAGAGCCGTGGTGTCCGGGGCATAACTCGAAGCCCTGATGGAATTCCGGGCTGAAATTTAGACCATTTAGGCAATCAAAAGTGGGGATCATGCGCATCTTATTATCTTTACAAATTTTCAGCGGATTGTGACTCAAAAATGGAATTTTGTAAAGTGGCCAGAAGGCCTCCCGCCCGGGGCATTTGGTCGGCCCTCTGTTTGCCTCGCGCCCCTCCCCAGAACGGAAGAGGCCTTTCCCGCCCCCTGTCCCCATGTGCCTCTTGGTGTATGGGGTTAGCTCCCGGGCTACCACGCGGGAGGACATAGGTTCGGATCCTGGGCCAAGTTGGCTTTTTGCTTTTTGGTAGTTTAGCAAGCAAAACATCGTTCTATGCTATCGCATGCGAGGTTTAGGCCTGACCCTCGATCTAGCGCCGCAGGCCGAAGAAAAGGTCTTTGACCCAGGCTCTCGCGCCGCAGGCCTAGGATGGGTCCTTGATCTAGGCTCTTGCGCCGCAGGCCAGATCCTGGAGAACAACCAGTAATTAGCGCCGCAGGCAAAAAGTTTCTAGCGCGAGGTTTAGGCCTGGCTCTCGCTCTAGCGCCGCAGGCCAAAGAAAGGGTCCTTGATCCAGGCTCTCGCGCCGCAGGCCAAAGGATGGCTCCTTGACCAACGTACTTGCGCCGCAGGCTAAAAAAAGGAAGGTGTTCAAATTCATGGTTCCTGGACGGGGTCCAGTGGAAAAGGGCCGCGAAGCGGTCTTTTTCCACTGGTTTCATAATACCGAATTTTGTGGCATGAAAAACAGCGAAAAATTAAATTAAAACAGAGAAAGATTTGAATACAGACTCCAAATTTAGAATGTGTTTGAGGAATTCGCGATTTTGGAACTTTGGAGCTCTCATTTTCAAACGGCGGCCTTTTCTCGAATGGTGGGCGTTTTAAAGGGACTGGCAAGTCAGAAAACTCACGGCTTTTCGATGTAAATGCTTCTATTTATTGTCTGTTTTTCAGCGCCTCCTCCGGGGGATTCTCCTTGTTTTATGGGTCGGGGTTGTCGCTTCCCAGGTTGGTTTGGGGGTTGGGTAACTCAGAATATCCAAATTTCAGTCTGCGAATGGGACGGCACCTAGGAAACGAGATATTTCGAAGGGTGAGAAGCGCTCTGCTTTCTCTCTCTTTCTCTCTCTCTCTCTCTCTCTCTCACTTTTTCTCTCACTCGCTCTCTCTTTGTCTCTCTCTCCCTGCTGAACACCCCGATTTCCAGAAGCGACCAACTACCAGACGCTCAGCTACTGGCACCATAAGCGCGACTATGACAAGTGGACCGAGTTCCTCAACAAGAAGACCGGCATGTGGCATGACTGGCTGAACGGGCTCGGACACAAGCAAAGCAATGTATGGGTTTTTAGCAATTTCCCTAAGAGTCACTGCTAGCCTGCCCTTTCCTAAAGAATCTCTGCTAGCCTGCCTTTTCCTGAAGAATCTTTGCTAGCCTGCCCTTTTCTAAAGAATCTCTGTTAGCCTGCCTTTTCCTGAAGAATCTCTGCTAGCCTGCCCTTTTCTAAAGAATCTCTGCTAGCCTGCCTGTTCCTGAAGAATCTCTGCTAGCCTGCCTTTTCCTGAAGAATCTCTGCTAGCCTGCCCTTTCCTAAAGAATCTCTGCTAGCCTGCCCTTTTCTAAAGAATCTCTGCTAGCCTGCCTTTTCCCTAAGAATCACTGCTAGCCTGCCCTTTCCTAAAGAATCTCTGCTAGCCTGCCCTTTCCTAAAGAATATCTGCTTGCCTGCCCTTCCCAAAGAATCGCTGCCAGCTCCCTATCCTCCCTATTTTCAGCCCTTCGACGGGCGCAGCACCGCCACATATGGTAAGCTGCACTGCCCTACCGTAACCCTCACAACCCACTACAGCCGCCTTGGTTATGTTGGCCGCCATCGTATTCGCCACTTGCATCGCCTCGTGCATGGTCTGGACTCGGTGGAACATTTCCGCCGAGGAGCAGGAGCTCAAGCTCATGGTGGGGCTTAGCTTACTAGGGAAGTCCAAGATACCCGCAACACGAATCGGGCTGGAAATTTGCACAGTTATAGAACCGGCCATGCTGATCATCGCCTCGTTTTCCGAATTTGCTACCGAGCTTAAATAATTAAGATATTAAACTTTTTTAAATGGGTCAAAAACCCGCTACCCTGACCCTGGCTCACTAGAGCGGGTCGGGTTCAAGAGGCCTTTGGGAAGCCTCCTCCCCAGAGCTTCGGTAGTCAACTACTAAGCGCCTCGCTTCCTTCCCAGGTGGAGGGTCCGGGTTCGGACCCGGTCCGCGCATTTTTTTTTGCTTTTTTGCTAATTTTGCGCCGCACATGTGGCGCGTGTCCAGATTGTGTTATGCACACGCATTTACGTACATCCTGGGGTGGTACCAAAGCTCCAAAACCACCGTGGTTAAAATTTAACCACCATGGTTAAATTATAACCACCCATAGTTAAAATTTTACCACCCATGTTTAAATTTTAACCGCCCAAAACCAATGGTAAAAAGCTAACTTTTGGAGGAAGGTTTCTACGACAATTAAGAGGTCTAGAAACATCGCAAAATTCACGGATAGGTTTCTTAAAACGCTTGATCGAATGCCGCTAACCTTTTCTTGGTGCAATACTTGGAAAGGGGCTAGAAAGGAGCTTGGAAATTTAACCACGATGGTTAAACCATAACCACCCATAGTTAAATTTTAACCATCCATGGTTAAGTATTAACCACCCATGGTTTAATTTTAACCATAGGTGGTTAAACATTAACCATCGAGGGCCAAAACCAAAAAAGTTAACCACCCAAAAAGTAATACTTTTTATAAACCATGTTAAAAATTCCTCGAAAATTCAAACTCCTCAATAAGGTGAATATGGTTTCTTTAGACGATATTCTAGCAAGTGGAAAGGATATTAGGGCCGTAGGCGGTGGCCTATAGGCAAAAAGTCGCCTCAAAAATTTAACCCCCCATGGTTATATATTTCGTGAAAACGTTTTCACGAAACATATAACCACCCTAGTTAAATTTTTTTAGGATAAAGTTAGCCACCTTCCGGCTTCGGACGGTAAAAATTTTCATCAAAGATTAAAACGGAAGCACTCCGCCCACCCATTCCGCACTTTTTTTGATATTCTCTCTTTAGACATCACTCCCCAGTCATTGTTTCGATAAATCCGCATATTTTTGATACTTTGTTACCTCGAGGATTGGCATTAATTGGACACCGATCGCTCACAACAAGTAACTTGGGAAGCCGTTTTCCTAACGGTCATACCGCAGCAGGCTTTTTGGCCACGTCTACCTAGCCCTTTCGTATAGTGTAGGAAATTAGGAAATCATAATTTTTTCGAAAAATTGGTCCTCCCCGTTTCGCGGAGGGTTCGCGATAAGTTGGCTCTATAACGAAATATAGGCCATTTTATAGTATTTTATGCTCTTTTTAGATATAAAAATCCGAAAAACTCATTCCATTTTTCGAGAAAATTTGGACTTGTTGGCCAAAATTGTATGAATAGCGGCCAAAAAAGCTCAAAATATTCAAGATTTACAAAATACCTTAAAATGTTTTTGTTTTCTGTAACTTCCTAGCAACCAAAAACTACTAAAAACATTATAAAAATGGTCTACATTTTCGGAACGCACCGAAAAGACCGAATGCACTGAGGAGTCCGATTTCGATTCCGGAAGGCCCTGGGATAGCAGCCGCTTTCTACATAGGCTCACGGATGGTTTAGAAAGCGATAAATTGGGTTCACATTGCTTTCTTCCAAAGAATTTCTACCGATAAATGGGATAAATTGATTTTGGATGGGTGGTTAAATTTTTTCGTGTTAGGTGGTTAAATTTTAACCATGGGTAGTTACAATTTAACCATGGATGGTTAAAATTTAACCATGGGTGGTTAAACTTTAACCAGGGTGGTTAAATCAGGGTGGTTAAATCTACTTTGGTACCACCCCAGGAAATGAATTTCAACGAAATCATAAATTTACCAGATGGTTCCAGTCGCTTCGCGACTGTAACCATCTGGCCTTCGGGCTACCCTTCATGCAATCCACTTAAAAAACTACTTCGATACCTCCCTGGTGGCTTTAGATACCCCCCATGGCTGAAATCCCCTTCAAAAACTACCTAGATACCTTCCTGATGGCTTCAGATACCCCCCCATGGCTGAAATCCCTTCAAAAACTACCTAGATACCTTCCTGATGGCTTCAGATACCCCCCATGGCTGAAATCCCCTTCAAAAACTACCTAGATACCTTCCTGATGGCTTCAGATACCCCCCATGGCTGAAATCCCCTTCAAAAACTACCTAGATACCTTCCTGCTGGCTTCAGATACCCCCCATGGCTGAAATCCCCTTCAAAAACTACCTAGATACCTTCCTGATGGCTTCAGATACCCCCCATGGCTGAAATCCCCTTCAAAAACTACCTAGATACCTTCCTGATGGCTTCAGATACCCCCATGGCTGAAATCCCTTCAAAAACTACCAAGATACCTTCCTGATGGCTTCAGATACCCCCCATGGCTGAAATCCCCTTCAAAAACTACCTAGATACCTTCCTGATGGCGTCAGATACCCCCCATGGCTGAAATCCCCTTCAAAAACTACCTAGATACCTTCCTGATGGCTTCAGATACCCCCCATGGCTGAAATCCCCTTCAAAAACTACCTAGATACCTTCCTGATGGCTTCAGATACCCCCCATGGCTGAAATCCCCTTCAAAAACTACCTAGATACCTTCCTGATGGCTTCAGATACCCCCCATGGCTGAAATCCCCTTCAAAAACTACCTAGATACCTTCCTGATGGCGTCAGATACCCCCCATGGCTGAAATCCCCTTCAAAAACTACCTAGATACCTTCCTGATGGCTCAGATACCCCCATGGCTGAAATCCCCTTCAAAAACTACCAAGATACCTTCCTGATGGCTTCAGATACCCCCCATGGCTGAAATCCCCTTCAAAAACTACCTAGATACCTTCCTGATGGCTTCAGATACCCCCCATGGCTGAAATCCCCTTCAAAAACTACCAAGATACCTTCCTGATGGCTTCAGATACCCCCCATGGCTGAAATCCCCTTCAAAAACTACCTAGATACCTTCCTGATGGCTTCAGATACCCCCCATGGCTGAAATCCCCTTCAAAAACTACCTAGATACCTTCCTGATGGCTTCAGATACCCCCATGGCTGAAATCCCCTTCAAAAACTACCTAGATACCTTCCTGCTGGCTTCAGATACCCCCCATGGCTGAAATCCCCTTCAAAAACTACCTAGATACCTTCCTGATGGCTTCAGATACCCCCCATGGCTGAAATCCCTTCAAAAACTACCTAGATACCTTCCTGATGGCTTCAGATACCCCCCATGGCTGAAATCCCCTTCAAAAACTACCAAGATACCTTCCTGATGGCTTCAGATACCCCCCATGGCTGAAATCCCCTTCAAAAACTACCTAGATACCTTCCTGATGGCGTCAGATACCCCCATGGCTGAAATCCCCTTCAAAAACTACCTAGATACCTTCCTGATGGCTTCAGATACCCCCCATGGCTGAAATCCCCTTCAAAAACTACCTAGATACCTTCCTGATGGCTTCAGATACCCCCATGGCTGAAATCCCCTTCAAAAACTACCTAGATACCTTCCTGATGGCTTCAGATACCCCCCATGGCTGAAATCCCCTTCAAAAACTACCTAGATACCTTCCTGCTGGCTTCAGATACCCCCCATGGCTGAAATCCCCTTAAAAAACTACTTCGATACCTTCCTGATGGCTTCAGATACCCCCCATGGCTGAAATCCCCTTCAAAAACTACCTAAATACCTTCCTGATGGTTTAAGATACCTCCCTAGCCGAAATCCTTTTAAAAAACGAAAATAACGACCGACCGGATGGAATGAAAGAAAAAAAGAAATGAAATCCCCCGTGAAAATTTTCATCCACGAAACGCGCGCGACCTGGCTCACTATGTCCAAAATCACCCCAACCTCCGTCCCCCGCCCCTTTTACTAAGGAAAAAACTTTCAAAGTTAATTTTAATAATTTAAACTAAAACTTTTTCGTAATTTTTTTATCAGTTTGGGGGTTTCTGACCACGCTCTATCCGAATCCGAAGAGAGCTAAGCTCTAGCTCCTTTCCCCTTCGAGTTGAATTCGGCTTCGGACGGAGACCACAACAAAATTATTATAGTTGATGAAAAAAAGTTCATAAAAACAACACTAGTAAAAATTGTTGAAAACCGGTATTCCGTAATTCGACGGCAGCAACCGGCTCATCTGCGCGTAGTAAAAAACACAATCTGGACACGCGCCGCATGTGCGGCGCAAAATTAGCAAAAAGCAAAAGAAAAATATGCGGAACGGGTCCGAACCCAGACCCTCCAACTGGGAAGCGAGGCGCTTACCAGTTGACTACCGAAGCTCTGGAGAGGGGGCTTCCCAAAGGCCTCTTGAACCCCACCCGCTCTAGTGAGCCAGGGTCAGGGTAGCGGGTTTTTGGCCCATTTTAAAAGTTTAATATCTTAATTATTTAAGCTCGGTAGCAAATTCGGAAAACGAGGCGATGAACAGCATGGCCGGTTCTATAACTGTGCAAATTTCCAGCCTGATTCGTGTTGCGGGTATCTTGGACTTCCCTAGTTAGCTTAGGCTTAAGTTAAGCTAATTTTGTTATTTTTATTATTCAGAGACGAGCCAAAAGCGAGAGATGGCTGTGGAAGGAGGATTACTTGCCGCTTCGCCGCGTCATCAGCCAGGAGGTATTTTCGGGGCTTTAGGATACAGCCTTTTGCGACAGATCCGGACCAGGGACGATGGAAATCCGTTGGGCTCGGAGCGGGTTCAGAAAGGTGAGTCCCGCCGCTCACTCTCTCTCTCTCTCTCTCTCTCTCTCTCTCTCTCTCTCTCTCTCTCTCTAACTCTCCTTTCAGAATTCCTGGTCTGCCAGGAGCGCAGGAGGCAGAGGGCCATACAGGAGGCCAGAAGGCTAGAGGAGCTGCGGAAGAAACACGAGGTAGATCAACCTTGTCAGATTGACGTAATTTCCCTAAGGATCTCTGCTAGCCTGCCCTTTTCTAAACTTAAAACAACAAAATTCCAGAGAAAAAACAAAACTATTCTTTAAGCGACAAAAGTACGGATTTTTTTAGCTTGAGGAAGCGGCGGCGGCTAGGGAAGCCGCAGTGGACGCCGCAGTCGCAGCGGCAGCCGGAACGACATCTCCCACCAGCTCCCAGCCAACCCCATCCGACGCCGACACCAAGCCCAAGCCATAGAAGCCGACAAAGCCACGAGCTTCCCCCTCGCTTCCCGATACCCAAAAGCGCGATTCTATGCCATATTCCGTTGCTGTGATAAAGAATTTTTCGATCTGATTGGAAGATTTTTTGGCTTGAGTATGCATTGGCTAGACTAGGCTTAGGTTTGGGCTTGGCCTTTGGCTTAGGCTTAGGCTCAGGCTTAGGCTTGGAGGTCGACCCGGGAAATCATCCATCGATGGCTAACGCCTATTTTGGCGTTTTTATTTGATTTTTTGCCTTCAATTACGTCCCGCGTAGCTTTGCGCAGCAAAAATTGTATTATTTTTCAAACATTGAAGCTCTGCGCGCGAGCCAGCCCTTGTCAGGATTTCGCTCCGGGCTTATTCAAACCAGTTTGAAACGCTGATGCCGATGTGCTAACTGGCAAAGCTGGCATGCAAGCAATGAGGCCGAAAAAACTTTATTTACAACGTAAAAAATTAATTTGCAGAATGGTTATGCTGGTAAAAGTATCAGGTTTCGTTATTTCAAAGGCCCAGCTCCCTGGCATTGATCTGTAATAAAGAATTTAACGTAGGAACTCTACTTTTTCGCTGATGGAATTATTCAAGCCTGAAAAGCGCTTACCGCTCCCAAAATTTTGCCCTGGTTGATGGCGACAATGTTTTCGGCGACTTCGGTGGCGACCCGCAGCTGGGCATCAGTCTAAATTTTTTTTAGATTTTTTAGATTTATTTTGTAGGTAGAAGCTGTACAAATCGTCAAGAAAAGTAGTTGGATATGTAATTTCCTCATTCTCACTTAGACAAAAAAAACTACCGTTGAAGCGCCAAGGTGAGGCGTGCAAATGGCTTTCGGGTGCTCGACGAGCGCGCGGTACTTTGGCGGCTCCTAAAAATACGTTTTTCACGACAAATTCCCCCACTCACCTCCTCGAACACATCAAATGCAGCGCCGGAAGCCTTTCCGCTGTTCAACGCCTCCACCATGTCCTCCTCGTTGACGATGCCGCCCCGGGCGACGTTGATGATCCGCACGCCCTGCTTGCACTTGGCAAAAACTAGAAAACGAGGTTTATAGAAAGCTATGAAAATCGTTTTAAAAAATTTTAAAAATTCAAGTTTTTGTCCTTTATCACAACTTTTCTACATTTTTGACCAACCATTTTTAGAGTTTTTATAGATCGTAAATATTTTCTATGTATAGCCGACCTTCTTTGTTGATCAAATTACGCGTGGATGCGATCAGCGGCACGTGGACGGTAATGTAGTCGGCGAGGGGCCAGATTTCGTCGAGCGTCATCAGTTCGACGCCGCGCTCGAGGGCTTGCTGAAAGAGGACAATCCATTAAGTAAGAAAAAAAACACAAAATGTACTGTAAAAGTGTAAAAAACACAATTTTCCACCTAAAATTTCGTACCTCCTTGCTGAGCACGGGGTCGTAGCCGATCACGCGCATCCCGAACGCCTTCAGCCGCTGCGCAACTTCCGAGCCGATGCGCCCACAGCCAAGGATAGCCAGGGTACGACCGAATACCTAAATCATAATTTCTAGGGCGTAACACGGAAGCTTTCTGTCTAAAATCCCTCGGAATCGACCCCGCCATCGGCTAGGTCTCGACGGCTACGCGATACACCAAAACACGCGTCCCAGCGCCTCGATTTTTGCCGAAATTTCGCGGCGCCAGCGCAACGTACCGTTGCTTAGGTCTCGACGGCTACGCGATATACCAAACCACGCGTCCCAGCGCCTCGATCTTTGCTGAAAATTCGCGGCACTAGCGCAACGTAAAACTACGCTCGTTTCATCCGAGTGCCACGTAGCTAGCGAGACCTAGGCGGCGCTAGGGGTCGATTCTCGCATTTGTTAGCCCCTTTAAGATAGCGCGCAACGCCAAAAAAAACGCACTTCCTCCCCCATATAGTCCTTCCGTGCCCATTTGCCGGCCTTCATCGAGGCGTCGGCCTGGGCGATGTGACGAGAGAGCGACAGGATCAGAATGCAGGTCAGCTCGGCGGCAGAGCGCGAGTTGGCTTCTGTAAAAAAAGGAGCTTTCAACAGACTTTAGGGGTGCTAATGCACTTGCAGGGGGTGGTCTGAAATTGGTAGCAACGGGACGCTCCGCTTAAGGTACTTGGTTTTTAGTTTCTGCCTAGGCTTCACTCAGCTTTAACCAACTTAAGTTTGCTTAGGCTTCTGCCTAGGCTTAAGCTTAGGCTCAGGCTTGAATTCAGGATAAGTCACTCGCCTAAGCCAAAGCCCAAGCCTAAGCCTAAGACACTGGCTTATAAATCAAGCCTAAACCCACGCGGCGTGTTGATGACGAGCACGCGATGCTGGCTCGCAGCTTCGACATCGATATTGTCGACACCGGTCCCGGCTCGGCCGACCACCTTCAACTTGCCGGCGGCCGCCTCCAGAATCTCGCGTGTAATCTGAAAAGAAGGGTTTTTTATTGGTTGACCCAATTTAATTTTCTAGTTGTTCTACAAAACGTCCGAAAATTCCCCAAAAGTCTGTGCCAGATCGCCCGAATGGACCCCCGACAGCACAGACAGTTTTTTTAGGGTATTTTCGTTCCGGGACCCCTCCCCAATCTAATCTCACACTCCGGTTTATCATCACAAAAAGCGAGGGCGGAACTTCCGCTCCAGTACGCGATACGACGCCGGTCCGTACAGAGTACAAAGTGGAATTTTGAATTTCAAAAGAAAAAAGAGTTCGCAAGTTGTAAAAACACGCAAGCTAGCAGTGTTCATTGGGGAAAATTTTTAGGAGCGGCGAGCCAGCAGTGATTATTTAGGAAAATTTCTGGTATGGGGCAAGCGAGCAGCGATCATTTGGGATGATTTCTGGCTGGGGCAAGCTAGCAGCGATCATTTAGAAAATTTCCAGCTGGGCAGCCTAGCAGTGATCATTGAGGAATTCTAAAACACTCATTTACCTTAGTGGCGGATCTGACGAGCACAGCATCGTGCTTGGGCACCGATTCGAGCAGCTGCTCACGGGTCTGTTTTGTCTGGTAGGTCACCTGAAGTTTTTAATTTTTGTACAAAATATGGTATTATGGTGTTAATTACCTTAGAAAATCATACTGTAAAACTATAAACACTAGAAAGTAAAGCTTCCCACCTCAATGCCATTATTTTTCAAAATCTCGACGCACTCAGTCTCGATGTCGTCGGCGACGAGGACGCGCTTGATCTCCATCATTTTTCGAGGGTTGGCTAAACAGGCGGGTTACGGTAGCGAGGTAAGGAAAGAGGTGGAAAAGCGAGAAACGGGGAGGTAATTAGAATAACGTTTATCGCTAGAGATAGTCATCGAAATCTGCAGATGGCCAAGAAAATTAACATCCCAAATAGGGCAAAAATCAGCATTAATGATAGTAAACCGCCAAATTTAAACAGACAAGTTATTAACATTAATGAACGTTAAAATATGATCCATAAAATTAAGAGGCTAGCTGGCAGTGTTTCTTTGCGGAATCGGAGGGCAGGCTAGCAGAGATTCTCAGGGAAAGGGCAGGCTAGCCGAGATTCTTTAGGAAATGGCAGGCTAGCAAAGATTCTTTGGGAAAGGGCAGGCTAGCAGAGATTCGTTAGGAAAGGGCAGGCTAGCGGTAACTTTCTTAGACTACCGTACCACTTGACTACTAATTCTGGTGTAACGGCAGTTTGGGTAGGCGGAAAATGACCGAATGACCGGATGAAGAGGTCGGGGAGCGATAAGGGGCTGAAAGTGACCCCAGGGCACTCGACCCACCCTTTTCAACGTTTTCACGGCGCATACGATCAGACCATCAGATCAGAGGGTCAACGCCTTGGGGGATCTGGACCATGGTCTCGAGATTGGAAATCAAATACTCAGGATCAGGTGTGCGTGCTAGCAGAGGCCATTTGGGGGATGTGGGCGGTGCTGGCAAAGATTCTTTGGGGATGAGAACAACTGCGAAAAAGGGCAGCTGGCAGGGATTCTTCAGGAAAAATGCCGGAAAGCTGGCTGGCAAAGACCCTTTGATAAGAAACTAAAGCCAGACCACACAGCAGGCTAGCTAAGGCGCTTTGAGATGAAAAACCAGCTATGGGTAGGCTAGCAGAGATTCTTTAGGAAGCCAGGGTAGCTAGTATAGACTTTGGGAGCGAAAACAACTGTCAATCTAGTAGAGCTTCTTTGGGAATGTCTTTGCATTTGGGCAGGCTAGCAGAGATTCTTTAAGATAAGATATTTCCAGTGCGAGGCATGCTAGCTGAGATTCGTTAGGAAAATGACATCCAAAATCCCTATAATCCAACGTGGAACCCTCGGGAAAAGCTGGGTACGTCTACACTGCGGCAGCGCTGCCAGCTCAAGCCGCCAAAGCAGTTCGGGCTCGCGAGCCTGACCAAGACGAGCCAGAGGAACGGGTTCCCCTGCCCTCCCACGATCACCGCACCTCGGCCGCTTATCTATCCGGTGGTGGGTGCAAGCGGGGTGGGTGTGTGAATTTCCCGTGCCCATCATAGTCTCGGCATCCTGTAGACTCTGTTTATTGTATCCGGGGGTAACAAGGCAAAAATATCACACACGTACGCAAATACATCAGAACAGCTAGAGGATCGAGTCGCCGTGTCTGGATAGGTGCGAAAAACAGTTCTTGTATGTTAGCGAGAGGAGTCCTGGGAATAAAATAGAAGTCTTTTTGTCCTGGTTCTTTCGCATTATCGGAGAGGGGCGACGAGAATTTTTTCTTAGGATCGAATTTTTCAAATATAAATTGCGGAAGTGTTGCTAAACCATCTTTAACTATACCTAACCGTAAAAACGTTACAAATTTTTATGCAAAATACAAAAACATATAGATTTTTATGACCAGAAATGGCTTTTTTGGAATCTTTTTCAAAAATTTTTAGATAACTTTTCTCTTCGAAATATGGTTTTATTTAGCTAAGCACACAGTTAAAATGCTTCCTATTAAGCTGCTAGACATTTCAAGACCTATGCAAAAATTCGTCCCCCCCCCCCCCCCCCGCTAACACGTAAGAACCCAAAAAAACCGAAACACGAAAACACGAATGTTAGCGACGACGGCATGACAAATTTCAGCGTCGAATTGGCATCAATTTCTCAAGCAAGCCCCACGAATCAAAAACGATAACAAACACCGAAAATTGATGAAAGGACCGAAAGTGCAAAGGGGGAGGGGAGGGGCAAGTTGACAAGCGAGAAATTGCTAATCTGAACCGGAATCGCTTGCACTTCCATAGTCGACGAGGCCGCTGGCGCTGGCCGGGGTGAATCGAGAGCAGCCCGGCTCCGACTTGACGTCTTCATCGGTAACGTCGGGCTTCTGAAATTGAATTATAGAACCAAGCCGGAAAAGGGCGCGCGCGCGAGAGAGAGAGAGAGAGAAAACGGTAGTGAGAGCTAAACCCTAAATCGCACGTACCATAAATTTCTCCACCGGCTCTTCCGAAGCTTCATCCTTCACCTCGGCCTTGGGCTCGACGATTTGCACGTCATCATCATCGACCTCTTCCTTCACACGTTTCCGCCGGACGATCCCGAGTATATTCGGCGCCTTCTCCGCCGGGCGACCGTCCGCAAACTTCTCGTTGATCCATTTAGCTTTCTAAAAAAACATAAAAAAATCTTTTTTGACAAAATCACTCACCGCCAATTTCACCGATTCCTTCAGCATCTCGGAGGCGCTTTTCGGGGTGGACGTCGAAGCGCCGGAGGCTCCAGAGGTGGAAGGCCTGTTCCCATAAATCCGGCGGGACTCGATAGCTTCGCGGGCTTCTTCTTTCGTGGTTTCGTGCGCTAAAATGATTTTTTACAGTGATGCAATTTTAAAACCCACTTTTCAGCCTCGCCTGCTGTATGATCTGGCCGGCGATGCGCTTGTCGTCCTCGCGCTCCGGCGCCAACGGGATCGTCAGGCAGCCGCGCGCGCGTAGCGCATCATCACGGGCTCGGATCTGAAAGCAAATTTGGTTGTTCCGCATTATCACTTCAAACCCACCTCATTCAATTCCTTCTTCTCGGCCCTAAACCGTGCCCTCAGATGCGAGTTTGCCGAGTAGTCGTCCCGCATCCTTTCTTGCAGCCATTCCAGGCCGTTTAGGTCTTTTTCGGTGGTGTCGGCTTTGGCTTTATCCTGGAAAAAGTTCCGTATAACAACAATTCCGCTTCAAAAACCTTTTCTCCATGCTCCCGCTTAAACATTGCATCCGCGGCCAGCTTTTGGCTCATTGCGCTTCCCGCTTTCGTCCTTTCATACCCCGGAAATTGCCTAAAAAAGGCTTAAAATTCCGTAAAAATGACATACCCATTTTCCTCGGGGTCCCATTGCTTCTGCTGCCTCCTACAGCCCTCGACGCAAACGTAGTCCAAATTCTAAGGGCAAAATTAACGGTATCTTGGGCTAATTTCTACCTTTGGATCCGTATGTATCGTGTACCAATTGTCGCACAGGTGGCACTTCATCCGGAACTCGTACAGCGTCGTCGTGTAGTACTTTCCAATCTAAAAACGCCAGTCAGGAAAGCGTTGAAATGCGGACCTTTTTCTTTTCGGCATTGTAACGAACGCCCATGCCGACGTGGTTGTTGCAGCCGAGGCACCAGATGTTGTACGGCATCTCGAAGCTGGAATGCCATTTTAATTATAATGGATTTTTAGGGCTTACCGGATGATCATGATGCCCTCGCCGAGCTTGGCGGCCCTCTCGCGTAGCGCATGCGTGCCATGGTAGTGGTTGAGCGACTTGTGCTTCTTGTAGTTGAAGTCGGGCGGGTAGTAGTGGTTCTGTCCCTTACGCTCACCCATTTCTGAAAAGAAAAATTAGATTTTTAGGAATTTCTATGTGCGTAGTTTAAAAAAAAACGAAAAAATTAATACCCATTATAAAATTAGGTTCTTTTCCATTGTCGGGGGGGATAAACTTTTTTCAAAGTCCAGAAATGCCTAGAAAGTGTTTTAATGGCGTTTTTAGCAAAATGTAGCTATATTAGGTGAAAAACCACCAAAAAAACGTAGAAAAATTTTGTAATCGAAAATCTCTTTTGTAATTTTTCATCACAATTTGTCACGTTTCTACGTTTAGGAACAGTAAAAAAAACAGTTGCCGCTCCTGAACTATTAAACATTGACTTACAAGAGAAAATCTTATTTAAGCATTCGATCCAAACCCCCCCGATAATGCAAAAGAACCGAAAATTCGTATAAATTTCGACATTTTTCGGGCATCAACCGATTCCAGAAAAAAAGTATACATTTCCAAGCACAATTTATCAAACTCGTAATCTGGGAAGATACACGTATCACATGGCAATGCAAGCACCAATCAAACATGAGATCACAAATAAAATTAATACAATTACAGATCAATCCCTAATGCGTCGGCTTCTAGTTCTGTGAAGTCGCCGTCGGCGTGGCTTTTCACTTTTTCAGCGACGGCTTTCGGCAGGACGCTCTTTTCAGTGCGTGTGTGCCATACGTAAACCTATAAAAGGGCTGAAATCAATAAACACAAATTTCAAACCTTTGTGCAGTGATCGGCTTTTGGTTCGAGGTCCTTTGGCGCGAGGCCAAGACTGGTGAGGAAGTGGGATTCCTGAAAAACAAAAATTATTTTACCGAATTTTTTTTGTATGTTTTGAAATGCGTAAATAGTTTTTTTTAGTAAATAAAACTATTTTTCAACTGGAAAAACTAACCAAAAACTTTAAAAATGTTCAAAAGGTCGAAATTTTGTCAAAACGGCCTTTTTTGGTCGAAAGCTCGATAGTTTTGGTATTATATCGAGCAAGATTTTAGCAAGAATCCGCTTTTCCAGATGAGAAAATATTACTTGAAATCCGCGCGGAACCGAGTAATCGAAGCCGGCATCTGGATGCTCAACAACCTGAAAAACCACGCTTTTAGGTCAAAACCAATCTCACTTACCAACGAAATATTCACAGCAAACGCGGCCATGTCGATCGGAAAAGGCCGCTCGGGCTTCCAGACCGCATTGAACCCGACGACAGAGCCTAAAAGCTATGTAAAAATCAAAAGCAAAAACTGACCATTCGCAGCCAAAATCGGCGTCTCGGCGAGCAGTCCACCCACGATTCCCACCGGCCAGATGCCGACTCTATCGATGGCTAAATGCTAATGTAAATTGCGAAGCGGATCAGGCGCTCACCCCTCATCTCCGAGAACAACCTCCAATCGTACGTGTTGTCGTCGTCGCCGAAATAGACCACGCCACGTTTGAGGGAGGCGAACTGGCGTCTCAAATGGCTTATTTAAAAAAAATGACCAAAATTGCTGATGTCGAAATTCGAATCTCTTCCATTCGGGGATTCCCGAAAAAATTTCATGGTAAATTTCGATATGCTGCAATTTCGGAAGTCTGCAAGAAACTCCACTGAAACCGCGGTTCTTTCGCATTATCGGGGGGAGGGGCTTTTTGTAAAAGTCTATAACCATACTTCAGCTAGAAAAACTATCTACAAAGTTGCAAACACTTTTCGAATAGAGTAAAAAACGGTTGGAAACACTTCTACAATTTTTATTTGGAAACACTTCTACAATTTTTATTTGGAAGATTAGGTCCTAAGAAAAAAATTAGGTCCCCCTTTCCTCGATAAGAAGAAAAAACCAAAAACTTAACAAAACGTAACAGAACAAAACTAAACAAACCTAATCCAAGCCAGCGCCACGTTCCGCTGTGCAACGCCGCGCGGAAGCTTCCAGCTCGGATCCTCGTACTTCATCTTCATGTCTGTCGGCGTTTTCGCGTTGACGTGAGTGTAGGGAAGCTTCACCCTAGATCGATAGGTTGTTTCAAATGTTCTTCTCAAAAAATACCTTCTTATGACCTCGGCCACCGAGCTGGACGTGCTGTCCGCGTCTTCGACAACGATCCAATGCAAGTTTGGAACCTGGGAGAAACGGAATTCAAAGCAAAATCTGCAATACCTGAGCGAGCGTTTGCGACAGGCGCGTCAGATCTGCTCGTTGCGAGGGCCGGAAGTGGGTGGGCGTCACGAAATAGATCATTGGCATCTTGTCGCTGGAAGACCCGAGAAGCTTCAGGTGGTCTCGCAGCCTAAAGGTTAACTTGCATAAAATTCCATAAATATTACCGATTTTCGACGCTCTGCAACTTTTTCTCGCTTCTATACGTCTCTCGTTCCAAATCGTTTAGCTTTGTGCGCATCAGGTCTCGTTTGCGCTCCAGCATTAACACCTAAAAGATAAAAAAGTCCTAAAAAATCAAAAAAGTTGGAAAATAGTTCAATCAATTACCTCTGCCTCGAGCGTCAATTTGCCCTCGTCGAGTCGCTCGACCTTTGAGAAGACGTAGAAGAACTGGACCAAGAAGAAGAGGCCGATCGCACAGAGTATTCGAAAAGCCGTCCCATTTGTGTCCATCTACCTGAAAAGCTTCTAAAATACTTATTTCAAACGAAAACAATAAAAAAACATCAAAAATCAATTCCATCATGCACCAAATTCCGGACTTTCGTAAAAGTGTGCTGTAACGAAAAATTCCATCAGCTACAAATTACGAATTTCGTAGTTTATCCGGATTTTGTAAACAACGTTCTATAGAATTTTTCACATTTCAATAAATAAAAAGCTTTGAAAATACGATTATTCGAAACAAAAACCATGAAAAGAACTATAAAATCAATTCCACCATGCGATCGCGCGACAATATCCGTACTTTTGTAACGAAAAATTCCGTAAACCCACAAATTCCGTATTTTGTAAACTACGTACTATAAAGTTTTCATTTCTATTTTGTCGCAGCTGATCCATTGACTTTACGAAATCCAAGGCCCGGCAAAATACGAAAACTCGGCCCGGGAATTCGAAAAAAGCATACAACCGTTGATTCATGCAAAAGAAAAGCCGTTTTATACGACGTCCCCTTTCTAAAAACCAAATTTATCGCCACCTTTTCGACGAGACTAACTTTTCAATTTCAGGTCAATGGAGTTCCGGTTGGCATGGGCGCGGCTGGTGTCGATCGCGCTGATTTTCGTGTCATCAGCCGCTCAACAAGCCCACGTCTTCAACGAGGAATTGACAGTGCGACGCCTAACGCCTCACCACACGCTCTCGGAGTTCCGCTTCAACCTGACGGTGCCGACGGAGGACCCGAACCACGGTGTCGGCTTCCCGAATCTGCTGCTGGAGCTCGTGTCGTCAAATCAGGTCCAGAAAATCTTTTTCGTGCTCACGGAAAGCCTCTGGCGGCATGAGAAGTATGGCCCGCCACCACAGCCCGCTTCTCCGACGGGCGCCGTCGTTTCCGTAACGTTCGAGGGCAATGCGTCAACGCTGGAAAAGCGCTGGATCTCGCTGATCCACTCGATGAACGGGGCTTTCGGCACGTCGATCACCCACATCTTTCCCGACACGGTCAAGGCGGGCTTCGAATTCTCGGCTGCCGCCCCGCGCGAATCGTTGTGCGTGGAAAACTACACACCGTGGCTGAAGATGCTGCCCTGCCAAAGCAACGGGCTCGTCAACCTGATCAAGCCGCTGTACAACTTGAGCTCGGTCTATCGCTCGCTCGGCTTCACCTATGAAAAGCGCTGTGAAAAGGAGAAATGCTGGCACGAGGCCCGGCTTTTCGCGTTTACCGTCTACGAAAATGCCGATGAGCGAGTTTCGGCGGTTGTGGAGGCTATTGAGGATTACGTGACGGCTTCTGCAGATCGGCGCTGTCGAGTTGCGACCGCCAGCAAAGTTCGCGTGCTTTTGGACTCAAAGCTAGGATCAAAAGGCCAAGATGGAGCGGTTGAATTTAATGGAAAGAAAGTCCAGGATGGCGTAACTGTAGAGGTGGCCGACCCAAATATCGATATTTCCAGAAACGAACTGTTCGGGGTCGAGACAACATTTGGGCACAAGGACAAGTTTGCCGGGCGCTACATCGGCGTTGTGAAAAACCGGAAGTCGCAGAGCCTGAGGCTGACCTACACCCAAGTACTGCCCTGGTGGTTCAGCATCTACTACCACACGGCCACGGTCAGTTGCGGACGCCTTTCTGGCCTGGAGCTGAGCAAGGAGAAAACTATCGACGTCATCAAGCGCTTCGTGCCCTCTATTGACCGCAAAAGGCCGGCCGAACTGGTGTTGCAGTTTACGATAGATGGAGGCTCGGAATGCCAAGTCAATTTCGAGTTCGAGAAAAAACCGTTGAGGTTAGGCGAATATCCTCCGGATGCGAATCACGGGCTTTACGTTCCCGCGGCAAAGATTGTTATTCAGGCCAAGACAAAGACAACAGTATATTCGAACATACTCCTCGCCCCGCTCCTCGTGCCCGACTTCAGCATGCCCTTCAACGTCATCTGCTTCGTGGCGACCGCCATTTCGTTCGCCTTCTCCACCATTCACCCATCGACAACCGGCAGCTTGTTGCCGGTCAATGGGAAGCTTCCCGAGAAGAAGCTATGGCGAACCGTGCTCCGCCTTTCCCTCCTCGTGCTCCTCGTTGGGGCCGGCTATATGGAATACCACTCAATTACTCTAAACGCGTTGCGTCGTGAAATTGTCAAATTTTTTGAGCGGGTAGCTTGATGTTGTGATATTGTGCTTTTAATTTTTTCTACTTATTTATTGCGTTTTTTTGTGGTTGTGCGTATTGATAAAGCGTGTATTTAGGAGATGACGACTCGCATCAAGTACTTCTACGACGTACTCTGCCCTTCATCTTGGCAAAATTTGCTGGTGAGCTCGATAACCTCGAAAGTAATAATTCGTATTTAGAGACTACGAGAGCTGCCCAGCACGAGCTTCACCATCGACTACCAGCCGGTGGTCAACAAGCGGATGAAGCTGTTGAAATGTGGGAATTTTTAGAGGTTTTTTTTTCGAAGTTGTGGATGATTTTTCTACTTCAAATATGTTAGTTTTGCTAACAACACGATGAAAACACTTACGATTTCGTTACTACGCATTTCTAGACTTTTCGGAAAAAAATTTAGCTTCCCCCGCCGATGATGCGAAAGTACCGGATTTTTGGAAGAACGTAGTTGTTTTGTTTAGTACAACGTGAAGCCGGCAAGCGCTTTGTCCCCATCAACCCGGAGCAATTTTTCGCGGAGCTCTACTGCAAGGATTCGCCCACGATTTCAGCGGAGCATTGGCAGGTCTATTTTCCGGTCGAATAAAAATGCATTTTTCAGGTTCACGAGCAACTCCTTGAAGAACTGAATCAAACGCCGCACATGTTCCTGCAGGCCGTGAAGCTGTACTTTTCCGATCGATACGTGGACGCTATTGATGTAATTTTTGAATTGGATATTATGTATTCTGGCGTTTAGCACCTCAATCGTCGCATCTGGGAGCAACGGCTGCCCGTGTCGAGGGGTTACCACCTATTCCAGACCGCCACCGCCATGGGCTTCGAGTTTAGGTCAGTTCTAAAGTAACTGACTTTAAAAAAATATGAGTCTTGGCATTATCGGGGGCGACGCGAACCAACTTTTGTTCTAAAACAAATAGGATTCTAGATTCTAAAACTCTAAAACTGCACTTTCCGTTCTTGCGCCTTATCGGGGAAGAACATCTTTTTCTTAGGAACGATTTTTTAAGATATAATTAGCGAAAGTGTTTCAAAAATGTTTTTTACCATTCCTAAACCTATAAAAACTTTACAAATTTTGGTTAAGAAATACAAAAATAAGGGTTTTCGACCAAAAATGGCCGTTTTTTGACTAAAATTTCGAGTTTTTGAAAAAATTTTCAACGTGTTGAGGTAGTTTTGATACTATTTTACTAAAAACATTATAAAAATAGTTCCTATTAAGTGCGAGGTTTCTTTTCTAATATTTTTCATAAACGTTTTTTTTTCAGGCAATCCGACTTTCTCGTCACCCAACTCTGCCATCACGTCGTCAACGAGGCGTTGGGCAAGGGAATCGTCGACGCGATAGAACATGGGGTAATTTTTTTTTAAGATTTTTTTTCAAATCCTAGTACTTGTTATGTAAATAGTTACAAATTTTACTAAATATGCGTTTTTTTTTCAGGCCGTCCGCGCACCGTTCTTCGTGTTGTCGAACGGAAACGGAACCGAGAAGCGCTGCTCCGAAAAACTCGATGAACTAATTCAATAAATTTTTTTGTAAAAACTGACCCCCATTTCTCGCATACCGGTTTGTTGCACCGCCACCACTATTTCGTTTTTCACTTCGACTGGGCCCTCGGCTGGGCCCCACTCCGCCCTATACTAATGACGGGGCGACATCGCGCCGTCGGCGCTGGGCCCCGGCGCATTGATGAGCCATGGGAATTGGCCGGCCATATGTTGAACATAGCTGATGCCCTTATTACTCTAAATCTCGAATTTCTAGATTAAAATCAGATTTTTAATTCCCATTTTCAGGGTAGAACCTATGAACCTCCAGTGAGACGACGGGAGGATGTACATACGCGGGTTGTTCGTTTTCTGCCTGGCCGCGGCCGTGGTTCTTGCTAATCTACAACAGGTTGGTGATTGTTGAGGTTGTTCTAAAATGTCTTGAAGCTGTACTTTTACAAAATCAGAGAATATTTATACGGGTGGTAAGTTCTTTAGCGTTATCGGGGGACCAACTTTTTTCTTAGCATCCAATTTTTCAAATATAATTAGTGGTGGTGTTTATAAAGGTTTTTTTGCTCTTCCTAAGCGTGAAAACTGATAAGTTTTAATTTAAAAAAATGCGTAAAATTTCGATGTTTCTGCCAATATAGGTGGATTTTTGACCGAAATTTCGATTTCTTAACGGATTGTAAAGTTTGTTAGATAGCTTTGTAGTTGAAATGTAGTTATATTTTACTAAAACTAGTATTGCAACACTTCCTAATAATTTACTAGATATTTCTAGAACTCTCAGAAAAAAAAATTGTTCCCCCCTGATAACGCAACCGATAAAGCTTACACTTCCTAATAATTTAATAGATATTTCTAGAACTGTACAGAAAAAAAATTTGTTCCCCCCCTGATAACGCAACCGATAAAGCTTTTACTTCGCTTTAAAAACAATTTCCAGGACCCGTACGCGACACTCGGCCTAAAGAAGGGCGCCTCGATCCGCGACATCAAGAAGGCCTACAAATCGCAGGCTCGCGAGTGGTAATTTGGCTTGAAAAGCTGGAATTCTATCCCGTCAGGCATCCCGACAAAAATGACAGCCCCGAGGCCGGCGAGAAGTTTATGGCGATCAGCAAGGCGTACGAGGTGCTGTCCGACCCGATTAAGAAGGACAGGTTGGGGGTTATGGAAGATTTTGTAATTTTTTCGCTAGATATGATAAATATGGAGCGTTTGACGACACGCCTCAAGGTCACAATGACTTCCACGGGTTCGGTGGCTACAATAGCTTCGTAAGTATTTCTTCAAGGTTTAGAAAATCGAAAATTTGCAGTTTGGCGGATTCGGGCAGACGGATCGGCAGAATTCGTTCTTCGCCAAGCACAAGATCAGCATGCGGCTGTATTCACACTCGATTCTGGAGAAGGTGAGGGTCTGAATGCAAAAAAATTACAAATATACAAATTTAGCTATACTTTAAGTCGGAAAACCTTTAAAAAATTTTTTACAACTCTAAAAATTGGTCGTAAATAGTTATTTTTGTATTTTTAATGGCGTAGCTAAAGACCCAGATTTCTTAATATGATATTTCCCTTCGTTTTCTTTATTTTCAAAGATTTTTTTCCGTAATTTGACGCAAAAAAAATTATTTAGAAAATTTTAAGCTGTCTAAAGATTGGCCTAAATCTATATTTTTCTTTTTTTTGAATGTCGGGTAGCTAAAACCAAATGTTTTTATATGGTTTTTGTCTACGCTTTCCTTATTTTAATTATTCTAAAAATTTAGAGCAACCAGCAGCCGTTCATCCTGTTCGCCTACTCGGGCTACTGCCACCTCTGCTATCAGATCGAGCCGGTGTGGCAGAGCGTCGTCGAGGACCTCGAGCCCCTTGGCTATGGCGTCGGCACGATCAACGCGATGACGGACGGGAACTTGCTGGAGAAGCTGCGCGTCACCCACTTGCCGTCGTTGATGGTGCTCGTCGAGGGACGCGTGATTCACTACTCTGGGAATATGGTTCACATGAATGCCAAGTGAGTTTTTGGGGCTTATTGGAGCCTAGAGCTGTTTCTAATTATAAGTTTAATTTAAAATTAGTGTTTAGCCTAAAAATACGAGTTTTTCCGACCTAAACGGCGTGAATTTGAAGTTTTTGAACGTGTTAATTGTAATTTTTATGTTGTAGCAAACCAAAAAAATTCAAAACTCTTTATCACCTCGTTTTTCAGGAACGTGCGCGTCTGGGCCCGAGACGTCATCCCCAGATCCGTCCTGATCACCATCGACGCGCACGAGACGCTAAAGCGCTTCATAGACCTGTGGAAAACGACAAATAAGGTTTTCTAGAAGCTACCGTGAATAAATCAAATTTTTAGGTCTCCGTCCTGATCCTCGGCGCGGCCGCCGAGCCCCGGCTTCGCTACATTCTGACGGCGATGAAGTACTCGCAGACCGCGCGCTTTGCCTACATCCATTTGGGCGGCTCGAGTAAGTTTTGAATTGTTTATTGTTTTTTAGGTTCTTTCGCATTATCGAGGGGAATTTCTTGTATTAATTTAAAACTGCCCAGTGGCTTCATAGGAACTATTTTCATAATGTTTTAGTAAAATAAAACCATATTTTAGCTAGAAAAACTATCTAAAAACCCTGACAAATTTTTCGAAAAGTCGGAATTTTGGTCAAAAACTGCCCCTTTTCGTCGAAAAAGCGATATTTTTTACATATTTTAATAAAATTTGTAAATATTACGTTTAGGAATCGTGAAAATAGTCTAGAAAAATTGGTTCCTAAGCATAATAAATTTCCTTCTCCCCCCGATAATGCGAAAGAACGGGCGATTACTTTCGTTAAGTTTATTGACTTTTAATTATATCCACGTTTTCCTGGATGCCAAGGTTTACTTCGTTCAGACCCCGAGGTGCAAGACATGCGCGAGGCGTTGGCGATCAAGTGCACGCAGTGCGAGAATGTGCTCATCTTCAACGATGCGCCAGAGGTCGGTTTTTAGATGAATTGTCATTCTTTTGGCATTTTAATTTTGTAATCTAACTTGGCATAAAACTAACGATTGAAAATGACAATTTTAGCGCGGCCCGATCGCCCGGCTCTCAATCAGCAACGCGAACCAGTTGACGAAGGACATGTTGACGCAAATCCTGGACCAAAATCGCTTCATGACGTTGCCAAGGGTATTTTTGAGCTTAATTTTCATGGTTTCCGGATTTTTAGCTATCCTCGAACATCTACCTTGACGAGCTGTGCCCGGTATCGTCGCGGAACCCGCGGAGGCTGTGCGCCATTTTGGGTTCGTAGTTTTGCAACGTGTAAAATTATTGATTCTTGACCAAAATTTCGTCTTTTTCAAACATTTTTAAGTTTTGACATAGTTTTTGGAGTTGAATAGATTAGTTTTATTTTACTAAAAAACTATTAAAACATTTCCTATTAATTTGCTAGAATTCATTTATGCAAAAAGTCCGCCTACCCCCGATAATGCGAAAGAACCTAAAAAAGCATCATTATCAAATTTCCAGTTTTGAGAATAAACCGAAATTTTGCATTTTTTAGTCGTTATGGACGGGAGTGACGAGAAGTACGTCGAGTCCTATAGACGATTCGTGACGGCCCGGAAGGGGAAGTTTGACGACGGGAAGGTGAGAAACGTTTTGGAGCTGTAGAATAGAAGTTGTAATTTTCAGATGAACCTCGTCTACCTGTACGCGAACCGGCAGACCGACTGGATCAAGCCGTTCCTGGAGCGCCGCAGCGGAAATCCAGATGTGAGATTAAAAAGAATTATTTTTGTATCGCCGCTTCAGAATTCGGCGCGCGACGTGCTGGTGATGTGGCGATACGAGCACGTGAAGGCGCGATTTACCTGGCTTAACGGTCGGTTTCGAAGTTTATAAAGCTAGCTTTAAGCCCTTTAAACCTTTAAAAACTATACTGTAAATTTATGAACAAAAGAATAACAACTCGATTTTCGTTTAGGCGCCTGGAAAGAAGATGGTTCTGAAGCTACACTCGATGCTGCGTTGACGGACGTACTGCGAAACTCGATCAAGCTGGATGAGATGGCAAATGTCGGAAATCTGGTAAGAATTTGTACTTATTGATTAAATTTTATTGTTTTTGTTAAAATTTATTTATTATTAGTTTTTTATTAATGTTTTACCGAAAACAATCTATTCCCGATTTTTATTTCTATTTCAGAACGACGAATACTACCCATCGTGGTGGAACCGGATGTCGAAAACCGTCGTCCGGCTCTTCGAGACGCTGTGGTTCCACTCGACCAAGGAGGAGGTAGGTGTTGTATTTTTAAATTAGTTGATTTATATTGGTTTCAGTTTATTTATCATTTTCTTGTTTTTTTAAACAAGTTATTTATTTATCTTATTTTTCCCTTATTTAGGCGCTTCCCGTACTCTCCGTCGTTGGCACGCTGTTGTTCATCTTCTTCGCCTACTATGCCCTGAACTATTTGACGCGACCGGAAACGAGGGAGCGGAGGGTGAGTGGAGATTCGAATTAAAAAATTATACATTTTTAGCGCTTCTCCCCGACGTCTTCTGAAGAATGGCACCCGGAAGACCCAAACGTGACGGATAAAGATGCGCTGCACACGGGCGGGCCAAAAGATTCGGCGGCTCGCAATAAAAAGTGCGAAATCACTTGATTTTTATAAAAATGTAATTTTTAGAATCATGTCCGTGATGGAGCCGATCATTCACGAGCTGCGCGCCGAGTCTTACTACGGTATTTTGTCGCCGCTTCCGGAAAATTTCGTTTTTAGGAATGGTACGTCTTCTGAAGCCGGGCTGCCGCTCGATGATCCTGCTCGTCGATGAGGAGCATAAGAAGCCGTTGCTCGAGCAGTTTGCAAAGTATTTGTACCCGCTGCGAAAGTGAGTCGGTCTCTCTCTCGCTCTCTCTCTCTCTCTCTCTCGCATTGCCTGGCTTCCGCAGTGATCTTTGCTAGCTAGCCCTCGTAATTTTGAGAGAACAAAAATCTGTTTAGCCAAGGAGGTCTGGAAGTCTGCCATTTATCGCTCTCGCTCCCTCTCTCCCCCCCTCTCTCTCTCTCTCTCTTCTAGCTCCTTTAACATTCGTTTTAGTAACAAGACCTTCTCCTTCGGCTACCTGATGGTCGACAAGAATCTGCCATGGTTCCGGAAGCTCCTAGAACACACGCTGCCCGGTTAGTGTCTTCTAATATTCTAGCAACTCCATTTTTTTCAGGTGGTGATGGTAACCCTGCACCTTCTGATGAGCAAAAGGGCGCCTCGATGTACGAGCGTTTGAAGGTAAAGTGTCGGAAATTACAGTATACGCTTTTTCAGTCAATAAACCCTCGCCAAACGATCGGGACCGTGTTGGTGCTGTGCGGCTGGAAGCTGTACTTCTCCATCTACCACCCCATGCACACGGCGCCCAATAAGAAGCACTTTTTGGGTAAGTGGCTGAACTTTCTCTCGCTCTCTCTCTCTCTCTCCCGCTCTATCATCTATTCTTTTCTAGGCTTCGAGGACGACGGCGAGGAGGCCAGCGACTATTCTGACGAGGAGCTCGACAACAACGAGGCCGTCAACCGGCGCAAGTCGTTCACCAACGTCAACTTGCAAAACGTGCTCAACGGGTTCGGCAACTGGATGGATCGGTTATTGGAAGGTGAGTCTCTTTTTCTGAAAAATTGGAAATGGATTTGCTGATTAGTCTTTTGATTTTGTAATTAGTAAAATGAAACCAGAATTGAAACGGAAAAACTAATTTAGAAAACTTATAAAGATCGAAAAAATAACAATAAGAACCGAAAAATCTATTTTAACGAATTTCTTTCAAAATTTGTAGTTGTTTACGTGAAAAATATTAGCAAAACTATGTAGAAACAATTCCTATCTATATCAGGAAAAATGATATTTTTATGGAAAAAAGGTAGTCCCCCGATAATGCAAAAGAAAAAATAATGCAATAAGTCAAAAGGTCATTTTGCTCTCGTCTAAATATGTTTTTAGGCTCCATCCGCCGCTACTACATCCCGGAATGGCCGGATAATCTGAAGTAAGCCGGCGGACGATGCCGCCCCATCCGCTGGTGCCATGGCAACACTCTCCGCTCAACACCGAGGCGCTACCACCATCCCAAATTTTATATGAACAAAAATTATATCTATGGTTTTTCTTGGCATAATTGTTTGCTGTAAGGATACGTTGGGTCAATTCGCAGCTGTATACTCGTCTCTTTTTTTTGTTCTTTACATCCCAATTTCCGTACGATGAGCTGCACTATCAGGCGATCTTTCAGTTATATCACCCCCCGGAGTCTACTGTGGCATATTCTGTGTGATTTTATAGTTTTTAAAGGCGCATAAAAAGCAAAAAATGCAACGTCTCCATTGCCAAATATTTTTGCGGCTCTTTTACAATATCGTGGGGGGGACAACTTTTCTCTTAGCGCCCAATTTTTCTAGAAGAAATCGCGGAATTTGATCTAAACCGTTTTATTGCTTATCGCTGTTCCTAAACGTAAAAACTTTACAAAAATTTTGAGCAAAGTAATGGATTTTCGGCGAAAAATAGCCGATTTTCGACCAAAAATTCTACAAAATTTTTTCGACCTTTTTTTGATTGTTTGCCACTTGAAATATAGTCCAATTTACCAAAATATCTATCAAAATCCTTAATATTAATTTATTAGGCTTTTCTAGACTCAGGAAAATAATTGCCCTCCCCCCTGAAATTGCGAAAGCATGGTTTTACAAATCACCACTTTTTATCCCAAAAATTTCTACGCAATTTTTGCCTCCCCGCGTCCTTTCCCTATAGCCCAACTCGCGCCGTGCTTGTCCCGCTCTTTCTTTGCTGCTACGCAATCTCATAATACTGATATAGTCACACGACGTGCAAGAGTTCTTTTTGTCTGTTTTTGCAGTGTTTAATAAAGTTTTATCGTGAAGGGCCATAGACAAATCATCGCCCTGGTCAACACCCGAAGAGACTCCCTGCCCTGAACTTGCTGAATTTCCGCAACAACGATTTGAAGAGAAAATGAGCAAGGCCGAGCCGAGGCCGAAAAGCGTCAAAAAGACGCTGAATGCCGGGAGGGGACAAGTAAGTTAAAAGCTCTTTTCTAAAAAAACTGTGAACCTCTAGGTGCCGGAATATAAAGATGGAACGAAGGCCGTATTTCACTACGAAGTGCTGAGACCGCTTGATTTGACGAATGGCATGCCGGAGAGTAGGTAAGTTGGAGAGAAAACTCAGAAAAACCAGTTTAGAAACACTTCCAGTATTTAGATTTTAAAAATTGGTTTCTAAGAAACCCCCCCCCCCGATAATGCGAAAGAGCCCTAAAAACCCGTTAACAATTCTAGAGATGACTATGAAAGTATCGAAGACACGAGAAAAGGATACCCGCATGGCTATGGCCTCCCGATGGAGCTGATTTTTGGGAAGAAATTCCAGTTGGCCATTTTTGAGACGCTGCTGAGGAGCATGAACGTTGATGAGGTAAGGCGGATAATGAAAAGTTTATAAATTAAGGAAAAGCTAGAGGACGGCTAGCAAATCGTAATATCTTTTAGATCAGCCAATTCGACGTCGAGGCCAGCGAGTTGTTCCAGTATCCGCTAACGTCGAAAAAGCTACGCGATTTGGCGCATTCCAGAGAGCATGGCCACGGCCATTCGCATAGCACGCATATGTGCGCCGCGACGATGGCGGAGGGGTGAGTTTTAGGAAAACTAAAAATATAGGTTTCCTTGAGTGATTTTTGGGAACTATAATCGTAAAATATCATGTTTAAGGGAATTTTTACAAGATACTTTAGGATTTAGAAAAGCATAGAATAGATGTTTTTCTTGAGGATCTAGTTTCTACACTAGACCTAGCTAGCTTTGTGCGGAATTTTGCGCTGATGCCCAATCGGGTTTCAAAGCTAGCGAAACGACGAGATTAAGAAAAATTATGAAGCTTTTAAAACGAAAACGGCAAAAAATTTCGTAAAATTGAGACATTTTGGACCTTTTCTGCGCTTAAAAGCTGAAAACTTTTTAAAGATCGTTTTTTCGAAGGTTTTGATAAGTATATTCGGAAACGGCGCAAAATTGTCACCTCGTATGGAGGCTAGATTGTCACAAAACGGTCTCCTTGTTAAATCAAGTATCTCGTATCTTTTATTCTCTCTTCCAGAACCGGATACCCATGTCTCGATGAGCTCTTGAAAAAACCGAGCCCCCTGCGCTTCATCTTCCACCTCCTCCAGATCCACCAGCCCGAGGACTACGAGGCCGAGGGCTGGCAGTTGAACCCGGAAGCCAAATTGAAAAGCGTCGAGACCCTAAAGCAGCAGGGCAACGAGTTGTACCTAAAAAAGGAATACCGACCCGCCATTGAAAAGTATAAAGAAGCGCTGACGCGATTGGACCATTTGATCTTGCGTGAAAAGCCGGGCGATCCCGAATGGGAGGAGCTGGACGTGAAGAATGTGCCGTTGTATCTAAATCTTTCGATTTGCTACCTGCACTGCGGCGATTTCTATGAATCGATAGGTGCTGCCGATGAGGTGGGTACAAAATACAATACTGAAATAAAGGAAAAATAAAATTTCAGGTACTTTCACGTGATGCGACAAATGACAAGGCGTTATATCGAAAAGCAAAAGCTTTGATAGGCACCTGGGAGCTTGGAAAGGTGGGGGTGCTTCGTTTCTAGATAATAATAAAAATTTAGGCCCGAGAATCCCTGGAGAAACTTGTTGCCGCGCACCCGGAGTGGGCAAAACTCGCCGACGTCGAGCTGCAGGAAATCAAGCGCCGCCAGGACCAAGTGGCCGCCGATAAAAAGAATATTTGCAAAAACATGATCAAGGGAATGGGTGGCGAATAATTCGCCAAATTTGTTTATCATTTTTATTTAACGTTATAAACGTGTATTATTAAAAACTTCGATCTCTAAACATTCCGCTCTCTTTATCCTTGATTCCAAGAATTTTGTAAAATTTCATGCGCTTGTAAATATCAGTATCACTCTTGTATAAAATTGTGATCATCAATATTCCGTGTAAAACGTGCTCAAAACGAGAATAAAAAGTTATGAATTGAAAAGTAAACACATTTTAGGAAAGAGCTTGGGAAGAGAGCCCTTTTGAATTTATTTAACATGAAATTAAAGGTTTTTGTTTTAATTTCTTTTTCATTTTGTTCTGCCCTTTCGAATTCAGTTTTATAACTATGTTCTTTTAGAAGATGGAGACCGCCAGTTCAAGATCAGCGACCTCCTCAAATTCGCTAAACTCCGCATCAACGCCACACGTCGTCAAGTACACGGACCCGACCAAAATCCGCTTCGCCGTCACCTGCTCCTCGAATATGAATCGCAGCATGGAAGCGCACGGCTTTTTAAAGTATGTTTTTTAACATTTGGTGCTTTCGCACCATCGCGCTAGTTATATTGTTGATTTTAAGTGTTTTAATAATGTTTTACTATTTTTTAGAAAAAAAGGCATATCAATCGAGTCGTTTGGCACCGGCAATCAAGTGAAACTGCCCGGCAAGTCGGCGACGACGCCCAATTGCTACGATTTCGGCACGCCGTACGATTTCATCTTCAAGGACCTGTCGAAAAAGGACAAGGCATAGTGAGTAGAATCAGTTCGTCATTTTCAAACTCGACTTCTTGTAGTTACACGGAAAATGGGCTCCTGAGCATGCTCGATCGGAACCGGCGGATCAAAGAGGCCCCCCAGAAGCTCCAAGTCTGCACCGACGAGTTTAACGTAATCATTGCGCTCGAAGAAAGGGTGTACGATCAGGTAGATTTTGATTTAATTTTTATTGAATAAATGATTGAATTTAATTAATTAATTATAAGGATCGCTTTATCCGCGCAGGGCGATGCCTTTTTTACTAGGTTTTAGATATTTTTGGACTTGAAGTTAGTGTAATTGCACCAATAAGGCTGCGAAAAAGAATTCATTTTCGAGATCCTACTATATACATTAAAAAATAGTGTTTTTAACTAAAAAAATTGATTTTGGGAAGAAAAATTGATTTTTTCGTCCCAAAACGGCCCCATTTACGACTTTTCAAACGCAATTCTGACTTTTGGAAGATTTACATTTCAAAAACAGTTGAAACTTGCTAAAAAGATCATACAAAATTATATTCGACCTTCCCGATAATGCAAAAGCACCAATTATTGTTATTTCAGGTGCTCGACCATTTCTTCAGCAAAAAACAAGACCGCATGGTGCTCGTCCACATTATCAACATTGACATCGAAGACAACCACGAGGATGCGACGAATGGCGCGTGGCTGGTGACCGATATTTGTGAAAAGGTCAGTTATAACCTTTTTTAGATTAAAATTCTTATTTTAGCTCAGCAAATGCCGCGATTTGACGGCCGACATCGAGCGGGTCATCGAAGAATTCGCCGACAGGAACCCCGAGCGCAACATAATGCACACAATCAAGTTTTACTAGGTTTTTTTGACGTTTACGTTGTTAATTTATTGATCGTTTCCAATTTTCACTTTTTCTCAGTCGATACCGGTAATAAAGTCTTGTCTATTTTCAGCGGAATGTTGCGTGCGACAGTTTTAGATCTTGTATTTGAGGGATTTTTTGTGAAATATTTTGAAAGTCTTTAACTGTGCTAGACAGAAGTTACCAGAATTTTTTCTTGGTTTTTTTGATCGAATATAGATTTGACTGGATCTTGCTAATTGCGGAAATTTTGAGCGAAAACGGATATTTTTACGTTTTTAGGTATTTGCACTACGATCAAGCTGGCGCCGTGCCATAAACGGCTAGATTGGCCTTAATAGTTTCTTTAGAAGAATTTCAGGATTTTTGAGCAGCTGGCTACCTTCCGACTCTTGACTCTTGACGATATTGGCCCTTTGCCATCGTTTTCATGCCAGCAAGCTAAAAATGGTTTTTGCGAAAAATGGTTCATTGAGGCAGGAAACAGCTTTGATTTTGCGCTGCCAGTGCCGTTTAAAGGGCAGTTTTTGGGGATTTTGAGCGCCTAGAAACTTTAAAGGTGCCGCTTGGGGCCTTTTTAACCCATCGTGTTTTTCGTTCAACAAGCTAAAAATCCGTTGTGCTCTGCCAAATCGACTCATTCATATCACGGCCATCCATGCCAATTGGACCCCTTGCCATACATTCCAGTTTCAGTCAACCAAAAAATGCTTTTCACGAAGACAAATCGACCAATCTATTTAATTCCCACCCACCTCGGCGAGATCCCGGGCAATGCCGGGAATGCGGCTATTTTTTCGGGGGGTGTGTCCGTGGCCGGCCAGGGCGGAGGTCCCTCGCCTGGCTGTGGATTCTCTTCCACCACCACTGGGGCGCTGACTTTCATTTTTCTCTGGCTAGCCGGGGCGCCGTGAATTTCGGCGAGTCGATAGCCGCTCCCATCCCTCCTCTCCTCTCCCACGGCACACACACACACCCGGGGACACCCCGCCCAAACAACAACTGCGCCGCCCAGGCTTCATCGCGACAATATGGCTAGCTTCTATGCTTTTAGCGTAGTTTTATACCTTTATTTATGCTCTGAAACGAAGGCGATAGCTTCAATAATGCGAGAAAATGACCTTGAGAAACGAACGGCACTCAAACGCTTCCTAAAAGTTTTTTGTTAGCCTGCTCTCCTCGCACTTTTCTTTTCTGCGCTTCGTCTAATCCTGAGAATTTGCACCTATATTTATACCTTTATTTAGGCTCTCGAAAGAACATACCTATTTTGATTGTTTTTCATCCATGAACGGCCTTGGGGAACAAAAGAACGCTCTGAAATTGCTGAATATTTCTTCAAAGTTCTCTGCTAGCTAGCCGTCCGGTCGACAATGAATTTTGAAACTTTTTCGCGAACTTGCTATTTCAACTTTCCACTTTCCAACCCCGCATGCCCGGCGAAAAAGCATTGAGAAATGTTTGTTTGTAGGGTAAATAAGCGTTTGCTTCTATGACGAGACTGCTTAGCAAGAGGGCACTATAGAAAAAGCATAATTTAAAAGTCCCTTTTTGAAAAAGACGCCTTACCTTTTTGATCACTTCTTCTTGGAAATCTGCGAGTGCCCTCGGGGGTCACAAATAAACCAGGAAAAGCATAAACATCAATTGTTGATCATTTCTAGAGCTCGGAAGCATCAAAACAAGTCGCTGAAAGAGCCCGAATAACCCGCAGATTGGCTTAAGGTTTCATTTTTTTTGAGTCGCTGAACTCCCCCGCCCCGTTTCCCTGGCAAACCTTATCTATGACTCACTGCCGTCACGAAATGTAGCGACCCTTTTTGAGCGGGATCTCATTTTTGGAGTGATTCATTTCTCCAACTTTTTAGATTGCTACCGTTGCTTCTGACTAAATTTATTTAAACACCCCTTAAAACTCAATTTTCAGGTTAGCGCCTCGACCTCGGCCTGGGCCTTTGCCGACGCGTTCTGAGGCACCCTTGCGGTCGCCGACCCGGTCAGTGCTTTTATTAGTTTGCCATTATTTGTTGTTGTTTTGGTTGTTTTGCATTAACGGGGGGCACCTCTAAGGATCCACATTTTCAAATATAAATACCTAAGTGTTTCTGAGCTGTTTGTAACTATAACTAACCGGAAAAAAATTTACAAATTTTCAAAAGAAAATACAAAAAATATCGATTTTTCGATCAAAATTTCGGCTAAAAATCTTGTCTCGGCTTTTGGATTGTTATTCCGTTTGAAATATAATGAGTTTTAACGAAACGCGATCGAAATAGTTACTATTATGCTACCAGGTATCTCTGAACTTTTAGGAAAATTCGTCCGCCCCCCCCCCCCCCCGCCCTCCCCCCGATATTGCAAAAGTACCGTTGTTTTTAGTACTTATTAACTAGTTATTAAATAGACATTTCAAAGCTTGCAAATTATGCTTATTTCCAGGCCTAATGTCGCGCGACACCATCTCCGTGGCGCGGATCGGCTGCGATTTCTTGGTGCTCGTCTGCTGCGCGATACCGCTGCTGATTTTCCACGAATTCGTCCCGCCATATAAGGTTTTTGCTTTGCAAAATCTTTGATTCGAACTTTAGAAAAAAATTCCATGAAATTTGTAAAACACTAATTTTATCGCGAATTCCAGCGCGGCTTCTACTGCGACGATGAGACGATTCGGTACCCGTTTCGAAAATCGACCGTCTCGCGGCAGATGCTGATCGTCGTCGGGCTGTTGATCCCGTCGGCACTGGTGCGTTTTACACTATTAATTTTTTTGCATGAGGTGCATAACGTTATTTTTTCAGATCCTACTCACCGAGCTCTTCCGGGCGACCGTTTGGGAGAAGCCGTGCCGCGATCAGTTCAAGACCTACCACATGCGCAACCACTCGGTGCACCGGCTCATCGTGCGCCTCTACTGCTTTTTGGGTAATTTTTTACTAAAAGTGGTGGTTTCGTCAGAATTTTCCGCTTTTCTAATTCATTTTCGGTAATTTTTAGGCTAAGAATGGGTCAAAAAGATTTTTTAAGCCTCAAATAACTTAAAATTTTTGGTCATCTACAGCTTTTTAGGTAGTTTTTGGGCTTTAAAAATGAGGTTGAAAAGTACCTTTTTACTGGAAAACGACCAACTTTTTTCAGGCTACTTCTTCGTCGGCGTGTGCTTCAACCAGTTGATGGTCGACATTGCCAAGTACTCGATCGGGCGCCCCAGGCCCCATTTCATCGACGTGTGCCGCCCAAGCGTTGGCTACAAAACGGTATTTTTCCCTTTTTTATGAGTTTTTGATCGTTATTTTGTTTCGTTTTTTTCAGTTCTCCGCCTATAAATCGGGACAGGTGATTTGGGAATTGCTGACAAAACCTTATTTTTGGACGTTAGACATCATTCACCGTTTTTCTAGATAGATTTCAAGATGGTAAAATGCTTATAACTCTTGCTTTTCGCGAAAACCCACAATTTTATATTTCCGGGGCAAGTGCGGGGGGTATATTATGAGGATTGGGTTTGGGAACATCAGAGCCTCCCGGCGCGGGCCTGCTTATTTACCGGAAGCGAAAATAGCCCCTTCTCCTCGCCCATTGCTCATCCACTCAAAAAGGGGCAGAAAAAAGGAGGAAGTGCTTAGCTGTGGCGAAAACGACAATATTTGTATTATTAGTGTTTTTGTTATCTACAGGGTGTCCCAAAAAAAACCCCCCCCTACCTAGCGGTCCGCAGTCGATTCCGATTTTTACGATTTAGGTATCTATCGAAAGCTCTCGAAAAGGCGAGAAAACAAGGAGGGTTGAATTTCTTAATTAAGCCTTTTTATTTGCTAATTTTATGTCCAAAAACCATGAAAACTGCTGATTTATGCGAGATCTGCATGCTAATTGCGAAATTCCTGATGAAAAATTCCCGGCTTTTTAGGAAAACCTGAAATATCGATAGAATCAGATAAAATCGTAGAAAACGAAAACCGCTTGTTTTCTCGCCTTTCCGAGAGCTTTCGATTGGTATAAAAATCATTCCGATCCGATCCGATTGACGGCCTCTAGAGGGGGGGTTTGGGACACCCTGTAAAACCGCAATATTTACATTGATAGTTCGGATAATTGACAACTTCTAATTTTTAATTTCAAATTTAAACTCGAAATTATTTTCTCTGAATTTGGCGTCATTGCCACCAGAAACGATTATTTTTATTTAGCGCATTAATACGCTTGCCCTATTAACGCTAGCTGCTCGTTAAGACAAACGATTTTGTATTTTCTCATAGTTGTTTCTAAATCCATTTTTAAGTGCGCCAACCCCGACGAGTACATCGAGAACTTCAACTGCACCGGCATCGACAAGGGCCTCATCCACGAGTCGCGACTGTCCTTCTACTCGGGTCACGCCGCCTTCTCCTTCTACGCTGCGTGGTTCACGGCGGTACTGTATTTGTAATACTTTTTCAGAATTCCCATAGGTTTTAAAGTTTTATAAAATTTTTTGATCTATTTTTTCACGTTATTTTTGCAAAAATCGTAACTTTTTAGCTCTACCTCCAAGCACGTCTCTACCGCCCGCTCTTCTCCCGGCTCACCATCCCCGTCGTGCAGTTCCTTCTTTTTGGAGGTAAATTTCTGGGTCGGGATTTTGCCGCGCCGGGAAACGCAACCGGGGGCTTTTGCATTATCGCGGGGGAAGGGGGCTTTTTTCTAAGATTCCAATTTTTCGGATATGGAAGAAGTTTCCAAGTTTTTTTAGGTTTTACGATTCCTATACGTAAAAACTTGACAGATTTTCAGGAACAAAAAAGTTTTCAATACAAAAATCGCGATTTTTCGACCAAAAATTGCAACTAAGGAATTTTTTTTCTACCTCAATTTTCAGGCGCCGCCTACGTGGCCTACACGCGCGTCTCCGACTACAAGCACCACTGGTCCGATGTGCTCGTCGGCGCCATCATGGGCAGCTCGATCGGCATCTTTGTGGTGGGTTTTGGACTTTGGTTTTTGGGCTTGTTTTTCTATCAAAGGAAAGGAATAAATTACTAAAAATAGAATTTGTTAAATTTTTCATTTAGGCCGTCTACGTGGCCGAGGTGTTCATGCGACGCGAGATTCCGCTGAACGACCCGAAGGTGCTGCACGACCAGTTCGGGCTGATCCGTGTCGAGCCCGAGCCGGCGATACAGCAGAACGGGGATCCGGTTGGTATTTTGACCTGTTTCCGATTTTAAACGGATTCAAAGTGCTCAAACGATGTATTTTTGGGGAATCTGTTGAACCACAACAGTCGAAAGCCCCTCCCTTTAAAAGGCACTTCTGTCTATTTTCGAAAAAATCAAAAAGTTCTGCCGCGGACGGGAGTCGAACCCGGGTCTTTTTCTTGATATCATTAGCGCGTCACGATTAGCCGGGCCTTTTTTATGGTGCTGAAAATCTTTGAAAATAGCGACTTTTATACTTCGTTTTATAACCTATTTTATAATTACATTCTATTTATGATCTATTTTATAATTTTCAGATCGTCTCCACGCAGTCGCACACGATCCACATCCAAGACGAGACCGGCCCGCAAGCGCCCACCTCGCAGCGACTGTAAGTTGACATTTTTAAGTTTTTTTTTGTTTTTAACTGCGAAATTAACCCCGTCTAACTTTTGGGACTGGACTGTTAGCGGGGGGGGGGGGACTAATTTCATTTTTTTTGCCCGTCTCCTGCCTTCTAATTAATAAATACAAAGGTGGGAAGCGACAAAAAATATTTTGGGATTTTTAAGCGTTCAAAAAATTTGTTATTTTTGGTCATTTTTCGTAAGTTTTTCCACGAAAAATTCAAAAATTATCAAAATGTTTGAGTTTTGACGGGCTTTTGTATCTCGTGAAACTGGATAAAGTTCTGTAAAATGGTGTATTTTCTTATGGGGGCTATAGGATTACTGGGAAAAATTAGCCCCCCCCCCCCCTGCTAACAGTCCAGTACCTACCAGCTTTTTCCCCGCATCCTCACCCCTGGCCACTTATTTTCCGTGCTTAGAGCCGGGCCAGCCGCCGACTTTGAGTTGCGCCCACTTTACCCGGCGACGTCGTCCGCTTACTAGTTGCACCCACCCCGCGTCCGTTTCGCCAACTTTCTACACGCACACGCTGTTTCTACAACCCCGCTTTTCACACCTATCCGTGGATGAGCTGTCGTCTTTCATGGTGGTTGGTCAATTTCTATGTCTTTTTTCATCCCCCGAGCACTGCCGATATCTTTTCCTTTCGTGCGTACTGGCTTGCCTAGATCCACGTTAGTTATACTAGGGGTTAAACTCGGGTTACGGTATTCGGGTTGAAAAATAGGAGACATCAGAATACCGAAAAATCTAGTTAAAAACTCGTTCTTACTTTTTTTGGCTATGGTTAAATGGTAACTCCCTCCTCTGCCAGGTAGAATACCCGGGTTCGAGCCCCGCGCACAGCAGATTTTTTTGCTTTTTGGCCGGAATACCGAAAAATTCAGAAAATTTAATTTTATACTTTTTAGACCTGGGCTCAATGGAAAACTCTTACCTGTTAGGGGTTCGAGACCCGCGCGCTGCAAATTTTTTTGGTTGTTGGCCGGAGTACTAAAAAAGCGGATCAAAAGCATTTTTTTGATTTTTTAAAATGTTTAAATTTTTGCCTTGGTCAAGTTGTAAGTTTCTCGCCTGTCAGGCAAACTACCCGGGTTCGATTCCGGCCCGCGGGATATGCTTTTGCTTTTTGACCAGCAATTTCCATTCTAATTTTTTGAGGCTGTTTTTAAGCTTTTCGGTATTCTGACCCCTTCCCCGCCACATAACCGCATGCCCCCGGGGGCTAGCTTCCCCACGCCAATTTTCCTATTGACGTTTCCGCTTTATCCTATCGACGGCGGGCACCTCTGAAAATTTCTAGAGACGCGAAAAGCCCTCCCCCACCGTACCCCCGCACGCAGGCCCTCCAGGACGGCTCGTATAAAACGGAATTCCGCATCGAGCCCATGATCGTCGTCTCGCTAAAGTGAATTCAGCGCCGAATTTTGGGCCAAAATTTTCTAAATTTACCTCGACTACGGTACCCTGCCCTTATTCAACGTTTAAAAATCCCTATTTATCTAAATTCCTCGATTTTCTTGACTACTGGGTGCTAAAACTTGCTCCACCGCCCCACGCAGGCCACATTGATTTTTTGTATGTTAGCGAAATTTTTCCGGTCAATTAAAGGGGCTAGAAGACCGAAAAATCGACCCCCAAGGATCGGCTAGATCTGGAAAAGTACGCGGCGCGCCAAATGACGCTAAAAATTACATTTTTAAAGCCTTTTCGTCGTTGAGATGTGCTGGCTGCGTCATTTGGAGCGTCGCGTAGCTTACTTCGTAACTCGAGATGAAAGCCGTCGATTCTCGCCAGAATCTACCTCTACGATTGACTAGGTCTAGACAAGTACGTCAGGCGGCAAACGACGCTGAGATCGCATTTTGAAGGCCTTTTTGGCGTCTAGCTGTGCTGGAATACGGAATTTGGAGGGTCGCATAGCTAACCTCCGTAACTGTCGAGGCCTGATGGAAAATGGGGTCGATTCTCGCGCTTTCCAGCCCCTTTAATTCCATTTTACACCAATCGACGCCCTCCCAAAGAATGTGCCCCCTCCCTTCCGCTCCATTTTGTCGTGTTGTCGTGTTTTCTCTCGTACCCACCCCTACCATTAATGCATAATTTTGCGCCCTGCCGCCCGCCCCGCCTTGATTTCTGTCGTGTGTGCCCCTAGCATTTTTTTTGGTTTTCTTTTTTGTGATTGGTGGTGGTCGTCTGCCTTCTTGTCTTTTGCATATTTTCGCTCTTTTTCGTGACGTGTCTTTGTGCCGATAAAAGGGTTACTACTACTTCTTTTGATCCTTATTCTTCTATTCTGTGGCGCTTCGGCGTTCCGGAACGCTTCCTATCCTGCGAGTAAGGGCATGCACCATCGTTAACTTACAGCTTCGTTTTATGCAAATTGGGCGGCGTTTTTGCGATGAAAACGGACGTCAGGGAAGCTAGCGGGTATTCTGGAGGAATTTGAGGTTTCGCAGGTTTTATTCGCTTTCTATGAGCTAATTTGTAACGTTTCCGTGACAATACTAGTTACGCTGACGGATTTTCGAGGTTTTAGGGGCGTTAGGAAGCTCGAGACTGGCCAGCAGAAACTCTTATGAGGACGGGCTAGCAGAGATTCCTTATAAACGGGCAGGTAGCAGAGATTCTTTAGGAAAGATCAGGCTAGCAGATAATCTTTAGGAGGGATAAAAAACCTTACAGAGTGCCAGGCTTTTCCTCCCACTTCTCCGCTTCCGCTCCTCCCTCTTTCCGCTCTGTCGTCATTAATGTGTCTATCCAAAAAAATCGCAAAAAAGAGTCATTTCAAAAAATTGGCGTCTCGTCGCGCCTTGTGGCTTTCCATGTCGTTTGTCGGCTATCGGTGGCTATTTTTCGGGCCGGCTCGCGCGCGCAAACGCACACACTGGATACGGTAACGGCGGTCGAATTGTTGCGTTAAAAACATATCAAAAACGGTTGTCCGGCTCCCTTTAAGGAACAGGCAAGGATGGTCATAAATTCTAGACGTTAGCTAAGCCTAAGCCTAAGCTGGGTCGAAGCCTAAACCTAAGCCGAAGCCTAAGCAGATCCAAATCCACACCTTTAAACCGCTTTCCTCAGCCTAGCGACAAAAACTGGGAAGCCACAAGACGGGGCTGGGCGCGGTTTAGCGTGTGACAGGGATACGGTAAGGTTACCGTGGTCCTACCGTAACCTACCGTACCCAAAACCTATCAAAAATAGCCCACCGTACCTCGGAAACCCCCGGAAAAGTGTGTGCGTTTGCAGCAGCACGGCCTCCCTGTGCGAGTCGTTCTACACGGCGGCCGGCGACTGGCCGCCCTCGTTGCTGTCGTCCCGTCCCCCGTCGACCATCTACGCGTCGGCCGAGTACTTGCCGCTGCCGTCGCGGGCCGGCTCGTTGTACGCCCCGCACTCTGGCCATTTTAACCCGACGGGCCGCCCAACGAATTTGTGAATTTAGGGGGAGGGTGCCGGCTACGGAAATCGGGTTTAAAGGGACGGGCAAGGCAGCGAGAAAGAAAGAGCGAGAGAGAGTGCGAGAGAGAGCGAGAGGGAGACAAAGAGCGAGAGAGAGCCCAATTTTCAACCGGCACGTTTCCTTTAAATTTAGCATAGTTTCTTCCGGCTTTTTCCCAAATTTCATTTTAGACCTCAATTCTGATAGCCACCCCCTTTTTCTTATCTTTTTTTTTATTTGGTCAAAAAAATACGTTGTGATCCGCTCCGGTGTCCGCTACAGTATTCCCCTACCGTACCCCCAGCCATTCCACTGCTGTACTTTTGACAGGTTACCGTATACCCTCGAGCTTGAACTTGTCATTTTATTTTTGGATTTGTTGAAATTCGAATTCCACGACAGTACTAATTACAGTAGAGAAATCGAAAATGTAAAAAGGGAAGATTAGCAAATTTATTTTTATACAGTTTTAAGTTTCTGAGTTTAAGAATATTTAGAAAATATTTCCAATACTTAAAAATTCAAAAGATACTTAAATATCACACTAAAAACTTTGAAACCCGTTTTTTTTGTCCCTAGAAGCTTCCAGGTCCCTTTAAAAGTTCCCAATCATCAGCTATATATTTTTTTGTTGTCCACAGCCTTCACTGTCCCCTTAAAGAGCCATAACTAACCCGCCGCTTCTGGATGTGTGCCATGAATAAATTTATGTAAATTTTGAGTTGAATGTCCATTTTTTGGGGCTTGGTTTTTTTGGAAATTAGCCAACTTTCAGGGCCCAGCACCACCAGCGCATCGAGGAGGAGCGCCAGCTGTTCTTCGAAAAGCCCCAATAAGCACATTTTTAGATTGTAAAGGGCTTTTAAGGTCAGATTTTGGCCATAGCCTGACTTCCCGGTTCCGTTAAAATCTTGTAAGCTTGATTTTGCTCGTATTACTTGTCCACAACGCGTCCCAAACCCCCGAAACAACGGTCTCTGTTTTTCCTGTTGCTATATATCTCGCTTTCTAAATTGCTAAATTCTCTCTCTCTCTCTCTCGCTCTCTCTCTCTCGCTCTCTCTCTCTATCTCACGCCGTCTTGCAAATCCCAGCTGGATCCCGGCCAAAGAATGGCTTTTAAAGGGTCCGACTTGCCGATCCCTTTAAAACCAGAATTTTCTCGAAGTTTCTCATTTTATGCATTTCCCGCATTGCTTTTGGCTAATAAAGTTCCCGCTTTATCAAATAACGCAATCTATATGATAGAGAGAATAGCGAAAGGGAGAGCTAGAGAGGGAAAAAGAGAAAGAGAGGGAGAGAAAGAGAGAGAGAGAGAGAGAGAGAGAGAGCGAGAGAGAGAGAGAGAGAGAGAGAGAGAGAGAGAGAGAGAGCTAACGAGAAAGATCGAGCTTAAGGAGCTCCAGAAGACCTAGAATCTATTATTAGCATATTCAAGATTCTCGGGTTGAACGGGCTGCTCCGAAGTCGTAGGCACTGAAAATGTGTGTCCCAAAAAATCTCTGCTAAACACACCCTTTTCAAGTCAAAAATGGATATCTGCAATTTTTCTAAACTTTCCAATCCCTTTAAAACCTCGCACTTACCCCCCTGCTCCGCTCGATATCGATAGTCCGGCTGGTCCTCGGGCACGGGCACCGGGTCAACAGGAGCCTCAAAAAGTGAATCCTGCCTCGCGCGGGCAGTTTCGGCATTTCCTAAAGAATCTCTGCCAGTTAGCTCCAGAACCTTAGGCTTATGTTTAGGCTAGGTTTCGATAAAAACTCACGCAGCTCGGCTTGTCGTCCGGCAGAAGCCGCGCCGGAGTCAGCCACGAGATGCCAGCCTAACATAAGAGTTTGCCAAGGAAGCAGATCAGAATTTTACCACCACTAACAGTTCGGTTCTCGGGTTCATTTCCGGGAAGGCCGGAGGGCCGCAAAACCGGAAGTTGGCTGTTGAGGTAAGCTGATGGGTCAGTGATGGTCGCGGGTTGGACAACCGGCGCATTAATGGGAGGGAGTAGGGCGTCTGGGGGTGGAGGCGGGGCCGGAGGGAGCTGGCTGCCAGCGTAAAAATCTGGAAAAAAGCAACGTAAATACCTAAAAAATAAATCAAGGGGAGAGAGAGCGAGAAAGACTCACCTTCTGTAGTCATCGCACCGCCACTGTGCACATTATTAGAAAACGGCGGGGTGCCCGGCCGAGTGAAGCCGTTTCCCAGAACCGGAGGTGGGAATTCTCCGGGTCTCTGTGGCATCACCTGAATTTTCGGTTTGGGCGAGAGTGTGAGCGAGAGCTAGAGGGAGAGAGAGAGAGAGAGAGAGAGAGAGAAAGAGAGAGAGATACAGAGCGAGTGCTATAGGCAGCGAGATACAGAGCGAGCGAGTGCGATCGAAAGCTAAAAACCCCCTTGAAAAGGCCCTATAAAATAGCAAAAACGAACCCGATCCGGTGCTGGTTCGGGGTTGGCATATCCTAAAACCGAGAGTTTAGGATGTTTTTTATAAAATTAAATAATTACATTAAGTACCAGTAGATTATTTAAAAATTATCATTATGTAAAAATTAAAAATTACAAAATACCTTCGCGAGGCTCCAACGGTCCATCGCCCTCCACAATTTTCTGCATTTGCCGCCAGTTGGGCGGGGCGGCAATTTTGTGCTTCGGCGTTTGGCTTGACTAAAAATGCGTAATTTTTTTCGTAGTTGCAGGAATTCTGCAAGATACGCCTAATAACGTACAATCCGCGAACTCTGACTGCCCGCGCTGCGCTCCGTGGGCGGGTAGGCAATGGTCGGGCCGGCGGATTGTATGGGCGTATCCTGGGATATTGGGGTTTGGTCTCGAATTCGGGGCGTGTCCTGGGCCACAGGCTCTTCAAGAAGTCGATTTCTAAAGAGCTTCGGATTCGCGAGAAAACGAAGCCTTAATCCCAAATGATCTCTGCTGGCTAGCCTCAAATTTACGTGGAAACACAACTCTTCGTCCTGATTAAAGCCCTCTTCCCCAATACTGCTCACTCGCCTCACATTTTCGGGATTACAATTACACCGCCTTACGCATTTTTCTTAAAATCCTCTGCTATTTCCTAAAATATGCCTAAAATGCAGAGTCTGGGCTTTTCCTTTTGCCCTTTCCTCAACAACCGCTACTAGCTGGCCTAAACCTTGCTTCAAAACATCAACTCTGAGCATGGCTTTCCCCTTTTGCTGAGAAATCTTGCCTAGTTCACCTCAAATTTGCGCGCAAATACGATTTCTGGATTTTTTTGTGTTCTTTCCCCAAAAACCTTTGCTAGCTTGCCCTAAACTTGCGCGGCTTGCTTACCTGAACGAATACAACAACCACGTCCCCAGGCCGCCAAAAAGCACTATCGACAGCCCGATTGCGATCATCGAGAAGGTGACGGTAATGTCTGAAAATAGCGGGTTCTATCCAAACTGCAAAACCCATCATCAAAAAGCTGGGAGTTCCATACAAAAAAATACAACCCACCTTTGGTGGTCTGCACGATCACCAGCGCGCCAAGGATTCCGAGCTCGACGATGATGCTGAAGCCCTGAAAAAAAAGACCAAAACTTCGCTGCAAGGCAAGCTAGCAGAAATTCTTTAGGAAAATCTACCAACCCTCCACAGCAGAATCTTGGCCAGCAAATTCAGCGGGCTTCCCCATTGGGGGAGGGTGTCGCCGAACGACACGGCGCACTGGAAGATCGACAGCGTGTTCACAAACCAGAATATTAGGTCTACAGATACTAAAAAATATTTTGAATTAATAAACTATTTTCCAATACCCAATCCTATGATCAGAGCCGCAAAGAAGCCGTGCAGCTTAAAAACCGCCGCAGCGAGCACGTAGAATAGGCAGAAGCACTGTGAAGCCGGGAACAGGTAGCAGCCGATCCATTTCTCCGACTAAAAAGAGGGTTAAAAGGCTTTAAAGGGCTTAAAAACACTTCTAACAAACCGTATAACTTTTCGGCGCCTTCGATCCATGCACCGCCGCCGGCTCCTCCATAAAACCAGGAGGAAAAGCCTTGGCCCGGAGACACTTACTTCGCCCCCCGCTTATCAGCGCCAAATTGCGAGGCCGCCCGAATTTTTGAGACCCCCGGCAGATAATGGCTTAAAATTTATGCACAAAACCAGTCGAAGGAAGCAATGAGAGGAACTTGTAATAAATACGGAATAATAAGGCTGATCACAAAACGAAGTAAAACCGGGCGCGGCGAATTAGACGGGCTTGTAGTCGAGCTTGGTTTCGAGCTTCTTGGCGTCGCTGACCTTGCGGACGGCCTTCATAAAGTCCTCCTCGACGACGTATTCACGCTCGGCGCGGATGGCGAACAGACCTGAAAAATGGGATAAAAATACGAATGACGCTGTCCCACCGGCTTCAGTGCAGACGTTTCTCAAATCGGCGCAGCTGAACCCGTCGGAGAGCTTGACGACGGCCTCGAAGTCGATGTCGCCGTGCTTGGTGATGGGGTTTGCGTGGATTTTAATAACCTAAAGCAGACTTAAAAGAATACATTGTGGAAAAAACCTCTAATCGGGCCTGCTCATTGGGGAGGGCGATCTCGATCTTCCTGTCCAGACGGCCAGGGCGCAGAAGGGCGGGGTCGAGCGTGTCGGGGCGGTTTGTCGCCATGATCACCTGAAGGAGACGTAATGACGTGTCAAAATGGTCATCAGTTTTGCCAGTTTCCTCGTCAATTGTGCCCCATTTTGTTTCCATTATTTTGCTACTTTTTCGACATTTTTTTTAAATCATAGAGCATCAAAAAACGAATGACCGAACCAAACCAAAAAGATCCAGTACTTACCTTGACCTGGCCGAGGGAGTCGAAACCGTCCAACTGGTTGAGCAGCTCCATCAACGTTCGCTGAATTTCACGATCGGCCGATGTGCCCTCGGAGAAACGGCGACCGCCAATCGCGTCAATTTCGTCCATGAACACGATGCAGGGCTGATGGTCGCGGGCGTAGTTGAACATTTCACGGATCATGCGCGCCGACTCTCCAATGTACTTGTCGACGATCGCCGAGGAGACGACCTTCAGGAAGTTGCAATCGAGTTGGGAGGCGACTGCCCTGAAAAGAAAAGTTGACGAATGGTTTTTTTTTGTATAATTCTAAAATTTTCAGAAAGCTCACCTGGCCAACAGCGTTTTTCCGGTACCAGGCGGCCCGTAGAGGAGGCATCCCTTCGGGGGCGTGATGCCGACACGGCGGAAGAGCTCGGGGTTCAGCAACGGCAACTCGACGACCTCGCGCAGCTCGCGGATCTGCTCGGCCAGTCCGCCCACGTCGCCATACGTGATGTTGCCGGGGTCCTCGTGTGACATCTTGTATACCAACGGGTCAACCTCACGTGGAAGTTGTCGCATGATCGTCAACGTGGTCATGTCGAGGGCGACTCGCGTACCTGAAAACGAAGGTTTTACAAAGCTCGGCTACACAAACCTTGTTTTAGCGCTACTTTGTTGATGGAGCGACGGCATCCGACGACATAGCGGGGCCCATTTGTTGCCTAAATTTAATTAGATAAGAAAAACTAGTAGGAATGCACCTTGACGATGAACTTCTCCTCGCTCAGCTGCTTCAGTACTTCGCCAACAATTTGACCGACCGACTGCAGCGACTTGATGTCGTTTTCGGATTTGTCGTGCAGCTTCTGGAGCTCTTGCTCCTGAAAAAGTCTATTGAAAGGACAAGAACTAATCCATACCTTCTTTCTTAGCTCCTTGAGGCGCTGCTCGATTTCCTTGTAGTCGGTCAACTTCTTGCGGTACTGGTTGAGCGCGCGCTCCTTCTCGTCGACGACTGGGACGGCGACGGGGCCCGTGGATTCGACCATCCTGCAACAAGCATATTATTTCCGCGCAAAGAAATCATAAATTCATGAAAAATTGAACTGGAAAACCCGAATGAAATGGCACAAGTATCAAGTGAGGAAAATCAACGAATAGGCACTAATTTTTGGTAGCCACGGTGAAAAAAGTCTAAAAAATCCTAAAAATTCAGGGCAATAACAACACGCACTGGCCAACAATGACAATAACGATAACAATAGGATTCCTATCTACAACTCTAAAACTAAACATTAAAACTAATGGTTCTTGAGTACATTATAAAACGCTTCTTTCGGGATTTGTATCCTCCCGAGCACTTTCATCTTTTCCTTGCCCTTCTTTTGATCCTGGAGCTTCTTGTTCAACCGCTCCAGACCTCCCTTTCCAATGTTTCCCTTCAACGTCTGCATAAAGTCCTTCTTATGGGCTCGAATTGTCGATGAGCATAGTGCTTTCGTAGACGTTCCCGCGGAGGCCTTGATTGTGAACTCGAATTGCTGTCTCGGGATTTCCCGCTTCAATCGGCCGACCAACGTGCGCGCCTTTTCCCCCGCCATGCTGACCGGGACGATTTGCGAGAACTCGGGCACCAGTTTGTCGTTGATGCTGATGTTCAGCTGGATCAGCTTCGACTCCTTGTACCCGTCGAAATCGTAGTCGAACGACACGTAGCCAGACGTGATGCGCTTCAGGTTGTCAAAGAAGTCGATGACCACCCCGGCCATTGGTAGTCGCCAGGTGATCAAAAGGCGCTCCTCATCGATGCTTGAGATTTCGCCGCGCTCCCCGCGAGCTTCAGAGCACAGCCCGTTGATCTGGCCCATCATCTCGGCCGGCACGACTAGCCGGACCTAGAAAAAAAGTCATTACCTTTCAAAAACAAAAATACTCACTTTGACCATCGGCTCCAAAAACGCTTCCACATCAACCTCATCGGGGAATGAGCCAGGGTCCAAGATACGAATCTCGGCCTGACCATTGTAGCGCTTCTTGCGCACCGTCTCGTTGTCCTTGATTCGTGCCCGGTATTCCACCGACGGTTGCGTAAGGATCACTTGCGCATCGTGCTCCTGCTCCAGGCGCGCAGAAAACACCTCCATGTGCAACACGCCCAAAAATCCCACACGCCAGCCCAATCCTAGGGCGGGGCTGGAGTCGGGAATAATTTCGACGGAGGGATCATTCAGCGAGAGCCGCTCCACTGATTGCCGCAGCTCCTCGTAGTCCTTCGTCTCAACCGGGAAAAGCCCGGCGTACACGGTCGGCTTGATCAGCTTAAAATCGGGGTACGGCTCGACGTCCGTCCGCGCCGCATCGAAAAGCGTCTCCCCAATCGCGGCCTCCTTCGTCGTTTTCATGTTGCAAATGATATATCCAACCTGCCCAGCAGACAAGGCGGTGACGGGCATCATTTCCGGTTTCATGATGCCGACCTCGCTGATCTCGTACTCCTTGTTGTTGTGGAACGAGCGGATCTTATCGCCACGCTTCAACCGGCCCTCACGCACCAAAATATACGCGATGGCGCCGCGATAGTGGTCAAACATCGAGTCGAAAATTACAGCTTTGAAGGGTTGTTCTTGGGCGACTTTGGGCGGTCGTATCCGTTCAATAATCGTATCCAGAATGGGCTCAATACCAAGACCAGTCTTAGCCGAGATCTTTAACACCTCGTTTGGTTCGAAGCCAAAGACATTCTTGAGTTGCCTCTCAACTTTCGCGATTTCAGCTCCTTTCAAATCGATCTTATTGATGATCGGGATCATCTGCACATCGGCGTCGAACGCAAGCCAGAAATTGGCTATCGTCTGGGCTTGAATCCCTTCATTGGCGGCGACCAGCAACAAGATTCCGTCACAGACGGTCAACGATCGAGCCACTTCCGACGAAAAATCGGCATGCCCGGGCGTGTCGATCAGGTTTATAAGGTGCCCTTTGTACGGTAAGGCCACAGTTTGAGCTTTCACCGTAATTCCTCGCTCGCGTTCGACCTGTAGCCGATCCAAGAACTGGGCTTCCTTTTCACCAGCCTTGATGACGCCCGCGAATTCGAGCAGCCGATCGGCCAGGGTGCTCTTGCCGTGATCGACGTGGGCGACGATGCCGAAATTTCGGATCTTGTCGGGGGTATACTGCTCGATGTCGATCGGCTTTCGCTGGTAGTTGGCCGCCAAGAGACGGAGCTGCAGCCTCCATGTTGGGGCATTGAGCTTCAGCATCCGCGGGCCCGGCAACGAGTTCTGGAAAAGAAGATTTTTTAAATTATTTTAAAAATAGGGATTTTATGAGATGAAGCCGAAAAGGTCGAGCCAAGATTTTGAAAACGACAGGAAAATTTGATGAGAACGTTTGGCGACGAGGCGCCACGGAGTGAACGCCAATAGTAGCCACTCGGATTGCTCCCAAAGGAGCCGGCGGGCAAAACATTTTTGGCATTTTCCGATAAACAACTTTTCCGACTCTCACGATTTCGCCTTCAAATTACATAAATTTGGTTTTTATAATATTTTATTAATTTTAAGCAGTATTTGGTAGGTATATTCTATAGTCAAGGGAGACTTGGTGACCCGGTTCTTGAAAAGTTGTCGTTTCTTCACACAGAAAGAGACGGGAAAATATCACGTTTCTTCCCAGGACTGTAAATACGAAAAGGCGCTACTGAAAGATCAGGCTGCTCGATCGAATGTGTTGTGTTCGACGCATCGAGCTACAGAAGGCAGGCCGGCTGATCCTCTCGACCAAAGATGGCTGTTCTTTAATTTCCAACAACCTCTCCTTTTTCCCCAATACCCATTTTCGAACTAAAAGGCCGACGATTTCAATAACTTCTGCCTGCTACCTTTAACGTCTACGAAAAAATGCAGCCCCAGCATTGGGTAGTTTTGAGGGAGCGTGCCAGTCTAGCGAGCAAACACGGGAACACAATTCCTTCTTAGCGGCTCGCCCTGTGCCTGGATTTTCTCTTTTTTTGTGATTGTTAGCTCCTTTTAACTCAGACCACCGCCACTCTTCATCGGAAACCCATTTGACCGTTGCCCGCGATATCTCTGCACTGATCCGGCGGGCCGGACAATGCACAATCGGGCAGGGGGGGAGGCACAGCCAGGAGCAGGGGGGGAGAAGCCGATAATGGATCGCTTCATGAAATCTATTGACGAGAGTGAGGGGGCCGAGTGGTGGCGAGAGGCGGGCCCGGGTGGTCTGTCTCCGCCGTTCCCACACACGCACACCACCGGCAAACTGGACTCCGCCGAGCCGCTCGCTCTCCGGTCACATACAAGGTCACTTGCTGCTGCTGGCTGGCTGCTCTGCCGGTGCGAGTTTCGGGGCGCGAAAGGTCAACGAAAGAGATCTTGGCCCCACCGGGGGAGGAAGCGCTTCCTCCTTGTATGTTTTGCTACTTTGCTCGACTGACAAATAGCAACATTACGTGGGGGTGGGCCTGTTTTTCCATTCCGCAAGACGTACGCATGGATCAGGCGCGAAAAAAAGCGTTTTTTGGTTGCGTTGGAACACACATTTCGGGTCTGGTGTTCAGAGCGCACTCTTCTGTTTTAGGCGGGGATTTTTTCTCTCGTCTGATAGACGCAAGTATGGATCATGCGTGAAAATGTCTGCTTTTTCCTTGCTTGGAAGTATGAAGTCGGGAACTGATGTTTAGAGGGCATTTTTCGATTCTTCGGGTTTATTTTGAGCTCTAATTGTGTGTCTTCTGGCCCCCAGGGATGATCTGTCCTTCCTATTTTGAACTTTCTTTTTTTGGGGGTGCTGCCGTCTGCACTTTGACACTATGACGTGCAGCATCAAACTTTTGGAACCTCAAAACAAGTCGGGTCCTCGTGAAAAATTACGCCAAAAATCCACTCCCGATCCCCAATTCAGTAGCCACATCCGAACCAGCTTCATTTTATGGGTCGCCGGTCTTTTTTGGGCTGAATCGAGCCGTGCCCTCCTCTCCCGCTCACCTCCTCCACTCCCTGTTATTTTCATGTTTGCTCACCGTGAATCAGCCGGGGCTATTTATTTTTTCGTTCACAGGGCCCCCCTTCCGGCCGTCCCCCACCCAGCAGCACCAGTGCGCGCCACATCGCCAACCGAACCAGGACACCTGTCCGCGCGCGCCTCGCTGGCAAATGGCAAGTGAGGATCAGGTGCGTGTTTTTGAAGTTTTGTAATTTTTGGATTTTTTAGGATTCGCGGGAGGGGGCTGCTTTTTTCCGCTCGGCCTAGATTCCTTTATAAATTTTGGCTCGGCGCAAAATGACCAAAATTTTTTTTGAAAGTTTTTCCACTTGAACTTGCGAACAGACTATAAAAACTTAATATTTGGCTACCAGAGCGTTCTAAAACGTCAGGAAAAGTGGCTCTCCCGCCAAGAACAGCTTTTGACATCGCCCAATCCAATTCTCAGTAAAAAAGCTGCGTTTCAGGATCTCGACACCACCCTGAAAGTTGAAGAATCGCCGCCCCCCGCGAAGGCCACCACCCCGGTGCCGCCGGCCAGAAATCGAAAGCGAAAAGTATGAATTTTTGGGTTAAAAATTACCTAAAATCTCAGGTTGTCGAACTCCGGTGCCCCGAGGTGCGATGGTTCTATCGCAGGAAAAACGCCGAAAAATGGACACCGCTCCGAGGTTTTTCAGCATTCTTAAAATTTACCCCGTTTTAGGCCTAGATTCACTTCGACTTGAGCTGCGGCATCGCGAATTGGAGGGCCTAGAGGTAATTTTTCAAACCTACATTTATTCTAGAAAATTTAGATTGACACCCAGACGCAGACGCGGATGATCGACGAGGGAATTAGTGAGACGAACAACGTGGTGATTCTCGATGGGTTGTACAAGTGAGCGTAAAACAGAAAATTTTTATGGTTCCGCTTCCAGAGCTGACGACGACTTGAAGACGTGCTCGTCGTTGTACTGGAAAGAAGACACGGCTGAATTACGACGAGGTAGTTTCGTGGCTTCCGCTATTTATCCGGTATTCAGGCACGTGGTTTCTGCCGGATTGGCAGCCGCTAAGGCCCGAAATGGCCGATGCTATCGAGAAGAACCATTTACAACATTTTCGCGGCCAAACGATTCCCGACGGTGTTTCGATGTTTTCGGAAAAGGAGGCCGTGAAAAAGCCGCGTTAGTTTGTGTCAGATTTTAGAAGTGCTGATTTGTGAATAAAAATTATTTCCTGTTTTTAGAGCTCACCGAACTCGTGCAAGACAACTTTGAGGTGCGCTGGAGCTCGGTGATCGACGTCTTCCTCTTCAACACGTCAAAAGCCAGCCGCTTTTTGAGGTTTTTTTCCTTTTCGAATTCACCTTTTCTTCTAGGTACATCTCCTGGGGTCGCCCGGCTTCGCTACGCCGGGGCTACGAAAAGGAGGGCGAGTGGGAAGACGCGTCGCCGAAAGTCTCGCATCTGATCCTCGTCGTGCACGGCATCGGCCAGAAGGGATACGAGAATCTGATTGCCGAAAATACCGCCCAGTGAGTTTTCGATGCAAAAAATTCGTGGCTATTTAAGAAATTAAAAACCTTTCGCGATCGCTTGGTTTGCAATGCAGGTTTCCTGGGCTAGGTTTTTGAGCGGAATTCGAATTTCACATTTTGTTACAAAAAGAAATTAACTTGAAATCGACAAAAAAAATCGACGCCGGAAACATTTTTCTGCGTTTTTTGTAGCCTATGACTTGTATATTTTGTACTTTCTAGGTTCTCGTTTGCCTAAACCAAGCTTTTAGAGTATCAAAGTGTGAAATTCGAATTCCGCGTCCAAAACTAGCGCCAGAAACTCGGTTTTTGGCTGATCCGGCAAGGTTTTTAGCGCTCCAAAAACCTCGAAAATTGCGACTACATTTTTTGCAGGATTCGCGATGCCGTCTACGCTCAAATGGACAAGTACTACCCGGAAGAGAAGACGCGCCCCATGTTTCTACCCATCGAATGGCGCGCGGCCCTGCTGCTCGACGAGGGCCTCACCGACGTCGTGACGCTGCCCAAGATGGCGTCGATGCGCGAGACGCTGAACAGCACCGCCATGGACATCATGTACTATCAGAGCCCGTTGTATAGAAAGGAGGTGAAATTTTAATTGAAAACCCTTTACATTTGATTTTCCAGATCATTGGCGGCGTGGTGAAGCAGATGAACAGCGTCTACCAGCTCTTCATGAAGAACCACCCGTCATTCACCGGGCCCGTCTCCATCTTTGCGCACTCGCTGGGCAGCGTCATCTCGTACGACATCCTGACGGCGTGGAGCCCGGTGTTGATCTACGATCAGTACGTCTCCAAGGCTATTGTAAGTTTTTAGGGTTTTTTTGTATAATTTTTCCAATTTTAGGGCGAGCACCTGAATACCGTTGACGATCGTGAAGCACTTGGCGCGATGCAAGACTATCTGGTAAATTTCGGATACCTTTTTGTAAACTCGTTTTAGGCGGCCCGCAAAAAGCTGCACCAGAATTTTCAAGGCGGCATGAAGGCGCTGTTGGTGCCAAAGGACGAGCAGCTCGATTTCAAGGTATTTGTGCGATGCTTTGCCAAATTGTGATTTTTAGGTAAAATCTATGATCGCCGTCGGCTCGCCGCTGGCCGTTTTCCTCGTCATGCGCGGCGCGGATCGGCAGAGTATCGTCACGGACAAGGGAACGGTAAGCTTCTTTCTAACTTTATATTTTTTTTCTAGCCGTTCTTGACTAGATTTTTTCGTGTTAAGTCTTTTTGTTTATTTTTAGTTGACCCACTTTTTATTTTACTTTTTAGATCTTTTAATTCTCTTAATTTTTCTGGAATCAGCTAAAAATATTTTTTGTAAAATAAGCTACAGTATTGTTGTTTTTCAGCGCATCTACAACGTTTTCCACCCGTACGACCCGGTGGCCTATCGCCTGGAGCCGCTGTTCGCCCCCGAGTACCGCCACGTGCGCCCCGTCAAAATCTTCACGGCGTCCGACTTCCGCGGCCGTGACCCGTACGACGAGCTGCCGATGGAGCTCCACAAGGCCTACCTCAAGAAGATGAAGCACGCGAACAAGGCGAAGAAGGACGGCGATAAAGATAAGGTAGGATCAGTTAGGAGGACAAGAATTTCAAGTTTTTTAGCAAGTTCTGATGATTTCAATTTCGTTTTCCAAGTTTGCAGTTTTACAAAAACCTGAATGAAAATGGACTTGCAGGAGACCCCCCTCGATAATGCCAGTAACCGTTTTTTTCAGAACGGCGATCTGAAGTCTGACGAGATGGACGAAGAAGACTCGGACGTCGACGAGGAGGTGCAGTCTGCTTGTGAGTGTTCATTTCGATACCTAGTAAAATTTCCTAGGCTCCTCCCCTCGCTCCATCTCCCCGCCGAACGTCCCGATTGAAGCGGCTGCCGGCAGTCTGGAGAAGCCAATTAAAAAGTTTGAGATCGTTCTTTCTAAATCGTCCTGATTTTAGGGGCTGGTTCTCCGGCTGGAACACGTCCAACGCCAAGGAGGCCGCCATGAAGGCGAAGGAGTTGAAGGACAAGGCCGAGAAGCCGCGCGAAGAAAGCGATGTTGAGGTGGCCCGCGAGGCGCATGAGGTGACAATATAAATTTTGTATTTTCAATTGAAATTTGTTTATAGATTCCATCCGAGAAATTCTCCCCGCTTGACCGGCTGCTCGAAAACGTGTCCATGGATACGCGGCCGCCCTTCCGGATCGACTACGCCGTCCAGCCGGCGCTCACCGACAAGAGCTATTGGTGCGTGGATATTTTGACCGGGAAAAGTGCAAAAATAACGACAAGCTGGGCAATGAAATGCCCTTTGGATTGTCGGTATTTTGGGTCGATCGGCGACGATCTTTTAAACGTTTTCTTTTGCTTAGCTGAGCTAACTCGTTTCAAATTCTTTTTCCAGGTCCGTGCTGAAGAGCCACTTTGCCTACTGGACGAACACGGACATTGCTCTCTTTCTCGTCAACGTGCTCTACGACTCGGGACGGGTGAGTTTTTTCCTTCGTTTCGTAAACGCGTGATGATGAGCTAAATCTGGCCAATGTAGACAGGGCAGGCGTTTTTGTGTTGTTTGCGGGGGCCGTTCGGAGTTTTGTGGCCACACGGGTCGATCGGGAGGCGCCGATAAGAACCTTGTGCCTTGGTCGACCTAAGCGAGAACCGTCCGCGTTTTTGGCGTGGCCCGTAAACAACCCGTTGTCGCCTGTCATACCTCGAAAAGGGGGGAAGGTTATTTTTGGCTGGGTCCCAGGTTTTCAGAAATTTTTACACCCGGAATGTCGGCATTTCGACGATTGAATTTCTGAATCTTTCGCGCTATCGGATAGGCTTAGGTTTTAATTTTTTCAAATGTAAATAGTGGAGGTGTTTTCAAATGGCTTTTTAGCATCCCTAAACGTGAAAACTTTATAAATTTTTACTAAACAAATGTCAAAAATAAAGGTTTTTTGACCCAAAAATGGCCGATTTTTGACCAAAATTTCCGCTTTTTCAAGCATTTTAGATAATTTAAACTAGTTGGAAAATCGTTTTATTTGACTAAGAACAATATTAAAACCTTGCGATTCAGTTATTAGACTTTCCGAGACTTGGACAAAAAATTCGCCCCCCCCCGCCCCCGATGATGCGCAAGAACGGACGGAACCCGAACAGAAAAGCTTTTCTCGTTCAATGATATTTTTCCATTTGCAGGTGATGACAGCGCCAAAAGACGCGAACAGCCAGGAGATGCGGGTGACGGTGGCGCGAATCTAGTCGAATTGGTACGAAGCATTTTTCATCTGTATCTCACTCCCCCATTACCACCCCCCACATACAATGCCATGCGCGTATCGGGCTTTAACCAACTTGTAGTTTAGCGCCCCCTCCATCTCATCATCATCATCATGTGTATTTTCTTCTTCTTCGTGTGTGCATTCTGTGATTCCAGGCGGCTGCCCTCCGGTTTTTTTTTTGTGTGCGCGCCCCCAGATATGTAATAGTCGCTTGGCAAACGGGACCGGGTTACGATTTATTAGAATTTCGGCCGTTTTTTGAGAGGTAGCGCCGTTTTGCGCGCCTCGCCCCCTACATCCATAGTCATCATGCTTGATCCGCCTTTTTTGTGTACATAAACAGGTATTGCCCCCAAATAACTAAATACATGCTTTGCAATTTCCGAAAAGCGATGAAATCAAAATGCCATTTTTTCCGAAGAATTGCGGCACCGGAATAGACACCTACCCACAAAAAATGTAAATATTTTTATTCCGGATTGACGACGATCAATTTGCTTGTTTGGCTGCTGAAGTTGGAAAGATTGATGACGTACCGCGCGAACGCGATTCTAAAATTGGTTGATTCGATAATTTTCAGGACTTACAAAATTTAACTGCACGCCGACGGAGCGGCGACTATTTCTGCTCGGCCGTCCCCCCGACTGGAATTTGGGGAGGTTAGCGGCCTCGTGGCGATGAAGCTTACCTGCCGTCGATGACTCGCTACCGTGTGCCTGAAAAGGAGAAATAAACCTGAATAATAAATAGCGACTCGAAAAGAACTGATAGAGCTTTGCTGAAGCCCACCGCGGCCTGCTGCGACTTCGACTCGTACGGTCGATCCTTGATCTTTGGCGGCGCGTCCGACTTTCCGCACATCGAGATCTACAGGACGCCGAGAGCTTCACGCCGAAAGTTGGAGCTCATACCAACGGGAGGCCAAGCGCGCAATGGATTAGGGCCAGCAGGAGCCACTGCATCGTGCAAGGAGCACGGCGTTTTTGGAATATTCAACGCTGCAAAATCTCCAACATTTGTAGTTTTATGTAAATATCTTACTCAGTTTCGGTTAGCTAAAAGAATGACTAAACCACAGATAACCCCCCCAGCCAGCTCGGCCCCCATGTATCCTATTAATGCGCGGAGTATCTCAAAATGTTCGCCGTGGTCTAAAACCTAACGGAAAGTTGTTTAGTTTCGCCGGAAATCGCTGGAAAATTTTTTATATAATTTTTTCGCAAAACTTTATACAAGCCCAAGCTTAAAATTTTCGACGTCGATTTTCGTCTTTTTTTCGTGAATTTTTCGACCCAAATTAAATGTTTTCGTATTCTCCAGGTCCAGAGCTACATTTTGGTACCCTTACCAGCCGTGTACGACAAACTAGAGCCGAGATAAAAATTTCGACTTTGGACCAGGAAAAATTAACACAGGCGACCCAGACTTATAATTCTTATAAAAAAATTATAGCGATTTTTGAGGGCACTAAACAACTTTCCGTTAGGTTTTAGACCACGGCGAACATTTTGAGATACTCCGCGCATTAATAGGATACATGGGGGCCCAGCTGGCTGGGGGGGGTATCTGGAGTCTTACCACAAAATTGCAAAAAACAAAAAAATTCGAAATTCGAAAAATAAGACAAAAGCAGTACGGTACAATACACCGTACGCATTGCGTCAATTGGAGCGTGGAGGAGCGGATCGGTCGGCATTTCCGAATTTTGTCTCGCCTTTTACGCCAACTTTGAATTTCAAAAGGCTTTAAAAAATTTGAAAAGTTCCATATTTTTTGTTTTTTTCAAAATTAAACAACCTAAAAACCAAATTCCTCTTTTTTTCAAAAAACAACTCCATTTTGGTGAGATTCCGTAGTTATCTGATACTGGAATGATCACCGATGCTTTTGCTTCTTTTGTCCTGTTTGTTACAACATTCGCTATCTTGATCTAGCGCTGCCATTAGTCACCAAACGACCCAAAGCGTTTCGTTTTCTATTGGCCTTCACTGCACTTGCTCCCATGCCGTTTTTTGCGTTAGTGATCTTGTAAATTGCGTTTTTCAGGGGATGCGATACGTCGCATTCTGTCTGCTGCTTTTCCTCGGCGCCACTCGAGCCCAGACGGGCTGCGATCTCCCCTCGATACTGAACACCAAGCATGCCCTCATCGTCGGCGCCAATGTACGTTTTTCACAGTTTTTTAGAACCTGAATCTAGGGTTGTATCTTTTCGTTCGAAGATGCCCGCGTCGAGGAGGGCCAATGCCCGAAAACGCTCACCTCGCCACTGTAACGTTTTGAAGTTTGGTTTTAAAACGGTCTTTAGGAATTCGCCGTCGAACTGCACCTTCCAAAACGCGCAATTCCACCTTCTGCGCGATAAGAGTGGCAATAAAAGGCCGAGGATCTTGGCAATCGGCCAGGTTTGAATATTTTTCATTTTTTCTTATTTTCTCCTAGAGCCCGAGCCGCCACAGCTCGAATCTGGAGGTGCAGATGTTCGAAGACGATTTGAGCCGCCCGATCAAGGTTGTTAGGTTTTATTCCTAATTTTTGCTTCAGGTGGAGCCCTTTGCGCTGGCCCATCGTGCCCTCAATCAAACGTTCGAGAACGCCAGGAAGATCAGCCTGTACGCGGAACACGTTCGATGGGTGAGAATCACTATTTTTTTTCCCCGAACGTTATTGGTTTAGAAGTATTCGCTCTTCGACAGCTTCAACAAGCTCCTCTACATTCTCTATGGCAACGGACAGGTCAACTGCTATCTGTATAACGAATACGGAGGAAGGTATTGCAAGTCGAGCTTTGCAAAACTCGTATTCAGAAGCCCGTTTTTGAACATGATGACCTTCCGGGCCGATTCCAAGTTCACGCTCCGTAGCAACTACGTCGAGGATCCGTATGAACAGGCTGTATTTTTTTGGTTTTCGATCTGCAATGGGCCTTTTTTAGGTTTATTACACGGAACAGAACAATGGCAAGATGGAAGTCTACAAGGTGCCGCACAAGGACTTGCTGATCCATTTGGTGCGAGGCAACCCGGGGGAGGTTGTGGCTAGCTTTGAGGAAGAGAGGTATTTGGTTTTTGGCTTCTGCTATGTTTTGTTTTTAGGAACATCGTTGCGATAACGTCCGGCGTCATCTTTTCGCGTCTCGCCACCGGCGAGCAAGTTATTAATCAGATCGGGTAATCCTTGACCATTTTTCTCAGAACCCTTGCTTGCAGCGATCTATCCGACATGGCCAAAAAGTGCGACTGCGAGGGCACCACCTACGCTAGCGCTCAAGCCAGCTTCTTGGTGATTAGGTGCGTATCTAGCTAAATTCTTAGAAAGAGAAATTTCAGGGATGCCGACTATTGCATGACAGTGCACGATGACGGGCCGATGAGGGCCAAGTGCCTGGAGGAGCTGAACCCGGTGATCGAGGAGCGCGAGCCGGACTCGGACTGGACTTGGCTGGTCGTGCTCATTCTTGTGCTCTGCACGATGATTGTGATCTTGATGCTGGTAATAATTACAAGAAGACAAAGTATTTTTCTTCAGCTCTCGATCCTGTTTTGGCTACGCAGTCGGCGCAGCAACCGTCAGTACAAGGCCGAGGTGGAGAAGGTTCGATTCTTGGTGAGTGAATTCCTTTCAACTCTGAAATTGCGCTTTAGAACGACCAAGCTGGCCTCGGCCCCTCGTCCTACTACCCGAACAGCTCCACCGGACGTGTGCTCGACCAGAGCGTCGACCGCTGGCACGTCTATTAAGAGGCCAGCGACGCCGACACGGACGATGTTCAGCATCTCCACCCACCCGTAACGATACTATTCGCCCTTCCTATATTTCTCGGTATCCTCCTATATTCGACCTTTCCTCACTATTCTCGTTCGATTGATTTGCTATTTTGCGCCCAAACACCCACCCACCTTTTATCATTCGTTTCGTATGCTTGTTGCATTTATTGGCCGGTGCTGCTGCTGCTTCCCCCCAATAATATTACCCACCTCCCAACAACAGATTGTTTCGCGCGGCCCGTTTCAAGTTCATAATAAAGGTTGTTCTTTATTGTTTTGTTGTAATTTGTTTTTCTTTTTGCCGCCTTTGATTATACCATTTAGCGATTATTTTGTTGGCGTAGTGTTTTTTGCTTTCGATTCCAAATTGCTACCATTTTTCATACTTTATTCGTGAAGGCAAGTTGAGGCAGGGCAAGGAGGCAATGGTCGAAAGACCCAGGGGTGAGCGGAGCAAATTCATTGAGCTGCTTCCTGATTCGGAAATTCGGCTAAACGTCCGACATTATGGTGCCGCTGTTGTGGTGGGCGGCTCTGAAAGTGGTTTTGAATGGGCGTCTTCAAGGGGTGACCTTGTTTAGGACGGGGGGGGGGTCTAATAGCCCTGGGAGTTACTTTGAATAGATCTAGGAAGGAATCGACAACCGCGGCGGCGACGTGGACAACGCGTTTTCAGGTTTTCAAACGCGTATTTTGGTGATTTTATTGCAAGATTTTAGGCATTCTAGGCGCCTGACGCGGTATTTTTGAGTGACGTGTAACCAGATATTATTTTCGGCGCCCAGACGTTAAAAAACCATGATTACTTCGCACATTTGCTTGGCATCATCATGTTTTTCCAGGTCAGCTAGCAAAGATCCTTTCGGAAGCCCGAATGAAAGATTTTTCGGCTTACCTTGTGAGATCGATGGCGTCAATGCGTGAGATTTCGCTGCTGCGCGTCGACGGCGAGCCGTACGCGCCCGAGGTGGCAAAGTAGGCGGCGTTGTTGTAGCTGGAAAACGGGGAAATTTTGGCGAATTTTAGGGCTTTAAAAGCGGCGTGTAAGCAAGGGAAAAAGCGAAAAACGGTTAGCAAATGCAAAGCGAAGCCGGGGGTTAGCTGGTTTTTCTTTTCTACCTTATACTGTGGTCAAGGGGACCGGGCGAGGGCACCGGAGGCCGGTCTGCCTCGTGCGCCGAGCTGTAATTTATTACTCTTTTTAATTTTGAATTTAACGTTATTTTTAATGGATTTTGGCTCTATGGATTTTCACTGCATTTCTAAACCTGATTTTAAAACATGAAAACGTCTAAACTTCGCGAAAATTAGTTTTTCCACTGTAATTCATTAATTTTAGATTATTTCTAGCAAATGACGTTCCAAAAACCCACTTGGTCGCCCCGAAGGTCGTCGTCTTGGCACCGTAATCGCCGGTTTGGTAGGTGCCGGTGTTTCTGTAATCTTGCTTTTTCACGTACAGTCTGAAAAGGGCCGGGTTAGTTTGGTAGTAGGGGGGAACTGAAAAATGGGTGTTAGTATCATCTCTCTCTCTCTCTCTCTCTCTCTCTCTCTCTCTCTCTCTCTCTCTCTCTCTCTCTCTCTCTCTCTCGCTCTCTCTCTCACCGTTTCTTGGCGCTACTCGCCCCCGGGCGATAGGATTCCATAAGTTGCGCCACCCATTCGGACAACGGCGTCCGCTTCACGACTAGGAGCACGAAGATGACGATCGGGACTGGAAAAAATGGTTGTTTTGCACGAATTCCCCAATAATCTCTGCTAGCATGTCCCCTGGTTTTAGCTTATAGCGCACTTACCTAGCCTTAACGCGCCCATTGTGATCAGCAACCACGGCGGGTAGAAGGAGGACTCGATCTCCGGATCGCAGGTGTTCTGAAGAATGTATTGGTAGAGAGAGAAAGAGAGAGATAGAGAGAGAGATAGAGAGAGAGAAAGAGAAAGTGAGCGAGAGGCTTCTATCGCTAACCTTCGGATTATTCCGTCGTTTGTACGCCTCGTACAAGTCCAAGTCAAACGTGCAGCCGAACCGTTGCTCCATTTGTTGAAGGCCTACAAAATTTAGGTAGTTTTGGGAGGTCAGGTGTGAGCCTCAGCTTCAGCTGAAGCCTGGCTAAGCCCGAGCCCAAGCCTGAGCCACGTCACCCACCGCCCGGGTTGTAGGGGATGGCGTGGTTGAGGAGCGTCTCCGTCTGGTTCGGCAGCGCCGAGGAGTAGGGGTAGAGGAAAAAGGCGAATACGTGGATCTGGATGACGGCGTAGACGATCGTCACCGCCACCATGAACTGAAATAGGCGTTTTGAATGGAAGCAGAAGCCTAAGCCTAAGCCTAAGCCTAAGCCTAAGCCTAAGCCCAAGCCCAAGCCCAAGCCTAAGCCTAAGCCTAAGCCTAAGCATAAACCGAAGCCTAAGCTAGTTATTATCGTGACATACCCAGTAGAGAATTTTCTTCGTTCCCTGCGAGACGTCGGTCCACATGTACAGCAACACGGCGACGGCAATGAACACGTAGCAACCGCACTCGGAGAACAACATCAGCAGGGTGGCGGTTTTGTACTGGAATAGGCAGGCTAGCAGGGATTCTTTGAGGAAGGTGGGAAAAGGGCAGGTTAGCAGAAATTCTCGCGAACTGGACGAGGCCATTTTGCAAAAAACCTACCGTCTCCTGATCCCCCAAGACATCGTGCTCCTTCTGGTGGATCTTGTACTCGCCGATTCGCGCGTTGAAGTTGATCTTGGAGATCGAGATCGTCTTGTCCATGTAGTCGACGAGCTCCTCGTACGTCTCGCGGTTTCGGTAGACGTAGTACGCTGGAAAAGGCCATGTTTGTGCCGCATCTCTCTCGCTCTCTCGCTCGCGCTCTCTCTCTCTCTCTCTCTCTCTCTCTCTCTCTCTTCACGTACCTGTGCAAATTGCCGATACAAAAACGGCCAACGACAGCCCGACGAGCATGAACATTGCCACAGATTCTCGCCAAGTTCGGGCCTAAAACGGAGATATTTTAACTGACTCTATCTCTCTCTGTCTCCTTCTGCTCTGAGTTACCCACCCCTTTAAACGTGACCTTGGGCTGGGTGGGGACCCGCGGCGGTGGCAGCGGGGTCAGCCCCATTGACGACATCTTTTAGGGCGCAATGCCGATACGTGTTTGGCCTGAAATTGGAGGTGTAAAGAGGTGCAAAACGGACTCTGAAGAGATGATGCTCCGGAAATAGATGCGGAAGGCTGGCAGAGACAATTTGCGGAATCTACCAACTGGCAGAGATCATTTGGGAAAAGGCATGCTAGCAGAGATTTTTTAGGAAAGGGCAGGCTAGCAGAGATTCTTTAGGAAAGGGCAGGCTAGCAGAGATTCTTTAGGAAATGGTAGGCTGGCAGAGATTCATGGAGAAAGGCAAGCAAGCAGAGACTTCTTAGGAACGCCAGCCAGCGACAATAACTATTGTGTGGTCAACAAAAGAAGTAGTCACTGCCTAGCACTACTAGGCTAGACTAGGTCGATGCGTGCGGGCGGGAAAGCGAGAGTCGCAAGGCGGTTTTATCAAGCCTAAGTTAAGCAGATGCAAATTAAAGTAGCTTTCGTTAAGACCGGATCACTCATGGCTTTTAAGTGAGAGAGAGAGAGAGAGAGGGCGAGAGAGAGAGCGAGAGTGTGAAAAACAGTAAGTGCCCAAGCCTAGCAGGTAGGGCTGTTTTGGGTGCTGGGGAAAGATCTAGTGGGATCGATGTCGAGGTCATTCGACAAGGACAAGGCCACTCGGAGCATGGGATCCAGTCGGGCCAATGAATTAATTAATGGGCTGGGAATTTCCCAAGGTATCTCTGCTAGCCTGCCCTTTCCTAAAGACGCTGCTAGCCTGCCCTTTCCTAAAGAATCTCTGCTAGCCTGCCCTTTCCTAAAGAATAGCTGCTAGCCTGCCCTTTCCTAAAGAATATCTGATAGCCTGCCCTTTCCTAAAGAATCTCTGCTAGCCTGCCCTTTCCTAAAGAATCTCTGCTAGCCTGCCCTTTCCTAAAGAATCTCTGCTAGCCTGTCCTTTCCTAAAGAAGCATTGCTAGTTTCCCAAGCCTTCAGGAATCGAAAGCGCGCTTCCTAAAGCTCATGCTCACACGCTAAGAAAAACACAATAAAAAGCACCCCCAAAAAACTGGAACCTCTTTTTCAGCACCCAAAAAAGGTGTGAAAAAGTGACAGGGATTTGGTGGGGATTTAGATTTGGAGAGAGAGAGAGAGAGCGAGAGCGAGATAGAGGAGCAACTGTAGCTCCTCAATCTTTTCATCCCCCTATAGGAACGGATCGGATCGATAGTGAGGTGGGGAGGAGGAGGTGATGCTCAGAAAAGGATTGGTGAGGGGAGACGATTTGAATGACGGCCCTGGAGCCATTTTTGGGGCCTGACTCACCCCCCGGAACAGACCTGGAGGCGATTTTGAAATTTAGCGGGTTGGAGGACCGAGTTTTCGAATTTTCAAGCACTATTCAAGGCAAAATCTGCCGGTTTAAGGTGGCTAAGATTTTCGCTGGTTGGCTAGCATGATTCATGTTGTTGAATGCCGACGTTTCAGAATCACGAAAGTTCAATGGTTCAGATCCATTACCATTTGTTTTCTGCGGGGGTTCGTGCTAAATTCGGCTTTTCGACATTATGAAATTTGGACATTAGGAATTTTCGAGATATCACCAAAAAGCCCCTTAGAAGCGGATCGTGGCGGAGTGTTGGAAACGAGTCCAAAATTGAAAAACAACCCAATGGTAAGACAGCGAGAGACAAAGCGAGAGAGAGAGAGAGAAACAGACAGAGAGCGAGAGAAAGAGAGTGTGAGAGATAAGAGATTAAGAGGGTTAGAGAGAGAGCGAGAGAGAGAGAGACAGAACCAGCTGGAGCAAAAAAAAACACAAAAGATTTTAAAATGTGTTACAGTCTTCATAAAAAAAATCATATCTATTCGATATAAATATTCGTTATAATTTCAGGAGTAAAAAAACAGAAAAAAAATATTAGACAGGTCCTGGGGCGATGGTTTGCCGGTATGGGCGTCTATGCATGTGTGGGGGTGTTGGATGGTGCTAGGCGTGCAGAGGGTGGACCAAATGGGTGGGTTGTCTGCCAAGGACATCTCTCAGGGCGAGAGAGCGAGAGAGAGAGGGGGAGCCCCAGCAGGGTACAAAGGAGCCCCAGAGCCGAACAGTGCCCCAGTCAGGCCAGCCCTTGATCCATTTTGGCCTAGCCCCAACCACCCGAAAGGGTACCTTAATAAGGCGCTGACCTAATCCCCCCGGACGGGCCTCCTTTTGTGCCCGAGGGGAAGAAAAGTGACAGTTAAAGGGATGGCGAAGGAGCTGGAGCTAATACCTAACCTTATTAATACCTTTAAAAGGCCTAGCTCTCTCTCGCTCTCCTCTCTCTCTCTCTCTCTCTCTCTCTCTCTCGCTCTCTCTCTCATCCCCGCTCGCTCGCTCCCCCTCCCTCTATATCTCGATAACTCTGTCTCTCTCTATCTCTCGCTATTTCGTTCCCTCTCACTCTCACTCTCTATCTACCTCTGCCGCGGTCTCACTGGGTCTTGCTCTCTCTCGGACTCGGTCTCTCCCTCTCTCGCTCGCTCTCGCTATCGATATATCGCTCTCGCGCACTCGATCTTGCTCTCTCCATGTCGCTCTCACACACTGTCTCCCTCTTTCGTTTTGACGTTCTTACCTGACTGAAGGAGAGCTGAACAGAGACAGATACAGAGAGAGAGAGAGTCAGAGACAGAGGAGAGAGAGCAAGAGAGACAGAGACAGAGAAAGTGAATCAGGGATATTTCAGGCAACGTAAGGCAAGCTAGCGGAGAAACTGGAGGCATAGAAGCCTAGTTTGGCTGAAAAATCGCGCTCACTTGAGCAGACTAGCAGAGAACATTTAGGAAGCGAAATCTCCGCGTGAAATCCAGCAGGGACCCTTTAGGAAGGAGTACAAAACCCCTCAGCCCCTTAAAAAGTTCTTGAAGGAACATGGAGTTGGTGCTCGGGAGTGAAGTGCGTTGGCTGTGTGGATCTGGAAGACCCTGACCCCGCTTCCATTCCCCCCACCCTATGTCATTTCCCTAATTATCGGGCTTTCCACCCGATTGAGATCTATTGCCTTCCCGGCCGGGAAACTCCCACTTCTCGGCCCCTTTATTGATCTAACGATAGCCAATAAATGGGGTGGCTTAGCAGAGATTCTGTAGGAAAGGGCAGGCTAGCAGAGATTCTTTAGGAAAGGGTAGGCTAGCAGAGATTCTTTAGGAAAGGGCAGGCTAGCAGAGATTCTTCAGGAAAGGGTAGGCTAGCAGAGATTCTTTAGGAAAGAGAGGCTAGCAGAGATTCTTTAAGAAAGGGCAGGCTTGCAGAGATCCTTGGAGTTTTTGTATTTTGTAGCTTGAGCTACATACTACAAAATCTCGATCCGTTTCCGTAATTTCCTGGCTGTTTTTATTGTTTTTTTGCCGGAAAGTGACCTCGACCCTTTTTTGCGCCTCTTTCCCCCGACCTTATCAGTTACCGGTATCGGCCCCTACATGCCTCTACCCCCAATTCCTTCTTTCTTTTCTTTTCCTGCTCCTTGCAAATGCGACACCGCCCCCTATTCCGCTACTTGACTCTGCACGCCGCGCTCGCTTTTGCCAGAATCGGAAATACGAGTGACTCGCCGAGAGGTCAGCGATTTCCAGCATTTTCATAGTGCGTTTTTAGCTTTTTTTGTTGATTTTTAAAACATGTTAAAGTTCTTCATTTCAGACTGTTTTTAATTTACCGTTTAAATCGTTTACCGTTTACCGTTTGATTTTAAAACCGTTTAAAACATTCCAACAGTCACTTGACGTTCATTAATGCGTGAATAACATATTCATTAAAACGATTAATTTGTATTTTCGTCATAAAACTACAAAATTAATGCGCAAATCCAGGAAACAACACTCTATTTTGCAAAGCTTTCACAGCAAGAAAACTTGCAGCTGTCAGCAGCGAATTCGGCGCTTCTTATCACATTTTTTTTCTGCATTGCCCCGCTAAATTCTAGCCACCCCATTTCATTTTTTTTGCTTTAGACGGTTTAAATAAATTTTATTGGATTTATGATGTATTTTCTACTACTTTTTGCACTCCAAAAATTGCCGAGAACCAGGGGAGCAGAGATATCCAGATATCCAGGCTGCCGGGCGTGGAGGTCCAGAATAATTGCTCATGGTAGCGGCTCAAATGGCCGCTGCTGCTCTATTTCCGCTTCTCTCTCTTTCTCTCTCTCTCTCGCTCTCTCTCCCCTCGCTCTCTCTCTCTCTCGCTCTCGCCTCGTCTCTTTTTCTTGGTTTTCTTTTCGCCACCCATCGCGCGAGCGCGCACAACCCACACATCAACTGCCCTGCCATTTTTGGGGAGCCCGACCCAGGAATCGAGCGGATTGCCTTGTTTTGACTATTTGCGTCTATTTTAACTTTATTTTCGATTAATTCGACGTTTTCGCCTTACAAATAACGTCTTTGTTAAAAAGAGAAAAACGACAAAACAAACGAAAAACTTACAAAAATGAGATCTGATTATAAAGAGCGTGAGAAGCGTAGGATAGGACCTAATTTTGCAAATATCCATAGTGGAAGTGTTTACGATCCCTAAACGTGAAAACTTTACAAAATTTTATTGAAAAAGGCCAAAAATACCAATTTTTCGATCAAAAATTTCTCGATTTTCTCGTTGTTTTTGATAAAATAATCAGTTTTACGGATTTTCACCTCCTTTCTGTATTTTTCGCCTTTTTCTGTAGCTCTATGCTTTTAAAACGATTAATAGTTCCTATTTTTCAGCAGCCATGCGCGTTCTTGTGTACGGCGGGCGCGGCGCCCTCGGCGGCTCCATCGTCGACCACTTCAAGGCCAAAAACGCGGTGCGTTTTGAGATTTTTATGCCTTTTTGGTTACCTGGTCACTTCTAGAGATTGCTTATTCAGTTTTTTTACTAAAGTTCGATTTTAGACGGTCGTCAACGTCGATCTACACGCCAACGAGAAGGCCGACGAGAACATTGCGCTGGATTTGAGCCAGGATTGGACGGCGCAAGAGGCCGCTGTGCTTGCAAAGTATGCGAGACTTTTCTAGGAGTTTTTTAGGGCCTTTAAATCCTTTTTAAAACTATTAAAATGGTTTCCAGACTCGACGGCCACTTTGACGGCGTCTTCTGCGTGGCCGGCGGCTGGGCTGGTGGAAATGCGGCGGCTGACGATATGGTGCGTTTTTTAAATGATATTCTACTTCTCAATTTGTAGTTTGTAGTTTTTCATTTTGTTTTTTGCTTAAAATCGTTCAAAATCCAGGTTTCCAGGTGAAAAACGCCGATCTGATGTGGAAACAAAGTGTGTGGAGCAGCGCGATCGCGGCCAGGTAGTTTTTTGTGTTTTAGGTTTCCTTTTCAAATTTCCGAGTACTCTTTTTACTTTTTAGAATCGCTGCCAAGCACCTGAAGGAGGGCGGACTTCTGCAGTTGACCGGGGCCGCGCCAGCGCTCGGCGGAACCCCAGGAATGATGGGCTACGGGATGGCGAAGGCCGCCGTGCAGCAGTTGACAAAGGTGAGGTTTTTACTTGTTTTTAGGAGTGCAAAAACAGCGGTTTCTTTGATGCATGGGGAAAACGGTTCAATACATAGGTTTTTCGAAAAAAATGAATTTTGAGGCATTTTCCAACAAATATTTTTCTGCTGTTCTCCGCCATAGATTTTCTCGTCTACTCGGCGTTAGCTTCTTTAGGTTTTTACCTGGGCGGCCGCGATCCTGGATTTGTCAGCTCCGTCCGATTTTAAGAAACAGGAATTCAGGAAAAATCAACGGAATTCAATTCTGACCAATGCCGCTTTTGCCAAATTCTCGGTGTTCAGAACTTGGAGCCCCTAGCGGATGCGCCATACGTAGAGCGAATTTCCTGTTGACTTTAAAAACTCCCTCAAGTAGCGTGTTATTTGTCTAGAACAACCTAAAATTAATATTTTATTTGTGTTCTAGAGCTTGGCCGAAGACGGAAGTGGTCTCCCGAAAGGCGCCTCGGTCGTCGCGCTCCTCCCCGTCACCCTCGACACCCCGATGAACCGGAAATGGATGCCCAAGGCCGATTTTGGAACGTAAGCGGCTATTTTTTTCTTGAAAGATCTCTGCTAGTTTGCCATTGGCCTACTAACATAATTTGGCCGTTCCAGGTGGACCCCGCTCGCCTGGATCGCGGAACACCTCGAGAAATGGACGACCGACGCGGCGAGTCGCCCTTCAAACGGTGCCCTGCTGAAGATTGTCACCGAGGGCGGGAAGACGACCACCACCGAGCACTAGGATACCAACAAGCAATTTCAAACTGTACGCTATCAAATCTGTAATTTGTATTTTCCGCACTTTTTTTTGAGCTTGATTGTCTGATTTTTTTAAAACTCGAATGAGTAGGTGTGATTTAATAAATGTACGATCGGCTTGGGACATCGAAAAAAGCTCGGCCACGCGGAGGGGAGTTTGAAGATAGGAAATAGGATTTATTGTATAAAAGTAAAACGGATTTATTTGCGTAAAAAATAGACTTTGAATTGGAAAACGAAATTTGAGATTCTTTTAGATTTTTATGGTTTAGAAAATAAACAAGCTACGATAGAGCTCGAAAATGGACTTTTCGAAACTCGATCTATTCGCTTTTTTTAGAGTAATTTGCAGTTTTGTACATATAATTTAGCTGTAAAAGCACATTTTAACTACGCATTCGTCATATTTTGAAAGTCTGATCGATGCGCCGCTTTTCCTTATCGACGTTTCTCACAGCGGCTTATCGTCTGCCGAGCTGGGAGACTATGTATTTTTTTTGAGGGTGGTGGTGTCGCGTGTTCTTGCCCTTTTTGAAGATTGATTATGGCGGCTACCGGCCGCGATTTGTTTTCTTCGGAACGGCTTCTGTATTCCAAAAACCAAACTCGTTTTAGCTTTAATTAATGCATAAATGGCTTTAAAAATCGATCCCAAACCCTGTCGAAATATTTCGGCTTTTCAAAGCTTGGATAATTGGTTAGGCTCCGGTTTCCCGATTTCGCAACCCGGGTTCGAGTCCCGCCGGGTGCACAAATCTTTGCTTGTTTGCCAGGTCATTGTGTTTGATTATTTCTTGCCTAGAATTCGCCTGGTTTTTAATTTTATGTAATTCCTCTAGCATGGCGCCGCTACACGACACTACGCCCAGCTTGCCGGGGGCGCTGTTTAGTAAGTTTTTCGAGTCTTTGGCTTTTTTTAAACAGTTAAACCCATTTTTGTAGAAAACGGTAGAAAACGGCTGAAACTAAAAAGGATCCGCTTTACAGTAGCCAGCGTGGCGCTGCTCCTCTACGGAATTCCCGAGAAAACGATCACAAAGCATGTGGATTTGAGTACGCTTGGAAATACGGAAGATGGAAGGCCGTATATTTATCGAAAGGTATTTGAGATTAAGCTGAGCTAAGCAAAGCCTAAGCCTAAGCCTAAGCATATGCCTAAGCCTAAGCCTAAGCCTAAGCCTAAGCCTCATCTAAGCCTAAGCCTAAGCCTAAGCCTAAGCCTAAGCCTAAGCCTAAGCCTAAGCCTAAGCCTAGGCCCAAGTCTACTTTTCTAGCCGGGACACCAGCACGAGTACAGTACCTACGAGCTGTGCAAGGATGACGGCCGGTTGGAGGTTTTCAAAGCCGATGAATGTGGGCAGCAGCTAGCATTAGCTAGATTCAAGAATGCCGTCAATTCGACTGGGTGGATTATGGATTTCTTTTGGCTTTCCGATTCCTTTAAAACGCTCCAAAAATTTTTTGGCTTTTTTCCAAGAGTGAAAAATAGATTTTTGGCTTCCAAGCCCCTTTAAATGTAAGTTATCGATTTTTTTCAGCTGGGCCTTTTTGGAAATCGAGACGAATGGCGAGCAAACACCATTTGAGCAAGCATATGCAGCCGGCTATCTGGAGGGTGGGTTTTAAAGGGAATGTGAAGCGCGAGAATCGAGCCTTCCTGTAGACTAGGTCTGGACAGATATGCAATGGTCCAAAGACGCGGAAATTTCTGCTTTTACACTCCTTATATCGGTCATTTGTCGAGACCTAGTCGATGGAAAGGGTCGATTCTCGCGCTTTCTCAGCCCTTTAAAAACATCATGATACCTGGGTCCCGATTTTAAAGGATCTTTGAAGCCTGAAAAACGTATATATTCAGGCACACTCACCCGAAAACTGATTGAGCACCAGCTCCATAACGTGCTCTCCAATTTCTGCACCGGCAAGGAGGAGTACTGCGAGAAGCTGAGGGTGGGTTACGGTATTTTAGCGATAAAAAATTAATTTTAAAGAGTAAAATGCATTTAGTTAATCGAGAAGCTTTTCAGGAGTTCGTCAAGGAAAACCAGGCCTGGACCCAGGAATTTTTGACGAAAACGCCGACCGAGGACCCGTATTATTCAGCTGTAAGTTATAAGGTTTTTCTGGCCCTTTCCTAAAGAATCTCTGCTAGCCTACTGATTTTCCAGATCCACCGTACCTACTACCAGCTTCAAGGCCTCATCGACGCCTACGAGAGGCGCCGACCTACCGTCCACGCCTCTTTCGAGTTCCATCAAATTGTGTGAGTTTTCTTGAGGAAGGCACGCTAGCAGAGATTCTTTCGGAAAGGGCAAGCTAGCATAAATTTATTCGGCAACTAAACTACAGTGTTTCTTAGGTTCCTCAACTGGCTGGGGGAGTTCTACGACCTAGAGGTGAAGTTCAACAACACCAGGGCGGGGGTGGACATTCCGGAAAAGTGCTCGGCATTGGTGAAGGTCAGTGAAAGGGACAGCGAGGGAGAGAGAGAGAGAGAGAGAGAGATCTTTCAGCTAGCCCCCGACAACAAGGACCTCTTCTTTGCTCACGTCACCATGTTCGCCTACAACCAAATGCTGCGCGTCGTCAAGCTGTACAAGTTTGGCTATGGTAAGGAACTCTAACTCTCTCTCGCTCTCTCTCTCTCTCTCTCTCCCTCTCTCTACTCTTTTTTTAGATCAAGCCGCTTACCCGGGCCACACCATTTCTTTCACCGGATATCCCGGAGTGATCGCTTCGCAAGACGATTTCCATTTGACATCATCCAAAATTGTAAGTTTTCATGGATTCTGAAGGAGGGCAGGCTAGCAAAGTTTCTTTAGGAAAGGGTAAACTAGCAGAGACTATTTAAGAATTTTTCGTTATAGGCAGTAATGGAGACAACCATTGGCGTCTACGACCAGCGAAAAATGGAGCACACCAAGGCCGTCGGGCAGGTTGGCGGCCTTTTAAAGGGACTGGGAATTCTTCTATCTATGGATTTTGCCCTTCGAATCCCTTTAAAAGAAATTAGCATATTTTTCCAGTTCCCCTGCTGGCTACGCTCGATGACGGCGAGTCTGCTGGCCGACTCGGCGAACGGCTGGGTGGAGATCTTTATGCGGCATCATATGGGTAGGCATTGTTACATTTCCTAAAGAATCTCGGCTAGCTGCCCTTTTCCAAAGAATTGCTGCAAGCCTGCCCAATTTCCAGGCACCTACAACAACCAGTGGATGATCGTCGACTACAAGCTGTTCGAGCCCGGACATCCACTGAAGGAAAATACCTTTTGGGTGTTGGAAACCATGCCGTGAGTTTCCGCAAAGGTTCTCTGCTAGCTTTCCTCCAACTTTGGTTCCCTAAGAATCTATGCTAGCATGCCCCTTCCTAAAGAATCTCTGCTAGCCTGCCCATTCCTAAAGAATCTCTGTCAGCCCCCGTCCTTTCAGCGGTTTCCACGTTGCTCGCGACAAGTCCGCCGAGCTCCAATCGACCACCTACCATCCCTCCTATAATCTGCCCCACGAGAAGGAGATTGTCGAATATTCTGCTCTAGAAAAATTTGTAGGTTTTCTTTAATTTCCGATTCCTAAATTCTCTCTGCCAGCCTGCCTGCCATCCAGCAACTTTCTAAAGAATCTCTGCTAGTCTACCATTTTTAGGCTCGCGCTTTCGATAAAACGAGGTACCAGGAAATTGGAGGTGACTACTATCGGTCTGGAAAATCGCCGAGGGCCAAGATTTTTGCTCGGGACCATCACAAAGCCACCGACTTTGAGAGCTTCACAAAGTTGTTGAGGTTAGTAGGCAAGAGAGAGATAGAGCGAGAGCGAGAGAGAGAGAGAGAGAGAGAGAGCAAGCGAGAGAAACCTTTCAGGTCCATCAACTACAAAAACGACGAACTCTCGAGGTGCAACTGCGATCCACCATATAGCGGTGAAGCGGCGATTGCCGCGAGGGGAGGTTGGCCAATTTTGGGATTACCGTAATGGTGCAGCTTTCAGACCTCAACGACCCGAATGGGAGGTACGAATTCGGGGCGATCGGACATCGCAACCATGGGGCCATCGATTTTAAGGTAAGTGGAAGCGGTTCCTAAATGGTGTTTGCTAGTCTGCCTTCAGTGCCAAAATGGAATTTGACAAAAATTTAAATGGTTTCGGAGCTAAAGACTCTCTGCTAGCTTCCCGGGCCCCAGCCTGCCTGGATGACTCGGAAAATCGATAGTCTCTGCTAGCCTGCCCTTTTAGGGGATCAACTACGAGAGGGCGAAGAAGTTCTCGTTCCGGGCCTGGGGAGCCCCAGCCTGGGATAAGGAGAATGAGGTGCCGGTGTTCGAGTGGAGCGACTTCGAGCGGCGCTCGCCAATTGTGGGTTTTTAAGAGAGAGAGAGAGAGCGAGAGAGTGAGCTGGAAAGGCGAGAGAAAGCGCAAGAAAGCGAGAGAGAGAAAGAGAGACAATTAGCTAGAGAAAACGATAGAGAGCGAGAGAAAGCTTGGGATCTAGAGAGCGAGAGCAATAGAACGAGCGCGAGCGGCAGAAGGCGAGAGTGAGCTGGAAAATCGAGAGAAAGTGAAAGAAGAGAGAGGGAAAGAGAGAGAGAGACATAACGAGAGAGATAGAGGGACAGACCAACATTTTCCAGCGCGTCCCGCATCGTGGCCACCCCGACCGCTTCGATTTTGAGCACCTGGAGGTCGAATGGGAAGCGAATCTCGCATAGATTTTTGTGTTTTTCCAATTGTATAAAGAAGCTGTCAAGGCAATGCAATAAATCTGTAAATTCTTTATTGCACTGCCTATCTGGGCGCTTAAGATTCGGCGCTCTACTTCCCCATCGGCGGCATGGGAATCTCGGGTACGAAGGCCTGAGGTGGTGGGGTGAAGCCGCCGCTGCTGGCCGGAGCTCTTGTCTGAAAAACTTTGCTAGCTTTCACTGACTCTTTAGACCCGATTTTCCCCGTTGTTTCTGACTTCTCAATCCCTTTAAAAAAACTCACAGCCAGCACAGGGGTCGGGAAAGGTGGTGGTGGTGGGGGCGGAGGTCTTCGAGCAACCGTCGGGGGAGGTGGGGCAGGAGCCGGAGAAGGCGGAGGTGGTGCTGGTAGAGGAGCAGGGGGTGGAGGAGGAGGAGGTGGAGGAGCTAGAATTTTGTGAAAGAAACGTGACAGCAGGCTTCCATTATACTTACCTGCCGGAATTCCGGGAGGTCCGCGGCGGGACGCTCCGATTGACGGGGAGGGCTGGAATAAGGGTTTTAAGCGGAAAGAAATTTCTGGAGACTTTTTAAAACCCCCTGCTAACCTAATTTAGCCTAGCCTAGCCATTTAGCACCCCCAAAAAGTCTCTGCAGCTTACCCGGCAGAGGATTACGCTGTTAGCTTGCCCGGGGGCACCAGAAATCTTAAAGAATCACTGCTAGCTTGCCCGTGGCGACAACACCTAAAGAATCACGCCTATCTCGCCCCAGGGCACTGGTCCCTAAGAATAGCTGCTAGCTTGCCCGGGGCAACATTTGCTAAATTCACGCTGTTAGCGTGTCCTGGACAGCCCTTTTCTAAAGAATCTCTGCTAGTCTGCCCTTTTCTAAAGAATCTCTGCTAGCCTGCCCTTTCCTAAAGAATCTCTGCTGGCCTGCCCTTTCCTAAAGAATCTCTGCTAGCTGGCCTACCTGAGGGCGCTCCTGAACCGGTTGCTGCTGATTTGGCGTCTCCCAGCGCTGGGTATTTGGCTGTAAAGCGTACATTTTCGGAAAATGCGCCAATTTGTGCCTGCTCATTCCAATTATTCTGGTTTCCGCCTTGATTCCTCTGATTTCCTTGATTCCAGTTGTTGTTATTGCCATTGTCGTTGTCCCAATTTTGCTGCTGGCCACCTAAAGGTGTTGGGAATCGCGCGTTTCCACAAACAATCTCTGCTAGCCTGCTCTTTCCTAAAGAATCACTGCTAGCCTGCCCTTTCCTAAAGAATCTCTGCTAGCCTGCCCTTTCCTAAAGTATCTCTGCTAGCCTGCCCTTTCCTAAAGAATCTTTGCTAGCCTGCCCTTTCCTAAAGAATCTTTGCTAGCCTGCCCTTTCCTAAAGAATCTCTGCTAGCCTGCCCTTTCCTAAAGAATCTCTGCTAGCCTGCCCTTTCCTAAAGAATCTCTGCTAGCCTGCCCGCCGCTTCGCTTCCCAAAAAATCGCCGCTAGCCTGCCCCCACCTCCTCCACCAAACGGCCTCTTGTCCTGGAAATTGTCCTGATCTCCGCCCATTCCGTCGAAGTTCATCCCGTTCATAGGACCGCCGCGTCCACGCCACCCTGGAGGAGGTGGGCCCCAGGGTCTAAAAATTTAAATAAGCCTTGGAACAGAATCAGTATACTGTATTTCTGCTTTCTAGTTCATTTCATTGCTATTTCTTCAAATTACCGTACCCCCAAGGCCCGTGGTGGTGATGGTGGCGCCTCCAGGGCGGCCGCGGCCCGCCCCGCCACCAAGGAGGTGGCGCGCCCCTGGAAAGGTTTACTTAATTTTTAGCAATGGAAAAGCTAGCATTTTTCGCCCAAACTTAAGCCTGCGTATAAGCCTCCGGTAAGCCAAGCCTAAGACAAAACCTAAGCCTGCGCCTAAGCCTAAGCCAAGCCTAAGCCAAGCCTAAGTTTAAGCCTAAGCGTAAGCGTAAGCCGAAGCCTAAGCCTAAAACAAGGCTAAGCTAGGCCTAGGCCTGAAATGAAGCAATCTGCAGCCCAAGCATTTTTGTACCAAAATTCTTGTCGATACGGTGGGGGCAGATCGGGCGGGAACCTGACAAAAAGCCGATCTTTTCACTTTTTAGGACATCTTTCTTTGAAAAAGTCACTTTTGTAGCCTTTAAATAGAAAATTCTTTTTTTTATTCAGCTTACCATTGCGCCAGCGTCGCAACGCAGCAGAATAGCAGAATACCCAGTAGTTTCTGCATCGAGGAAACGCTAAAAACGGGACGAAGAAAAATTTATTCAGAAGAACATTAAATTTAGAAAGTCTCAAAGGCGGGAAAATCGTAGGAAAATCTGAGAAAAGACTTTAGACTTGTAAATTGAGTCCATTCTTTCTTGCAAGGCCCAAGCCTAAGCCTAAGCCTCAGCCAAAGACTAAGCCTAAGCCGGAGCCTAAGCCCAAGTAAGCCTAAGCATAAGCTTAAGTGTAAATGAATTATGCCTAAGCCTAAGTTAAACCTAAGCCTAAGGGCCAAGCCTATACCTCTCCTGAGACCGAAAAGTTATGTCATCAAAGAAAACTCGAAAAAAACAATGAAATCGAATGGAAAGCTAGAAGATTAAGTCGGGTCTCAACTTTGGCACACCGGGTTCAACTTGAACATTTGTCGATCGCCAACTTTTGGAAAAGAAATGAGGATGTGACGGCGCGCGCGTATGGGATATGGATGGATTGGCGAGCGCGGGAAGAAAACTCGCCGAGCGCGGAGGACACTCCCCTGGAACAGACAAAGTGACAAACAGGGTGATAGACAGACAAACAAGAACAAAAGGGAAACGTTCTGAAAAAATGGAGCAAAACTGCAAAATTCGGATTTCTGAGATTTTTACGCGTTAGAAAAGCTCCACCCGTCCGAGATCACGCTCAAATGTAATATTTTTGAGCTTAGAGAGAGAGAGAGAGAGAGAGAGAGAGAGAGAGAGAGCGAGCGAGAGCGAGCGAGAGAGAACTAGAGAGAAAGAGAGCGGGCGAGAGAGAGAGGGAGATAGATAGCGCGAGGGAGGAAGAGAGGGAGAGACAGCGCGAGAGAGAGGGAAAAGAGAGAGAAAGAGACAGAGAGAGAACGAGACAGAAAGAAAGCTGGAGAGAGATAGAGAGACGTGCGAGAGAGAGAGCGAGCGAGAGATCGAACGAGAGCGAGAGAGAACTAGAGAGAAAAGAGAGCCAGAGAGAGCGAGAGAGAGCGAGCCAGGGAAAGAGAGAGAGAGAGAGCGAGAGAGAGAGAGAGAGAGCGAGAGAGAGAGAGAGCTATTTGGGTCTATAAGTGCTGTCAAATGGCCCCCATTGACCGCCAAAGAATTACCGCGATTTGAGCAGATGCCAGGTCACAGCAAAGATCCTGCCCTGCCCCACAACAACCCTTTTTTACCTAAGTTTGCTCCCGATCAAGCTCCACCTCACTTCAGAATGGCGGCACCGGCTAGCTTCGATTTTCTGAGGCTCAACGACGCTCAGAGGACGGCCGTCTACCATCAACTTGGCTTTCGGGAAAAATTCGAGCTGCGGCGTGCTGCTAAGGTATATCTTTCGCATGGGTTGGCACGTATTCAAGACGGTTCTGGTCTGTTAGCGGGGGGACCCAAACATCTATACAGAATATCATCAACAGGCAGGTAAGGTGCAAAAAAAACTTTCCCCCTTTGTTAGACCCCCCCCCCCCGCTAACAGTCCAGAACCTTCGAGACAATAAGTATTCCCCCAGCCCCACGTTCCAGGTTTTCATGAGAAAGCCGGCCCATCATTTCCTGTTCGCAGCTCGGTTTCGACACGTTCGTATCGTCTGTCCTTGCCGTGTATGTTGTTTCGTTTGGCATTCTAAATTCCAGAGATAGCGCGAGGGAGATAAAGAGAGAGAGAGAGAGAGAGAGAGAGAGAGAGAGAGAGAGAAAGAGAGAGAGAGAGAAAGAGAAAGATAGAGAGCGAGAGAGGATGAGAGCGTGAGAGAGAGAGGGAGAGAGAGAGTGAATGCCAGGATCCGATCAAAATCCTCGAAATAAAAGCAAATGCTCAATGAGCTCAATGAACAAACGCCTCTGTCGGCATTTTCCGCGTCGACAATCTGATATTGTGTCGATTTTACTTATTCCCGATTTTAGACTGGCGAAGCTGTCAGCACCACAGTCAAAATAGCTGATTTGGACGCTTTCCCAAATTCGCTGGTGCTCTTCCTCGGTTACCCGGGGCAGCCTGTGAAAATGGAATACACTGACCAGTAAGTCGCGCGGGTTACGCTTAGGCAGGCCTCGGCCTAGGCTTGGGTTTCGGCTTAGGTTTCGATTATTTTATACATAAATAATTACTATCAAGCACACTCCCCTGGGACGCATCCAATCGCGAGTACACCGCCACCAAAATGCTCGAGTCAACAATCGCCCCTCACGACTTTGTGAATCGTCTCACCGCTTCGATGCCCTTGCACGAAGTCAATTTCTCGTATAACCGATGCCAGTTTGTGAGTTGACGATGGCTATTTGCCAACAAAGAGCGAATTTCGTCGGCTTAGGCCTAGGCTTGGGCTAAGCTTTATGCTTACAAGAGAAGTGCACGACCGGCCCACGAGAAATCGACACGAGACATAGTGGATCTGATAGAATCGGACACGGGGATTCCGAATCTGTAATCAGAATTTGCTAAATAAAACGGAGAAAAAAGTTATGAAGCTTCAAAGTTGGTAAATTCGCCCAAAATCGGACTTTTATGGGCCTGTAAAGGCCCAGGGAATGGAAATTTGCCACAACCCATTAGTGCATCTTGTTCAGCAAAAAAAGCTCTTTCGAATGAGCTATCTTACTTCAAGTTTACGATGATTTCGCGAAAATCTCTTCTATGAACTTGACAGGCCATACCCTTGCCCGTGAATCCAAAAAAAAACTTTTTTCAGTGAATTGTTTGCAAATGCTACGTCCTACAGCTCATTCGAAAGCGCTTTTTTTGCTGAACAAGATGCACTAATTCTTTTCTCCTCAATTCCGTTCCCCCGGTTTTTACGGGCCCTTAAAGGTACCGTTTTTGGCGATTTGGCCAACTTTGATGCTTCATAACTTTTTTCTCCGTTTTATTTAGCAAATTCTGATTACAGAATTTGCTAAATACTGTAATACAGATTCGGAATCCCCGTGTCCGATTCTATCAGATCCACTATGTCTCGTGTCGATTTCTCGTGGGCCGGTCGTGCACTTCCCTTGTATTAAGGCTTAGGCTTCGGCCGAATCAATGTATGTATATCGGTAAAAACTAACTGCATCGGTTTCCGGTTGCTGGGGGCTGCAGTCGCTACAGCTACGATCTTTTCCGCGGACCGATCAAAGCCATTCATCAATTGGATGCCGAAAATTTCCTTCCGGCGCTTAGGGAGGAGCGTCAGGCCCCCGCCAGGCAAAATACGGCGGTAAGCGTTGTACCGGGGGGCTTTTCATTTTTTGTCGTGCCACCCAGGTGGAGCTCCAGTTTCCGACTGAATATGAGGACGCGGTGCCCATCGAACTTTCTACGTACAAGCAGATTTACGAGCAGGTAGCAGGCCAATTACGGTAACGGGGCCGTGGCATTTTTTAGATTGCGCATATGGAGAGAATATACGTGACCGCTGGCTTCGTAGACCCCGAGAGGTGGCCAGGGGTTATGAGCATTCTGGCCGTGTTTCTGGATGCAGCTCTTGTGAAGGTGGGTGAAAGCCAACAAAGGACTCGGCTTGAAAAAAGCAAAAATGCTTATACCCGTTGATGGTGCTTTTCAAATAGGCGGGGGGGGGGAGATTTCGGCGGGGGGAACCAACTTTTTTTGTCGGCCCTGGTGGGGATAGTAGTCAAATATAAAGTGTTTTCACATTATTTTTAGCAAAATTTAAGCCTATTTGAATCGGAAACTTTTTAAAAAGTTAGAAAAACGCTTCAAAAGTCGAAAATTTGGTCATTTTTGGGCCGGAAAAATTGATTTTTCGACCTAAAATTAGATTTTTTAATTAATTTTTGTACAGTTTTTATGTTTAGGAATAGCTATAAACAATTTAGAAACACTTCCACTATTTATATAAAAATATAGGCTTGGGCGGAAAAAAGTTCGGTCCCCCCCGCCTATTTGAAAAGCACCCCGTTGATTTGCGATCAAAATGTCGAAACTTCATGATGCCGAAAATTCAGGATCTCGAAATTTCTTCATGTCGATATTTCAGAATGCCGAATTTTTTAACCTAGAATTTGGGGGTTTTTCCGGGAAAATTAGCCGATGTAAATTTCGATATTCTGAATTCCGACATTCCGAAATTTCGAATCTAATAAAAAATCCCGAAACATGAAAAAATTTAGTTCCGCCCGATAAACAACGCGGCTCGCCTCACCTCGCACCATTTCAACTTTCTATTGTACGTCGATGAGCAGGTGCGGAACGCAAGAATTTTCGGTTGTGGTTCGTCAGCCGGGCGGGGGGACATTGTCAATGTGAGAAAAATGAAAACGAAAGAATGTCAAAAAATATCGAAAATCCCGAAAGGCTACGGTTTACTTCACCCCCCAGCCGGAATGTTTTGGCTATAACTTTTTTATTTTACATTATTGTAGGCTCAAATTAAAACTCTTAGTATATTTTTCGACGCTCTATCGAATGGCGTTGCAAAAATCCCGACAAAATAAGCGAAAATACCGAAAACTTTGATACCCTTCGGGTGTCGGGGGCGGGGGAGGGGGAAAGGAAACTCTTGCCTCCCGAAAAATCGCTTACCAACCACATTTTCAGGGCTATTTTTGCTATAACTTTCTCAAATTATTGTGTTTTGATCTGGAATTAAAAGTTCCGGTATATTTTTTAAGCTCCACCGGATCGCCATCATGAAGCTCCAAAAAATCATGAAACAATGAAAACCTAGACATTAAACTCCCCCGCCCCCCGCTAACAAACCAGAACCGCAGAACAGTTGGTGATCAAAACATTCAGCTCGACCACCAGCTCCCAGGGCCGCTGCAAGAATTTATAACAACGCACCTGGGGCCTCACGACCGGGTGGAGATCGACCGGGAGAGCAGCGTAAGTGAAAACCCAGGTCTTCTATTCTATGTACAAAAGTTGTTACTGACCTTGTATAGGGTGTCCCAATGAAAAAACACCCCTCTAACTCGACGCAGAATTATCGGATCGGGATCAGAGTTACGCCATTCGAAAGCCCCTTGAAACGGCGAGTTTGCAGCAACCGTCAAAACCATGTTTTTGTTTAAACCTGCCATTGACAACGCACTTAAACACGTTAAGGAACGGCCTTGCCTCTAATTAACGGCTACTTCCGGTCATTTTGCTTCGGGAAAAATTGATGGGGTTTAGTTACAAACATAATCTTGGTGATCGTTGCAAAATCAAGGGTTTTCGAATGGTGTAACCATCGTTCCGAGCCGATAATTCTACATCGAGTTACAGGGGTTGTTTTTTTTATTGTGACACCCTGTACAGCAGGTTTCTATATCCAGATTACGATTTCTAGGTCACACAGGGGAGCTATACTGGAGGACGTACCCGGTTGGACCAATGGCGCCTGGTGCTTGTGGAAAACCGCGCACGCTGGACCGCGGAGATGCGGCGAGACAGATTTTGGCCAACCGGAGACGAGCGTGAATGGATCAGGGAATGGTCAGCGCACGGACGCTGAAAATCAACCGATTCTTTTTCACGACTGTCATAAATCATGCACGTCGTTTCTCCTTGTTGTCACAAAAAGCGTGATCTTCACTCATCACAATCCAACATCCCTAAAATTTATTCATTTTTGTAAATCAGGCTGATGATACATGGTTGGTTGGTTCTTTCGCATTATCGGGGGGGGACTTTTTTGCATAAGTCTAGAAATACCTAGTAACTTAATAGAAAATGTTTAATGTTTTCAATAAAGTCCTTCAACTAGAAAAACTATCTAAACTTATAAAAAAGACGAAATCGTGGTCAAAAATCGGTTAGAAACACTTCAGCTATTTATATTTGCAAAATTTGATCCTGAGAACCCCCCGATAATGCGAAAAAACCCGATGGTTCCTCAGCCGCTGCAAGCGCATGAAAAATGTCTAAATTACGCGTAGAATGAATCAAAAATAACCTCTTTGCTTTTGAAAGGCAAGCCGACAAACTAACACGATTCCGAAACAAACATTTATCAAGCCAGAAATAGAAACGTGTCAAACATTAAATTCCTTCAAAAGAGTTTCTCGAATCGAAATTCATCGTTGGCAGTAGAACGAAGGAAGGCCGTTGAAGCTCCAGGTGCTTTCAGGATCAGTTTCGAACGCCATAGCTGCCGGTATTCGCGTTCTGGCACAATTAATACTTGTAGGAGGGCACCGTCGCTACGCCTGAAGGCCATTGTCCAAGCCAGCCGTCCTGTGAATTTCCTAAACTTCAGTGTTTCCGCGAAGTGTTGCAGCCTGCGAAGCTGTTCGGCACTCATTCTTCGGATTTGTGCGAAGAATACGTCGATTTGCCGATGACCACCCATCCACTCCTGCATGTATTTAAGAAAGACCTCGAGCACCGCATAGTCTCGACTGAAATACGTTTCAAATGCAATCCGGCGGCTCTGCCATGCCAGCAGACAACGCACGGTTCTTGGTTGCACGTGCTTGATGAAAATCGAGCCCGGCACGGCGCCGACGAGCTGCTCTACCTCGACGAACGTGCTCAGCCAAATGTTGGTTGGCTTCAGAGCACCGAACATCCGGGCAAATAAATCCGCATCCATTTCGTGAAAGTCGGCGGTGTAGATAAAGTGGTCGCACGTGAAACGGGGCTCGTAGGGGAGAACAGCAGAATCGCCGTTGAGCAGCAGCTGTGAAAGGTCCGAGCTTTGCCGAAAAGCAAAGAACTGCACGTGACGACCATCAAAGTCTGAGCTAGTTGCCGACTTGGTTTGATGACTCGGGAGGCGGTCAACGCAATGATTATACACCTGCGACTCCAGAGCACTGAGATCGCCTTCGCAGCGCAAGTACTCGATCGTGTAGCGATGACAGGCAGCTTTCAGACGTCCGTTCATCGCCTCCATCGCCAAAATCGTCTTGAATTCCACAGGTTCCACGATCATCTCCAGCAATTCGAGCGGCAAATCGACGAGAAGGCGGGCATCTGGAAGGATGCCGGTTCGCTTGTCGAGTTGCTTGCTGACGAGCAGCAAAACGTTGTCGTCGGCGTCGTAGTCGAGGCACCATTTATCCGGATTGATTTGTACTCCCTGCCGAGCATCGTCGTCGTTGCCCAGCTTGGCGAGCTTGCCTTGCGGTTCCATTCGCACTGAAAGACAAATATATAGTTTGAAAAATGTATCAAAAAAGAGACCCAGAGAAGATACTAAAAAGAACGAAATTTGCGTTTGATATTTTCCGATATTATGCCCGATTTTCTTCGGATCCATCACAAGGACCGTACTTTATACAGTAGGTATCCATTAGTGTTTTTATTTTTATTTTTTACTCTGATAAGCACGGGATGGCGTGTCAGAATCGGAGTGATCGCGCGAGCAGATGTGCGAGTTGCCCGAGGGCATGTCACATCAGCGTGTTTGAACCCGTTCGCAGCTGGGGTGAGGATACGATCCTTGTCTCTACATTATTGATTGTTGATTGTTGACCTTTTTGAAAAGGTTTTTCTTTATTTTTATGTCAAACTTACAACTTTGTTTTACTTGAATTCTTAGCGCCAGCCTGTAAGATATCTGGGTTCTTTCGCATTATAAGGGGGGTGGGAGGGGCCAATTTTTTCTTAGAATCTAATTTTTCAAATATAAATGGCCAAAGTCTTTCTAAACGGTTTTTACATTCCTAGACGTGAAATTTACAAAATTTCTTAAAAAAAGGGTAAAAAAACTGCAATTTTCCGACCAAAATGGCCGATTTTTGCACAAAATGTCGACTTTTCCGAACTTTCTAGTTACCGGCTTACTATCCTTCCTCCTATATTACTGATTTCAACAGTTACTTTTCAAACTGTTTTCTTTTAATCTTATGAAAGTTTTATTCTATTACCTTTTTAGCACCAGCCTTCCGTGCAACCTTGCCGAGGAAGATGGGCCCAAAATTGGCGTCAAAAACCGCAGCTGGTGCGTACCTCCTTATTGTCTATTTTCTTTATAGTTATTTCTTCAAATTTGATAATGTACTATCTCCTTTTTAGGCCTAAAACCTGCAACAGCTACAGCCAAGCCCGACGACCGGAAGCGGATAACCCGAAGCACCTCGCTGGACAAGAGCGCCAAGGACAAGGAAGTTAAGGTAAACAAGGGTATCAAACGCTTTATTTACTCGAAATCTTGTTCTTTATAAGTCTTAAGGCTAATAAATTGATGTAGGCTTTTACGAAGCTGTATATTTGATTTATAGAGCCAATATTAAAGGTTTATTACTTTTGAATGTCCAAATTCTATTAATTTATGTAGAAATTGACTAGCTTTTGTAATAACCACTTTAGGAAACGCGTATCGATTAAAAGCTACTTTTCTGTGCATTAAAAGGTGATAAAGTTACTTGGTCGTTTCAGTGGATTAGTTTATAGAAACAAGGCTTCATAAATTTGAATTCATGAAAGCTAGTAAATTGAAGTAGACGTTTTCAGTGTGTTCTAGTTGATTTGTGGCACCAAACTTTATAGGTTTATTATTTTTTAATGTCGAAATTCTGTTGATTTTATCTAGAATTTGTATATTTTTTTCTACAACCACTTTCAGCAGCCCAGCACAAAGCCCAAGCCCAACCCAGCAGCCTCCAAGCTCGTGCAGCCCAAATCGATCATGAAGCCGACGGGCAAGGGCAACATTTCGATGGTACGTATCTATTTTTAAGCTTTATTTCACGTTTTTCAGCCCATCGCCGCGCCCAAGAACTCCAAGCCGGAAAAGAAGGAGCAGCCCAAGGTCGTTGGTAAGCGATTTTGAAATATATTTTACCTTATCTTTTTTTTTAGCCACCAACAAAGCAAAGCCGCAGACTTCAAAAGCTTCGAATGCGAAGCCGGCAAAGCCTGCCGTACGCCAGGAGACGCCGCTTCCAAGGATGGCCGATTTCTCGTTTGGCGAAGAGACACCGGTGGTGTGTTTCTAATTTTTTCTGAGTTTTATGGCTAGTTTCTGGTTGATTATGCTTTAGTTAGCTAAGGACATCTTTATTTTACAATTTTAGTCTCGAAACCGGCGCCCAGTGTCGAGCGGATTGCGGAACTCGGGTGTCGTGGTGAATTCACAGGTACTATTTTATGAAGTTTGTTTACGGGGATAAGTTTTTTGCTTTAATTGTCTTTTTAGTAAAGTTTAGTACTTGCTCAAATGGAAATATGGGTTCAAAAATTCTGTATTTTGTTGAAAAACGAAATTTTTGAGTTTTTTTCACTAACATTTAGCACTGGTTCAAATGGAAAAACGGCATTGACAACCTTGAAGCTAGTAAAAAAAGTTATATTTTTCCTCAAAGAACGATATTCTTGTAATTTTTAATAGATTTTTTGGATAGTTTGTACGTGTCTGCGTTAAAGGTTTAGAAGTGGTAAAAGACAGTTAAAAAACGTATTTTAGAAACCCGCACCAGCCGCCAACGAGAGTGCAAAAGTGGGCCCGCAGGACCGCGTCAGGGTGACGATCTGCTACACGTCGCATAACGTATACACAAATTACCCTATTTTAGCTCTTTTTTAGGATGGAACTGGCGTGAAATTCGCGTACCAGGGTGTATCGATGCAAAAGGTTGCCCCCGAGAGCCGCCAAGAGACGCCCAAAACGGTAGTATACGATTTTTTTAGCTTTAAATGGTTTTTAGACAAAATCAAGCACTCTTCGCGGGACCGACGCACACTTCCAGACGACGCTCAACAACGTGGGATTTGAAAAGCGCTGAAAATTACGTATTTTTTAGGGCGTCCGCATCACCCACACGCGCGAGACGTACACGGGCCGCGCGCAATCCCCACCGCCGACGCCATTTGTGGTATCGGAAAATTAAAAACATATTTCTTTGATGTTTAGACGCTGCCAAACACCCCGGCGAAGGACAGCCCTCCAAAAGCCATTCTCGCTCGCTCGGTTAGTGCTATTTTGAGGCTTTGGCATGATCGCGGGGGTCCCATGTCTTTTTAACGGAATAGAAAGTATTATAATAGTATTTTTAGTAAATTTAACGATATTTAAAGCGGAAGACCGCTGGGAACGCAGAAAACTTTTTCTGGGATTTGAAAATTGGGACAGAAAAATTGCGATTTTTTGTATTTTTATAACGAATTTTTAAAGTTTTTTTTTGTGTTCAGGAATAGTAAAAACGCGGAAAGACATTAACAGTAATCTTTTTGCGAAGTTTTTTTTAAATAGTTTTCTGAGTGACATTGAACAACCTGAGTGACAATATTTCAAGCGTAGAATTTTTTCAGGATTTCAAATTTTTATCGAAAGCCGAGAGTTTTTCGTGTTTTTTATTGTAAATTTGTAGAAAACCTCGTAGAATTAGTTCCTCTATTTATAGTAGAAAAATTCGATCATCTGAAAATTTGAGATTCAATTGCGAATTTGCTAGCACTGCCAATTGAATGAACAAAAACTTCCGATTTAGATGCAAATCCACGACGTATCACTGCGGCCGGACGAGCACGATCTCGAGCAGGTCGATTCTGGGATCGTCGAAGAGC